GATCTGCGTTCCAATCCCTCTAGCACCTAAAGAGTGTGTAGATCTACTCGCAGAGCTCCTAGTATGGTCTTGGCACTAGCTGAACTAATGAAAGACTGAGGTGAGGGGAAGATATGAGATGGTTTATTAAAGGGTCCGAAACCCAGTCAGGAGGAATGAACGTAGTTCCTAATTCCATGTGTGCCTGAAAGCATGTTAGTTTTGACTTTCTGTTGCCAGATGCCTGCTATGAGAGGCACAAATGACTGATTCTGTGGACCCTTTCAGCCAACAATGGCAGTACCGATCCTGTCCCAGAAAGTACAAGAAAGTGTTTGGGAGAGAAGACTGTTGCTTGTGTTATATCACGGAAGTAATTTTATAGTGAGGCAAGCTTGGTGGTTTCTAGGAGCTGCAGTTGAATGAATTACCCACAGCAACATTTTATAGGCATGTTGGGCATGGTTACACAGGTATAAGGCATTACTCATATTCTAATCACCATCAGGGGGTATAGCTCAGGGGTAGAGCATTTGACTGCAGATCAAGAGGTCCCTGGTTCAAATCCAGGTGCCCCCTACTCTTTGTTATCATTACTTTGATTAATACTATATTATTTTGGAAATTATTATTAATTTAAGTCTATGTGCCCATAGTGTTCCATCATCATCATCATTTTGGTTACTAAGGCTAAGTGCTTAAAATCCATTCTTTTCTCTAATCCTAAATCTCAGAGTACCAAGCTCCCTAAAATCTCAGAGAAAGTTGGGAGTGATTTAGAACTGTGTCACTGAATGCCATAGGCCCAGAATTGTAAGTTCTTCCAATTCAAGTTTTTTATTTTACTTTTCGCATTTAAATTGAAATTTTTCTTCTTCCTTTTAAGGTGTGTGTGTCTACACTGGGCAAGGATCTATCACATATGAATGTGAAGGCCACAGGACAACCTCAGATACAGTTTTTCAGGTGTCATTCACTTTTTGTTGTTGCTACAGGATCTCTTATTGGCCTGGACCTCACCAAGTAGGCTAGGCTGGCTAGTCAGTGAGCCTGAGGGAGCTGCCCGCCTCCATCTCCCCAGTGCTGGCATTAGAGTACATGCCACCATGCCCAGCTTTGTCATGTGGGTTCTGGGGATCAAACTAGGCATCAAATGCTTACGTGATCTCAGGGACTTTACCTAACTGGAGCATCCAGAGAGCGAAGAAAAGACAAATGCAGTGTCTTAGTCAGTTTTCTACTACTGTAATGAAACAGCATGATCAAGGTAACTTATAACAGAAAGCATTTAATTTGGCTTGCGGTTGCAGAGGGTGCGTTCATAATAGTAGAGTGAAAAAATAGCTGAGAATTCACTATTGATCGGCACCCTCAAAGAGGAGAGCCACACTAGGGGTGGGGGTTTTTGGAAACCTCAAAGCCCTCTCCCAGTGACAGACCTCCCTCTTCTGACAAAGTCACTTCTCCTACTCCTTCCTAAACAGGTCCACAAACTGGGGACCAAGCACTCAAATATATGAATATATTTTTAAATATATTCATTTAAAATAGTCTTTTTAAAAACTCTACTTTATTTGGGTTTTTAGGCCTCAACCTCCTTTCCAACCTCCCAACCCTACGTAGGAGAGAAAATGGGGAGAGGGGGCCCAGACCCGTTACCTCTCGGGCTTTTTAGAGTCAAGGGGTTCTTTTAAGGCTCTATACCAATCTCAGTCAACAGCAGATGCAGCCGGCAGGCTCCTTAGCCCCTGCGCCCCACACGTTTCTCTCCGTCTGTCTGCTCCAAACCACCACACCACCATCTCTGGTCTCTCCAAACTGCTACACGCCCACACCAACACGGCATGCCACCCCTTCTCTTCCTCTGCTCTCCCATTTATACTCTCATAGCCCTAGACCACACCCTTCTCCCTGCCAGACATGGAAGCCTGCTACCCCCTGGCGAAAAGCCACGCCCCGCACAAGACAATTAACAGCTGTGGACGAACTATAGCTCAACTAAAATCCCACACTTGGGATTAAAGCAAAGATATATTTACATAACACGAGTTTACAAAGAAAAACAAAACTTCCATTACATATGAGCCCATAAAAGCCGTTCTCATTCAAGCCACCACACCCAGCGATTCAAAAAAGATTATAGACAAAATGTATTGCTGGAAATAGTGTTACTTCCTAAAATTAAAATTAACAATTCTCTGGAAAAATACTAAAATTCTAAATTTCTATGCACAGGCCACCAAATACATAAAGGGAGAATTAGACAAATGCACAATACTGAAATTTTATCATAGCACAATAACCAATAGTTCAAAAGGCAAACAAATGATAATATGTAAAAGACATATATAGTATGACCAGTATGCTTGATTTAATCTCTAACTAGAGCATTACAACCATGTTCGAATATGAACACTCTTCTGAAGCAAATATGAAACAGTCAAATGTTTTTTTTGCTTTACTGGCCACAAAATAAGTCTCGGAAAATTCTAGCAGGAGTGTGCAACCCCTGATCCACAGCAGCTATGTTAGCTTACTTAAAACCTTATGAGATTTTCCTTTTGCAATTTTTTGTAATTTGATTGTGTGGTGAACTTTATCGCAGTGTCAAAAGTTTGGATACACCCATTACAGTCAACATCACAGTCTCTGACTTTAGAGAAAATTTAAAAACACTCATAACTTCTATAAAAACCTCATGGGAAGTTTAAAAGTCTCTTTAGGTGACTTCATGGATGGAAAAAGAAAGCCATAATGAAAACCAGAAACTAATTAAATTCCAGCTATTTTTTATATGGGGAAATGTACAGCACAGTTTATCGTTGGCAGGAGCTAGCTGTTCCGTTTGAGCAAGAGAGCAGGCTAGTCTACCAAAAGTCATTTCACTAATGGCCAAATAACCAAATGCCAAATATGCAGGAAGCTAAGCTCCCTGGATATCAATTTACTGAACAACCAATTTCAATTACTGAGATTTTTTTATATATATATATTCCATTTCTACTCCACACCCCTTGTCTACATCAAGAGCTCATGCTAATTTGTTGGAATCAAACTAGAGCTACTTACGTTAAACTCACACAATCACTTACGTCATCTGCTGACAGAAAAAGTCAAGAAGCCATGGTAGCAAGGCTCTCCTTACCCTCACACATATTTGCAGATATGGTCGCAAAAGACTGCCGAGGCCACAGCTCACACATATTTGCAGATATGGTCGCAAAAGACTGCCGAGGCCACAGCTTTGCACAAAGGCCAAAGCAACGTTGTAGGAAAAGAGCGCTTCTGCAAGGATGCCCACCCAGCGAGCGCCCATTCAGAGCTGGAGTAAGGGGACCTTTGTTACTGGTCCTTATAGCCAAGGGCTATCATTTCAAAACAACTGTGCAACCTGGCTTATTTTTACCTTTAAAAAAAGCCCTTGTCTTCTCTTGCCTCCATGAACACAATCATGATTTGTCATGGTAGCAGACTACAACTCCTGTCATCTGGAGTAAAAAATTTTACTGTAGAGATTATAAGGGGTGGAGTAAGGGCAAGAATTGTCAAACAGGTAATGGGGGAGGGGGGCAGCAGTTTTTCCCGTAACTTTAACAACTGGCCATTCAACAAGTTTGATGGTGTAAGCAGTTCTTAGTGACAGACGGCCCAAATCTCCAAATGCTGCACCAAGTCCAGAGAGGAGGAGGACACTTCAAGCAAGGCAGAGTCAATACACTTTCAATACTGTAGGTTTTGTCTTTTCTTTTTGAAAAGTTTTGAGAGGACTTTATGGTTTAGGGATCATGGGTTCCTGGCTTCAGGCCTAGGACTTACCCTGAGATGCTATTGGAGATGAGCTTCAACTTTCAGTTCGCTTTTTCCGTGTTCCAGTCCTGTCCTTGGAGTGTGAAGGAGGAAATTCACTCAGCTGTGCTGGGCAATATGGTTAATGGTCTCTGATTACTTGTTCCCTCCAAGGCCACATCCTGTGTTCTGGCATGTCGGCATACAAAGCCAGTGGGGCCCATGTAGGCCAGAATCGCTAAAGAACCATGCTGAGGTGTCTAGGAGAGAAATCCGCCTTCCTCAGAAGATATCAGATGAGGGGACTGTCCTGCAGGCATTTTCAGGAGTGGGGAGCAGGAAAGGACAAGTCCTGGGCGAGGTGGCTTCTGCTTCCGCTGTGGCTCCAAGCACCTGTTCCAAAGAGCAGTTGAAGTTCCACAAACTTCTCCTCTTTGAGTTTTTTCCACGTAATGAATGAGGGAGATATACACTGAGAGGGCTCCTGGAAGGAAAATGAGCGTCACAGGGCTCAGCCTGAGCACTGTGCTGCGTCTGCACCTCACAGACAGCAGCACAGACGAATCCAGGGAGGGTGGGGCCCACACTTAGTATTTGTCAGGAACCACGGGGGCTGCTACCATCAGCGGGCGACACCAGCAAATAGTCACACAAAAAATAGTGACGCAGGTCAGTGTGGTGGTGAGCCATTGTGCCCTGGCCCCTCAACCACACAGGGTCGGATTTACGTGAGTGCGGCCTATGGGAGAAACTGATTCCTTTTTATCCACGCATCCCCACCTGGCACCTGCACAGGACACGCTCACAAAGCGCCGGATGCTAGAAGAAATGCACGAGTGGATGGATAGTTGTATGGATGAACGGTTGTTTGCACCTAAGCATGCGCAGCCGCAAGCCTGCCAGGACGTAGGGGACGCCCAGCTGGTCCCTGAACCTGAGGAGCAAGAAGTGCGAGGGGCGGAGCAGTGAGCAGCACCCCTCCACCACACACCCCCGGAGCCACGCCCCAGCCATGGAGCCCTCTGGGAAGTGTAGTCTGCGCCTGCGTTGTTCTCGCTGTGAGGCTGGGGGCTGCGGGCGGAAGCGGGACCAACCCCTCCCGGGATGCGAGGCACCGGGCTGACCCAGGAGAGCCAACTGTGCGGCTCCTGGTGCAGCCAGGCCCCCGGCCCCGCCTCCTCCCGTACAGAACCGGGCCGCTATTCCCGAGGGTCTCGAGGGTCTGGGTGCAGCTTTCTGCCGGAGCCGCGCCGGAAGCTAGGTGGGCCAGGGAGTCGCGAAGCTGAGTTCCGCCATGGCGCACCAGGTAAGGCAAGCCTTTGCGGACCGACGGACGCCTCGGCCGGGCTTCTCGGCGCTGCGCCTTCCCCGGGGTGACGGGCCCGGGAGGAGCGGGCACCGCCGACTTTGAGCTCGGGTGAGCCCATCCGAGCCGGCCAGATGCCCAGGATTCCTTAGCCAGAAGTCTTGGGATCTCGCATTCCCCGAGGACCCACGGACCTGGAGCTTTTTTTCTGCCTGGGAACTCATTCTCTTGGCTCTTCAGTACAAGATATCGTGAGAGGGTGTGTACGATTGAAGCCTCAGCGGGACTTGGGGGAATAACTAAATCTGACATTTTTGTTAAGATACGGCATCCCGGGGAGTGGGGCCGAGAAAGTGGGAAGAAAGAAAACAGACCCACGTTATGCTGGTGAGATGCTTCAATCCCAGAGCTGAAAAATACCCCCCGTATGCTCTTGTGACCTAGGAACAGTTTGGGCAGGGTCGTGGGCTGTGAAGATGCCAGGGCAGTTGCTGCACTGCCTTCTGGGTAGACACCAGGAGTCAGACATGCTATTTTGGTACCCACAAGCTTTGACCAGACTTAGGCAGCTGTGTTGTAGTAGTGTCTAGGTATCACTAATACCCTACAGTATCTTGGTAGAAACGATAAGCCAGGTAAATGAGATGTTGTCTGGCCTGGAAGTGCCCTTTGTAGCTTTGGCTGATAGGCTTTTGCTCAGACACGCGCATCGACCCCACCATAAATCTGCTTATTTGGGTTTTCTGTTCTGTAGATGAGGGAGTTAGACCTCGGATCTCTCAGACCTGATGTTGAAGGAAGAGTATCCAAATTCTGTTGCTGCGTGGAAAAGATGGTCAGGCATGATCTGTGGGAGCTAAGGGTCACGGTCTGATGGAGAGGGATACGGAAGGTCTGTAATCTTTGTGTTCAGGGTGACCACCGGAATCATAGGTGTGTGTGCACGGTCTGCAGGTGGGAATGGTGAGTGCCAGCATGGTACAGATGGTGAGTGGCAGCATGGTACAGGGCCGACCTGGTAGCCTGAGGCATGGGGTGCAGTGAGGCTAGGCTAACAAAGGCTGTGAGTGCTGAGTGACCGTGAGTGCAGTTTCACAGAAGGACTGACACAGTGAAAGCAGTTTTTCAGGAGGCCCATCATGGCAGCTGTTAGCAGGGAGCTTGACCAACTAGAGTTGTCCTACTTAGTCTCAGAAACTTTTTTTTTTTTTTCTGATGGTTGGGGGCAGGGGCCCAGAGGGCAAGCCAGTTGTAGCTATCCTCCTGAAGTCAATCTCCCCACCCGTCTGTCTGTCTCTTCCCCTCCTCTTCCTACTACCTCTCCTGCGCACACACTGTTCACTCTTTCTTCACTTTTTATTTTATTTCATTTATTTTGGAGACAGTGTCTCATGTGGTTGAAGATGACCTTGAACTTCTGATCCTCCTACAACCACCTGGAAGTATAGGAATGTGCCACCATAGCTGGTTTGTGTGGTATTGGGGATCAGTCCCAGGGTGTGCCAGGGAAACACTTCCTCTTGGGAAAGACCTGAAGGGAGCATCTTCCCAGTCACAACATTGTCAATAAAGATTTCCTTTTGAGGCTAGGTTGGAAAGAGGCCTGGAAAATACCACAGGCAAAGGCCTAAAAGAGCCAGATATATTTAGCCTTGAGATAAAGAGTCACATATGCCACCCCCCAAAGTCACTCAAGAGTGGCGTATAGAACTGCCTGAGGTGGCAAGCTATACTCTGTAGACACATATTAGGCAGATAAGCTTGGCTGCAGTGACACCAGTCACAGCACTTCATGTGTCTCAGCGTTTATTCCAGACCTTTTGCCTGCAGCAATTAGTCTTGTCTGTACAATAGTCCTATGAACTAGGATATGAGCCACTGTTACAGATGAGTTTGCTGTGGCTTAGAGAGGTCAGCCGGTTGGTCTGAAGTCTCATAAATAATTTGTTGTCGTTCAGCTCATTGTAGGTTATGGTTCTCAAGAGGACCAACTTATGCTAAGCAGACTCACGGAAGACACATGAACACGAAAGCTGTGGTTTGACAATATCCTCCAGATTTCACCTGTTAGAAACGTAGTTCCTAGTATCATATGTTCATTGGTTGTGTGGGAGTCATTGGAGTTCGTGGGTTACTGAGGGAGTAGCCTTGTTTAAAAGCCTCTCTGGCTTGCTTTGTTTCCCCACGTGACGTTCCGCATGAAACTGTCATGTACATGTGATATGGCAGGGAAGCACTCACCAACATGGCCCCTTAACTGTATACTTCCCAGCATCTGCAACTTAAGAAATCAATTTTTTTTCTTTATAAATCACCCTGTCTCAGGTATTCTCTTTTAGTAGTAGAAATAGACACAGAGAGGAAGAAAGCCAAGGGCTTACTTTACAGTGAAAAATGGAGCTGACAAACTGAAAATGCATAGAGATGCAGCTATTGAAATATCTGGCCACCTGTCTTGTTTGTGTTTTTGTATTTAAATGCCTAGGGTGGGTCACTTATAAAGAACAGATTTTGGCTGGATATGGTGGTGCACACTTTTAATCACAGCCCTTGGGACATAGAGCTGAATCTGTGTGAGTTTAAAGCCAGCCTGACTTAGATGATAAGTTTCAGGACAGCCAGAGCTACAATAGTGAGACCCTCTCTCAAAAAGCAGACAACAAAAACATACCAGATTTTTGTTTTACAGTTCTGGCTGCTGAGAAATCTAAAGTCAGGGTGTCAATGTCTGGCAAAGAACTGGCATCTGGCAAGGGTTGCCTTAATGTGCGGGTTAGCTACTTTTCTGGTTGCTCTGACCAAATACCCAGCAGGAACACCTAAGAGAGGCTAGATTTACTTTGGCTTATGCTCTCAGGCGGTTCAGTCATGGACATTTGACCCCTGTACTTGAGCAGAACATCATGGCAACAAGGTGTGTATTCTCCAAGTCTGGTTGATTGGGAGATAGGGGGTGTGACAAGAAGGGACCAGGAGTACTATATTTCAAAGGACCTACCTCCGTGACCTCTAGTTTCCATGACCTCCTAAAATAGTTCAGCAGTCAGGGAACAAGTGTTTAAAATGTGAACTTGATGGGTGGCAGGGAGACACTTTACATTAACCAATAGCACTATCATCCCACAGTGGAAGGCAGAAGAGCAGTAAGCGAGGAAGAAGAGGGTTGAACCCATCATTATCAGGAAATGAGGCCCCCAGATACTGGCTGTAATCTATGCATGGCCTAATCACTCTTGCACCTAGAGTGGACCCCACTTGGGAAACCAAGTGCTAATGGAGAGCTGTCTCAGAAGCACAGAGGTGCTGGACAAACGTAACAGCTGGCAGCACGGAGCTCTGGTAGCCTGAGCCACACTGCTATTTAAGAGGAGTTCTGCTATGTAGGTCAGAATACACATGTCACTTGGCAAAGGCCAGGGACCCACAAGCCAGTCCTTCCCTTTTGCTGGACTCCATCTGCAAACTTACACCGTTCCATGGGCACACCCTTCTGTCCAGGCTAGAACAGTTGGCCAATTCCAGCTCTTCAGGGTGCAGGCCATTGGGTCGTGCCTCTGTCTTGCCACGGCTTGGCCACCCTTTCCGGTGACTGATCATTCCTGTGTTTCCTTAGCTATTACAGTTGGGTTATAAACAGGGGCTTCTCTTCTATTGGCTCTGTGACCCCTTTCTGATGCTGAAGTCTCCATGATCCCACATAGTTATCCACTTACTGCACTAGGTGGTAGGTGTTCATGTGTCGTGATTTGTGTGACTTTTAAGGGACATGCACGTTCATCACAACAGCATCTGCACATGATTAAACACTAATTAAAGTGTGCAAGTAAAACAGGCATATTTGGTTTGTAGGAGGCACACATATGCCCATTAGATCCTGAGCCCATTGTCACAGACCTGGGAGTCTGCAGCTCACATATGAGGGTTCCCTGGGTCTTCCCACTCGCCAGCCCCCATGGCTCCCAGGCATTGGCTGCTAGGATCCCAGAAGGGAGGCAGGGAGGGCAGCATCACAAGGGACCAGAGGACAGAGCTATGGCAGAGATGCCAGAGGCGAGGCTAGGAAGTGATGGATTGAGTGCCTGGGGTCGGGGGAGGGTTGTAAGGTAGACAAATATAATGAGGTCCTGTGTTGGGCCCTCCAAGAGCATCTGAGGCTCAGAGACTCCCATGAGGATTCAGGCTCAGCAGGTGGTTACAGGCATTGCTGTGTCCATGATAATGGGAAGACATCTGACAGATCCAGCAGACAGCAGAGGTGTTGTCTTTTGGGGTGAGTTTAGAGGAAGCTTGAGGGCAGTTTCCCAGAGGCCTCTAGTGCAGTCACCAAGAAGCACTTAGCTCCTCCAGTGTGATGCTGAATGACCCCGTGTGGAATGCCCACTGGGGGAATCTTGCCAGAGACCTAAGACTCAGGATTGTTGCTTAGAACAGGTCATTTAGCACCTTTTTCTGGCACCTGGCCCAGCTGCAGACACCTTGGAAGAAGGCATGTGTTCAGCATGAGCTGTATCATACAGATTAACCTCTGTGTTGATTAGGTACAAACCCTTTTGAGATGCACATTGCCAGGTGTCTGCCTGGGCCACCTGGTGCTAGCCATTTTGAAGGACAGCAGTGTCATGCCTACCCTGTTGGCTCTTTAGTACCGAACCTAAGCCTGTCCACATTTTAAGTGTTAGGAGGCCTACAAGAAATGCAGAAGGGCTCCCTGCTAGAGGTTTGCGGAGTATCTGAGATGTTCCCGAGGAATAGTGGCTATAGTGGGCCAGAGGCACAGATTAAGCTTGGGGAAAGAGCCTGCTGGGTTGCCTAGCAGGCCATAGAGATGGTTGGGAATGCACAGCAAACCAAGAGGCAAGGGACTCTGCCTCTGATTCCTTCCGGGCTTCTGGATGTCAACAGTCAGTGGAGACGCGGTCCCTGGCCAGATGTGTGGCTGGAGACTAACTACTTCAAAATGTCAGGGCTCTCGATGTATGTCTAGTGATGCACAGGGGAAGCTGTCACCTGTCAGGAATGGCAGGCAGAGAGACGGCAAGGAGCGGTGACAGGGCTGTCAGCTAGTAGCAGAGATAGTTTTTAAAGTCACTGACAAGTGCATGGAATAAGCAGTAGATTCTCCCCTGTTTTAGTAGGACTGTCTCCATTTTCTCTACAGGTCCTTCTTGCAGGTCATGCTTGTCTCTAACCTAGATGGATTCTTCCCACCATTTACCTTCTGTTTGTGCCATTTGCACAGTTAACTTCGGCCATAATTTAAGTTCATGCCCATCGGCTGCCGGTTATCGTCTGAGTCTTCACGGCTGTGTGAAAGCCCCCTGAGTGACGGCTTTTAAAGACGCTAGATGTTGCTTTAATCTCACAAAGCCACAGGGTGCAGGCAAGCAAGGCAGAAAGCATGGAGTATGGATGTGAAGCACTGTTACCCGAGACTCCTGGGTTTGGGGTGTCTTCTGAGCAGGTTCCTAAGGACCACACTGCAGGCTTTCAGTGCTAACTGGCAGTAGTGGGGTAGGAAGCATGGTGAGATGGAGCCTAGAAGGGCGCTGTGGACATCTCCTCTCGCTGCATGCTTCTGCTGCATGAGCCTGCTGGTGGGTGTCACAGCCGTCTGCAACGGAATTAACCACAGCTGTACCAGGGTTTGTAGAGAGTTGAAGCCGTGAAGGGCAGGTGGGGCTGGGAAAGTGAAGAGGGCTTCTGCCCAGCAGCTAGGACCCACACTGGAGTCTGGAGATTAGGCGCCCTAAGCTCAGGTCAGGTCAGGCCTGCGAGTGCCTGGCTCACTTGCTGCCTGGCTGGCAGGTGAGAAGGAGTCACTCTTCTCTAGACCTCCAAGGCTTCCTGAGTTTTCTGTCACTGCCCCTCCACCTGCTTGTTTGGAGGGGTTTAATTTCTGACATAAATTGTGTCATCCCTGTTGAAGAGGATCAAGTGGGATTTTTCCTTTGCTCTGCAGGTTGGTTAGCACGAGTCTAGCAATCTGGGATGGAAAATGCTTCAAAAGGCAAAGCTTTTCAGCTGTGTGATGCTGTGTGTGGAGAAGTCCACATCTGAGCTCCTGTAACCCTTGCAGTCAAAATGCAGGCGCACTAAAAACACTGCTGAAGTTACCTTCAGCTAGGTGTCCAAAGAACAAAATATAAGTGACTTTCTTGTTTTGACTTGAGTGCTATCTCTAAGATAACTTGTTATGTATAGGAGAGCAGTCAAAACCAAATATCCAAAACACATCTGACCCCAAGAATTTGGGGCAAAGAATACTAGACCTTGGTAACAAGCAGGTTTTATTAGTAACCTGGTGTCCCCCTTTCAGTGCCCCGGTGCTGGAGTTCTGGGTCCTTGGACATTCAGACACAGCGAATGCAGGGCTTTCCTGGGTACTTAGGAATGTAGCTTTATCTTTCCAAGTCACACCTCTGGTGACCTTCTTTCTAAAAAGTTGCTGGAAGCAACTGGGCACCCAGCTAACTCCAGCTCTGTCCCAGTAACTGCAACTCCCCGGCCAGGCCCCACCTGTCTGCGCGGCCTGCTCACAGTGTCTACCAGGAGCTCTGTGTGGCTCACGGAGTTCTAAGGGACAGTTTGGGTGGGCCTTGTTGGCATGCATGCAGCCAACCCCCCCGGAGACTGTGCCCACAGGTGCCCATCAGCTTCAAGGACCTGGCCGTGCGGTTCTCTGAAGAGGAGTGGCGGCTCCTGCAGGAGGGGCAGCGGGAATTCTACAGAGACGTGATGCGGGAAAACTACGAGACGTTGGTGTCTGTGGGTGAGGTCCTGAGGCCTCTAGAGTGTGGGTTGCAGGGACAGAAGAGGGTAGCAGTGAAGGATGTCAGCATACATGGCCGGGAGTCTTGAGTCTTTGTGAGACCCTCAGCTCCTCAAGGCCTTGTCTTCATCTCCGTTGAACTGAGTAGTTTTAGGGAAGTGTTCAGAACCTGAGGCTGCCCAGGTCCTTACTTTCCTTTGTTCCTTTGTTTCTGTGAGCTAGAGTGGGTGTCTAGGTGCAAGGCTTTTAAGGGCATGCGATCTTTTGAATTTGATGACCACACAAACATGTATGGAAGGCTATACATAGATGAGCAGGCATCTGGGCTGTCACATGACTGTGGGAGGGTAGAAGCCACTCAGTTCCCAGAGTAACTGCTCCTTCTCTCTCCAGGGACTGCTGAGCTGCTTCCTCTCTCTGCTTTCCTGTCACCCGCAGAGTCTGGAGGAGGCACAGCAGGAGAGAGCCATGATAAGGGACAAGAACCCCCTTTGGAGCATGGTCCTCAGGGTAGGTTCTCCCAATGGACTTTGAGCACTTCCTCTTAGTCATGGTTTTTAGCCCCTAGGTTCTGCCCCTCAAGCAACACTTAGACTTCCACTAACTCAGTCCAGGCCTCCTTGAGTCTCACCCCTTACTCCTCTGGGTTGGATGTTGGTTACATGTAGTCTATTCCATGGAGAAATGCTCAGAATAAAACCTGAGGTCATGTCAGGGACAACCTCTGCCTTGGGCCTCACTCGCCACTATCCAGAGCCAGCCTGCAGTTTAGATAGCAGAGGTGAAACATGGGGCCCAGAGTAAGTGAGGAAAGGTAGAACACCAGAGGGGCCACAGGGCCCTTCAGTATTGCCCTTGATGGGAAGGCGACAAGTGCAGAACCCTCCTGAGCCCAGCCCTCCGTCCCTGCGCCATTTGCCCTGTTTGGCTGCTCCATCTGTGATGGGGAAGGTGCCCTGAGGAGCTAGGGGACTGAGTGCAGGGTTCACACATCTCTCCTCAGGAGAGCAACCGCAGCAGAGCCTACACCTCACGGCCTTGGTGCAGCTGGTGAAGGAGATTCCAGAGTTCTTGTTTGGGGAAGTGAAGGGCACCGAGGACTACTCCGAGAGTGGGAGCACCAGTCTGGATGGGGAGCAAACGAGCCCTGAGGGTAAGTCACACAAGCTGCAAGAGTGACCTCACTACAGTCCACAGTGCCATGCAGAGCTGCCTTCCAGCTCAGCTCTTGACCTCCTCGCTGTGTGCTCATCCTCTGAGCTTGAGCTTCTGGGACCTAGTAGGTGTGGGAACAGCTCATGCCTTCTCATGGTGTTTCTGTGTGGGTCCAGCCACCTGGCAATCCCTCCCTGGAGCTTTGCACTTCGCATGGTGGTGAGCAGTGTTTGGAGAAATGAGAGAGAAGCTAAGCTTTGTCCAGATAGCAGTGGGGCCTAGATCCTATTGCCAGCCTTTGCTCTTTCTGCTTCACAAAAACTGTTCTTTCTCTCCGCACTTGGTCAGCTCAGGACCCAACCCACCCTAGAACATGTCCCCTTGCCTGCCGCAGCCCTCTTCAGTTAATGTTGGATGACATAGGAAGGGAGCAGAGGTATAGAGTGGCACCGACCTGGTGAAATATGGCTGCTCTGTGCTTTGTCAGGCCAAGAGCATACATCTTATAGTTTTGGAGCTTAGTAGTGACAGTGCTTAGGTCACTGGCTCCTGGCTGTTGTTAGTGGAACATGACAGGGCGTTACTCCATCTCCCAACAGTAGCTGTGGTTATGGAAACTTGCCCTTCCCGAGGCCTGCTCAGTTCTCTTCTGGAGAGCTCTGCAAGCCACCCCAGCCTGGCCACCACACCCACAGGCAGCTCATCTTCCAGTGGCTGTCCTGGAGACTGGGCACAAGGAAGCCCCCTACCTACTAGTGAGTCTGACCTAACATGCACAGGGACGCCCAGCATCATAGAGGCCCAGCCCTGGAATTGGCCTTGGACCCTGGACCCTCTTCACTTCTTCTGCCTTGGCTTGCTCCGTAGCTAGCAGGAGACCAAGGCCTCTGAACAGTGAGAAAATGCACTTGGCCTCTGGCCTACAGACCAGATGATGTGATGCTTGGTTCCAGATGGCCTTTCCCACGTGGTGATCACTGAGGAATGTATATGCACAAAGGGAGCTCTGATCAGTTCCTAATATACAGGACCAGCAGGTCACTTACCTGTGTGCACCTGGTCAGATTCTTAGACCTAGCAGCAGGGAAGCAATGCTGGTCACAAGAGTTTCTCTAGGGTCTCATTTTATCTTTTGAAATTCTTTGAAGTTATACTTGTTTGAATGTTTTGGTTTTTTACTTTTGGTTCTGAGCCTAGCCTTTAATGGCTAAGTTATCTCTCCAGCCCTGTTTTGGTGTTTTAATTTAGAATATTTAAAGGAATAAAGATTTAAAAGGACATTCCAAAACATGTTTCCCAATTAGCCTGTGATTCCATGTGCCATCTGTTTTACGAGCCCCACGTAAGACGTATGAGTACAAGCCTGACCTGTGTTGTAGCCATCGGCTTCATTGGCCTGGCCAGATTCAGAGACTGGGGTCAGGGAAAATGTCTGGGAATATTTTGGCATATACAAGTCTTAGTATTCACAGCTAGACCAAAAGGAAACAGGAAACAGCCTCCAGCCCTCCTGGAACAAATCCTCTAAAGATAGCCCCAGCATGAGCCTACTATTAAGGATTTTGGTGACTCTCAAAGGATTAGAGAGTTAGAGTGGTCTATCCTCTAGGTAAACAGATCTGGGGAGATCCCAGAGTCTGAGTCCCTCCCCTTCCTCCAAACATGGCCTTCTTTGTGTTTTGCAGTAGGAATTGCTGATAAATCACTGTCTCTAGAGAAGGAAGGCGTAGGAGCCTTGGGAGAGACATCCATTCATCCCACTCAAAGCCTGGATCAGAGCAAGAGCCGCCTAGGCCAGGATACAGGCAGCATGGAAACAGGTAAAGGACTGGCCTTCCTGGGGTTGAACAGCCTAGAGCTGAGTGGCGTCAGTGGAGGTCATGTCACTCTCTCAACTGAACTTCACGACAACCCCACAAGCCAGTGGTTCCCAACCTTTCTAATGCTGCGACCCTTTAATACAGTTCCTCGTATTATGATGACCCCCAATAATGAAATTATTTTGTTCCTACTTCATAACTGTAATTTTGCTACTGTTATGACTCGTAATGTAAATGTCTGATAGACAGGACATCTGTATATCTGATGTACAGATACCCTCGCTACTCCTGAGGGTGTTCCGACCCACAGGTTGAGAACGGCTGCTGTTTATATGGGTGATTCTCAGCTGCAGAGATGGTGGGGAGAACTGAGGGTCTCATGCTGCCTGTGCAGACTACGCTAACCTTAGCTGCCCTGTCTGTGCTTAGGAACCTCTCCCGAGAACAGTCCCTTGCAAGGCCTCATCAACTGTCTGAAGGAGATCCTTGTGCCCCTGCCCCAGCACCGGGGGACAGCCCCAGACTTGTCATCTTCTCTCCCTGGCTTGAGTGTGTTGAAACAGACCAGAGCTGAGGTGGAGGCGGGGAGCCTGCCCTGCCCGGGTGAGTCCCTGGGCACCTGGCCTGCTCAGGCCAAAGTCTCCAAAGTCCTGGAAGGTCCAGGTTGCCATTCACAGACGTTGCTGTGCTCCCGGATGCTCCTGGGTCCCTAGGGTCAGGCATCTGCAGGCCACTGCCTCCTTCAAGGATAGCAGCGGCAAAATTTATCCTGTTTTCCTCACTGTTCTCTGTTCCTTCTGACATGGGACTCTGAAGGGGGCTTCGGTGCTCAAATGTCACCTTCTGCTGACGTGAATGAGGTGTCAGTGGACACGCAGTCCAGGGTTTCCCTCAAAAGGCTGCTGAAGCTTTGAGCCTTGGTCTTGTATCTGTAGGGGAAAACCTTCCATCCTCTGGCTTGGGGTGAACTTAACTACAGAATTCCTCTCACATATAAATGCCCCCCATGTATGTCAAGCCTGATGGACCTTGAAGCTAAGTTGTACTCGGAGCCCAGAAACTGCCAGCCTGCTCCTTCAGTCTGCACCCTGAGTGATAGCTGTGCCCAAGTGCTGCCCACTGACAGGTCTGCGGGTCCTGTTTCTGGCCCTGTGCTGCTCAGCCTGCACCCCAGCACTGTGCTTGTCTATCTGTCAGGAGACAGTGAAATGTGTGCCTTTTCCCTTAGTCAAGACAGAGGCAGCATCCGGGGATTGTCCCCTTCAGGGCCTGCTGAACTGTCTGAAGGAGATCCCAGAAGCCCCAGGCAGGCGTCCCAGCCCCTCAGGAGCAGCAGACCTGCGGCTGCAGGAGGATCCAGGGAAAAGGAATTCTGGAGGTAAAGGCTACTTGCTGGATGAGTGCTGGGGAGCTAGATGGCTTCCCATCTACAGCTGTATGTGATGCCCTGTGTCAGCATGTGAGTCAGAGAACCCAGTGCTGATTCCATCACTCTGTAAAGAGTGAAGCATGTAGGCGATCCTTAGTCAATGCTTCATAATTTTCCAAAATGGCTGTTGTTATAGGAGGTAAAAGTACTAGAACTTTCTAGAAGAGACATTGGGGAGGGGGAGAGAAACTAAATAGAAGGCAGGAGTTGTAGCACAGCAGCCCGTACTTGTGACTGGGGACTCCTGTCATCCTGTGCTCGGGCTAGGTGCTCTGACTGGAGGTTGGGGTTCCTAGCACATGTTTGGACTGGGATCATTTGTCAGCTCATCAATAACCTTGTTTTCCTGAAAACATGTCCTTAAAGACGGTAGAGGGTGGGATTGAGCCAAGCCTGCTGCATGAGAAGTGAGGTCTGATTTGTTGCTGGCCAGGGAGGGGCTCATATTAATATCCCTTAGCAAGCTCTGGAGCACCCAGAGGTGATAGGGGTGTAACTTGGATCAGAGCCAGTGACTGCTGTGGAGGCAGAGGAGCCTTGAAAGTCCCTGCTAGCTCTATAAAGAGAAGCCTCTCAGGACTTAGGGTGAGTCCAAGCCTGAAATTAGGGCTTTCCAGCAATCACCTTTCCCACAGGGATGAGAGCCCTCCAGACTCCTCCCCATCCCGGTCATGCAGCTGGCAGTGTGCTGGCCACAGTGAAGGTGGAAGATGTCTGGGCCCAGAGTCCCCTGGTGCCAGCATCCTGCCAGCTTAGCAGGCAAAGCCACAGTCCCTATTCTACTGGAGACACCAGAGAGGTCCGTGTGCCCCGCTGGGGCCCCTTGACTCTAGGTAAGTTCTGGGTTATCTATCTATATATTCCAATGGAAATGAGTTCCAAAGCTCACGGGCAAGTTTGGCCAAGGAGCCTTTCTCTTGCCTCTCCTCCCAAGCTGTTCCACCACAGTCCATGTTCTCAGTCCATGCCCATGTGCAGGCAGCCCTCTGGTTTCAGGACCTTCGTTTGGCAGTGAGATCTTGACTGTGGGAGCTGGCCACTGTGTTCAGGTGTCTGTCCCACCGTTCTCCTCAGAGTTGAGGACAGCTTTATTTCTTCCTTAGAAGCAAAAAACACATTCAGTGTTCCTCACTGGAGGATCATGTGCCTAGTAGATCCTAGTAGAAGGCAGGCTGTGGGCCGGCCAGCCAGCCAAGGGTCAAGGTTGGGTCTGACAAGCAGGCCAGGGCCCAGCAAGAGACCATTACAAGGTGGTCTCTCTTGTCCAGCCAGCAGGGCCTCAAGCTCACCTCTAGAAGCTCTGGAGGCCTGTCTGAAGGGCATTCCTCCAGGTGGGTTATCACCTCTTCAGTCACTAGCCATCTCATGGTCCAGAAGTCCCCAGCCAGGAGATGCTGGGTCTCAGAGGTCTGAGCTACAGCCGCAAGGATCTCACAGTGAAGGTACTTGGGCCCGGGGTTGACAGTGCATACAGTGGAGGGAGGTGTTGGTCATCCTCTTGGGCCCCCTCGAGTGTGTGCCCTTCTTTCCTAACCCCTGCTTTATGCCTTCCTTCAAATAGCTATCCAGGTTTTGTGACAGCCTAATTCTACCCACCCACTTCCCTGCTTTGAGGAATTCCCCTTATTCCTGGGAGTATTTATGTTTAGGGGGGAGGGAGGTAGAGACTTTTTACCAGTGCTGTAGTAAACCCTGGAAGGGGAAGGGGTTCATTCCCTGGGCTGGGTCTCCTAGTGCCAGATATTCTAAGGCCCAAGGACTTCTTCTCCAACAGGCTCTGCCTTGGCCCAATTATAATTCTTTCTACAGGAGCTACAAGGGAGCCACTTCTGCCTCTGAGCTTGCAGGGCTACATGAGAGAAGGACCTGGGATTCAACCCTGTGGCTCCCAGGGTACCCCTTCCAGCTTCTCCTCAGCCAGCAGCAGTGATGGGGATCTGGATTTTGGGAGCCCTAGGAGCAGCCATGGACAACGGCTTGGGAAAGGTGAGCTGGTCCAGCCTGAGGCTGTAGTTCTCTGGGAAGGAGCACAAGGTCCTTGCCCACTATTATTTCTACCCCAGCACCAGAAGAAGAGCTGGGATACCAGTGCAGAAGCAGACGTAGGACTTGTTCCAGCAGAGTGAGGGGGGTCCTCCTTGGCTCAGGAGGGATAGGACAGTGCCAATCACGTGTCCTCAATCTCCCTTTATGGTAAATGCTCCCCTATCCTGGAAAAAAAGAAGTGTCTATACTACTAACTGACCTCCAGCTTAAGGGAAATAGAGGATCGTAGAAGACCACCTTCAGAGTTGTACTCAGTAACATCTGCCTCCCTGCGCCCTGCCAAAGGGCATCAGTCTTGGGGACTTTGGGGTCGTATAGAGCTCTCTCGACATCCCCCTTTGTCTTTCCTCTTGGAACAGTCATGTCTGTCTTGTCCTATGTTGGAAACGCAGTGCATCTGCTCATCTGTGCCCTGGCCACATCTGTTGTTAGTGGGACGGCCTGGAAATGTAAAATTGACATCTGCCTCACTGACATGGCGTTAGCAGCCCATGACTCAACCCTGTGGCTCCCAGGGTACCCCTACCAGCTTCTCCTCAGCCAGCAGCAGTAATGGGAATCTGGATTTGGGGAAATTGACATCTGCCTCACTGATATGGCAGCCCAAAGAGTGATGAGGGCTTACTTCAGGCATGTTGATGACTGCAAAGCTGCATTTTCTCAATGTCCCCAAACCTACACCTACCAAGCTCCTAATCTATATGGCTCTAAGTGTACAGCAGAATAATGTAAAGCTTGACTTGTAGCACCACCCAGCGTGAAAGCAACAGAGCTGATACAGGCCGAGATGACAGAGGTCAAGGACAAAACCAGCTGGGCAAGTCACATGTTTGTATGTGCCCTGTTCTTGCCTTCATCAAAAGTTCTGCTGGTCTTGCCAAACGCTGCCTAATGGTGGGCAGTTTGGCATACTGTGGTCTTCTCTGGCACATAAAAGAACTAAGTGACATTTTGCTGCAAGTTGTAGCATTCAGGAGACCTTCATTACAGAGCCTGCTTTCTCTCTTCCTGAGTCCTACTGAGGGAACCCCTACCCCACCCCAGTATACAACTCAATGTCCTTCAACTTTAGCCCCAGCCCTCATCCCCCAAGGGTGTACCATGGCATACCTGTGATCAGAGGACAACTTGCAGGAGGCTGTTCTAAATTTTCCTATACCATAAGTGTTCTGGAGTGAAACTCAAGTGTGCTCAGGCTTGGCACCAAGCACCTTTGCCTGCTATGGTCCACTTCAGTGCTGTGCTATGCTACACCAGCCCCACATGACAGTCCCTTGCTTACAACCTCTGCCTGGGTCCAGATAGACAGGAGGTACCTCATGGAGGAATGTGACCAGTGCTGTCCATTTACCTTATCCCTCTAGAATTTCACATCAGCTAGTTCCTGATATTTGCACAAGACTGGGACTAGGAGTATTGTCTTTGCAGTGTATCTGAAACCTATGGAGATTTAGACCTCCTGTGCCCTGATGTCATACAGAGGCAAGAAGGCCTGCAGCTTGCCCTCCCTGGGGGGTAAAAGAAGCCTTGTGTACATGTGATTGTTAGGGTATTCTGCACACTGAAGCAGGCAGAATCACACCATGGTGACAGCTGCTGTACTAAGGGAGCCTAAAACCTGTACCTTTGACTAGACTCCCTCATTCTAGCCCCCAAGGCAGACTTCTGTGTAGGCTTTCTCCAGGGTCACCTGAGCAGGGATGACAGTTGTTTGGACCATGTCTCCATCTGGGCCCTGAGCTACCAGGACATGTCCTATACTCTGTGTCTTCTTCTTCTGCTCTAATCAGGTCAGAAGAGGCAGGCTGCAGGGCTTCCCAGAGCACTAGACACCCATCCAAGACTGTTCATGTTTGACCCTCACAGGATATCCACCAGGAAACTCTCCACTCCAAGGCCTGGAGAACTGTTTGCGAGAGATCCCTGTTCCCAGGCCACAGGCTGCCTGGCCTTGCCCCTCGGCTGCAGACAGGGGGTTGAAGAGAACAGAGCCCAGGAACTGGGCTACAGACAGAGAAGGTAACAAAATGGAATTTGTGGGTACTTGGGAGAAGAGCAGTCACTTCGACGCTGTGGCTTTGGCAGCAGTATAGCAGCCCTCAGGCCAGATCTCAGCTGAGCTGAGAGGATGCTCTGGAATGGAGCTTGGGCAGAGCCCTACGGGCAGATAGTCAGTCCTTCCCCATACATACAGACTCTCCGGTAAATGAGTGATAGGCAGAGTCCAGGACATGGAGGCCCAGCACTGCTGTCTGCTGCTCCACTGAGCCAGAGCTTTGCTGACCAAATGTCTGTTGTGGCTGTGTCATCCCCTCATGCCTTGTTGTCTGCACATTTTGATTCCATATAGCTTGGGTTGGGAATAATGAGGCTTGGGCTGGTGCAGTGACCAAGCAGGGTCATTCTCCCCTGAAACTTGTATGTGAAAAGCCTGGTTGTGGCAGAAATTCTGTCTGTTCTGTGACAGTATGAGGTTCCATAGGACTATCAGGAATCTCCTCATTAAAACAGGACTGAGGAGCGAGGCATGTGAACCACCCCACCTCAGACAGGGTCGGGGAGAAGTAGCCAGCAGGAGTCTCCATCGGGGCAATCCACAGACCTGCACTCCCACCTGCCACCAGCTGATCACCAGGCCGGGAACATGGCAATGGCCGCAAGATGGTGAGCTGCCTTCGGTGCTTACGTCATAGTTCCCCTCCAGCTAGTTTCTGTCAAGGCAATAGCCTTCCCCTCTCTCTGTTTTCCTGTTTCCGTCCTACCTCCCTTCCCTTGCAATGAACATAGAAGTAGACAGAATGAGTAGGATGTTGTTGGGTCTACTGTGGAGGGGTTTCTTCAGTGGAGACGCTGCTGGGATTGAGGGGTACCCCTATACATACTCCTGACTGTAGGCAGCTCTGGCAGGACCGTTCTAGTCCCTGCTGGGGGCAGAAGGATGACTTAGCTCATCAGTGGCCCTCAGTAAACGCCAGGTCTTGCATGGTGCATGGTCTGCTAAGTAAAAGGTTATCCCGTGAGAAGGGACGCCTAGCTTGCAAGACTCGGCACTTAATTGGAATCTCATGAGGAGTCGCTTCTCAGGACGTGAAACTTCCAGAAAGTTCCCCAGGTCAGTTAGGCAGGGACATGGCTAGCCTCTGGCGTTGCTTCTCTGCCTGTGATCAGAAAGTGGACCCTGTGTTCAGGATCCACTAGAGCCCAAATGGGATTTGGTCAAGCAGAAGAATATACATCTGTGTGCCTAGCCATCTAGACGGGTGCTGTCAGCCACTGGCAGTGAACTCTTCTCCTCTGTTTAGAGACACCCACCATGCCCTCCCCTCTACACCGCCTGGAGAACTCTCTGAAGGGGATCTTGCCCATGAGGCCCTTGCGTTTCACCTGCGTGACTGGTCCCGGCCCCAGTCCCAGTCCCTGCTCCAGTTCCAGCTTCAGCAGCTCTGATGGAGAAGACCAGAGGCCAGAGCCTGCATTCTGGCAGCCACCCCCCAAGAGTGAGTGTGGTAGCATGGGGGTGAGAGTGACAATGAGCTGGTCTTTGAGGTGCCTGTCAGTCCTCTGATGCTGGCTTGCTTATGACACAGAGAAAGACCAGCTTCCCTCCTGTAAGGGTCCCGTCCCTCAGTGCCCTGTCTCGGGAGCATCCCCAAGAGTCGACAACAATAGCTGTCTTGCTGATGACCCTGAGAGCACAGAGCACAGGGACTGCAGCAGCCTCAGTGCAGGTAAGGCTGGGACCTCCCTAGATGTCAGCCACATGTTCCCAGGGGGCCAAGGGTCCAGACTTCCGCCTCTGAGTGTCACTGTCATTCTGCTGACTCTTGTTAAAATGTCCTCCTCATTTGTTGTACTCTAGATCCTAAAGCTGAGCCAGGGAGAAGGTGAGCCCATGAGCCAAGGCCTGTGTTCCATTAGGGAGCTCTTGGTAAACTCCTGATAGATAGCATCTACATACGTGTTCACTAATACATGCACACATGTGTATGTGCACAGTATACACCATATAGCCTTCAATAACATTTTTCAACTTGGCAGATTCAACAAAAGAAGTATCAAAAGTAAGACTTTTCAGTGCTAAAGCACTTGTCTAGCACATATGAGGCCCTGGGTCCGATCCTCAACATACCTACACAATGAGAAATAGAACTTTTGAAATTGTCCCAGGAGTCTAGAGATGACACCTAGTATTACAAGCCACTTTACACTCTACCTGAGCTGTGACCAAGACTTTGTTCCTACAGGAAGAGCAGAAGGCACAGAAGTTAAGTCCCACCCACCCAGAATAGAAGAGGCTGCAGAGCGCACCTGCCCACCTGGCCCTGTCTGCAGTGTTGAAGAAAAAGGAGAAGGGAAAAGAGGAGGTAGGACTCAAGGAACCATCTTCAGAGGCTGTTCTGCTCACAGGCCCTGGCTACCACCTGTGCAGGAGGAGCCCCATTTCCTTCTAAGACACTGAGGACTTGGTAGGAAATGGCCGAGTGGGTCCCTAGGTGTCACAGCAGGCAGCCCACCAGTGTTGGGCTCCCCAACATCTGGCCTCTGACATAATCGTTGTTTAGAAGTTGAAGATTTGCCATTGGTATGAGGGTGGGAGTGAGGGATGTGGCTCATCAGAATATCCCCCGTGTTGGAGTGGCTCTGAGAAAACAATTGTCCTTGTCCCAAGTGCTCTGTGCTCTTCCTGCAGAAGCAGCTGGGCACCCACAGCCTGCCACTCAACTGGAGGAAAGGCCTGAGCCCAAGGGTTCTGAAGACCCCAGGGACCCGGCGCCTGGACCTGGGCAACCTAGTGCTGCAGGTAAATGGGTGGCTTTTCCAGCGTTTGCTGTGCATTAGTGGCCTCCGGGAAAATCAGAACCCAGGTCCCATCCTAAGGAAGTAAACATGTTCCAAGTTCATCATTCGGATCATGGATAGGAAAGTTACATTGAAGCCACTTGGATACACGGCTCACTTTACTTCAGGGTTTTCATAAGGTGCACAGGCTCACCTTGCAGAGGCATTGAGAAGCATGTAGGGAGCCATCGGGTCTGAGGGACCTGAACCTCAGCACTGTTGAGTGACCTGGCTACCATCGCCCTGGCCAAAGGACAGGCTTCAAAATTCACATCACACACTGCTTCAGGGATCCACAGAGACAACAGGCAGGCTGGTGCACCTGTGTCCTGAGCTTGCTGGGAAGACCTCACAGATGTGCAGGACTCAGGTGTCTGGGCCGATTGCCCTTGGCTGGCTTTTGTACCTGTGCTGGCCACCTTCTTTGCCCGTGAGCTTTGCCTCCTTGCTCTGAAAAGGTTTTGTTCAGAGCCCTTGGCACCTCCCTCAGATGAAGCATCACACCACATTCTTACGTTGTTTTGTGGAGTTTAACTGTCCGTGTTTGTTTGAGACAAGATTTCACTAAGCAACCCAGGCCACTTGGTGTCCTTGAGCCACTCAGGCCATCAGCTATCCTTCACTGTCTGCAGCCCTAAAGGCACTGAAAAGACAAGGGCAGACCTTGAGTGGCGTTTAGCAAACAGCAGATTCCTCTTCCAGTGTAAGCCGAGTGGGTGAAGAATGGCACTATGTTGGCTGGGGTGAGACCCACTCCGAGGGATGGGGGACTGAAGGATTAGATGGTTTTGGAAAAGAAGAAACCTGAGATTAAAATTCTCTGGAAACCAGGCCTTACAGGCCGAATACTGAATACACTAAAGAAGTCTCTGGGACCAGAGAGATTATCCTCACTCTTACCCATCCTTCCTCTCATTTTAGACAGGACCCAAGAGAAGCTGCTCTCTGGGGACCCTCTGGAGCCATCCAACAAGTCTCCCCTTCCCACGTCTATCTTGTCAGAGTGGCCACCTGCTTCTCTCCAGCCACCATGCACCTGTGGCAGGTCCCTGCAGCAGGAGCTGCACAGCCTTGGTACTGCCCTCACAGACAAGCTGGACCAGCTTGCAGCAGCGTTGGCAGGCCTGTCCCAGGAAGTGGCCGCCATGAGGACCCAGATGAATCAGCTGGGGAGGCGCCCGTGGAACCTTGGACCAAAAGGCCGGGCTTCCTGGCAGTTGGCCCTCCCCCAGAGACTTCGCTGGGCCAACAGACTGAACCACAGACATCTACCCTACTGGAGGCAGAAGGGCCCCACCAAGCCCAGACCAAAGATCCTGCGAGCCCAGGCAGAAGGTTGCAAGGCCGGTGACTGCCCAGGACTCTCTAGAGGGAAGGACAGTTTGGTGCCTCTGTTGCCTCCAGATGCTTCCTTGGTAGACTCTCCCAGGCCCACCTGTAGTTCCTCCCAGCAGATCTCCTCTGCTGGAGGCCACACTGTGCTAACTGCACTCCCCCTTCTGGAACACACCGGGTGCCACCAGAATCCCCTCTCCCCTTCAGTGCCTACTGCCTTGGTCCCCCGTGTGGCCTCACCAGCAGCCCCTGCAGACACAGAACCTAGGGCTGCTAGAGTGGCAGCAATCAGCATTCCAAACCAGCCCAAGGAACCTAGCAGCCTTCTAGGGGGACCGCTCAGCAAAGACCTCTGGGGAGGTGACCACAGGGATCCAAGGTGGGGGGCCCATTAACTGTGCCGCTTGTCTGCCTAGCCTAGCTGGGGATGCCGGGTGGTGGAGATGTCCTAGTGGGACCCTCTGGGGTCCAGCCGTACCAGGCTACCTGCTTCCCCGGGGTCGTATCTTCCTTCTTTCCCATTCAGCCAGCCCTCTCATTGCTGCTTCACATCTGGCCCTTTGCCTCTGCTGTGCCAGGCCCCTATGGTGTCTGCACGGAGCCACCATAGAGGCATTCCTCAGCCATACCTCTGGCTTTCTCAGCTCAGGTTCAGCCAGCTGCTCTTCCTCCCACTTAGCAGAGCCATCTAGGATCCAGGTGGGTGTCGTGTGTACCGCATGTGCACGGAGCCAGCTGCAGAGAGCACCACGGGGGCACCGTAATCTGATTACCTGTTCCTGATCTCAAGGACACTGAAAGGCTACCCTTTGTCTGCCTAGAACGAATACTTCACAGATCTCATTTGGGGAGAGCCTGGCCTGTGGTCTAAGTCCAATTAACCCCACATGGATTTTAAAATTAAATATATTAGCTGCCAAGAAAAGGGCACTGGCTTCTAGGGAAAGGTGCTCAGAAGGGCCGACACTCAGGCATGCTTGCCTGGATGGTCACCCGGACTTCCACACATACACCTGAACTCGTGCAGTGTGACTGAAGACAGAATGCCGCAGGTCCCCTGGGGAGAGTTCTGCACATGTGCCAGTCTCTTAGGCTGTATACAAAGTCTCACACTTAGTCTAGGCAGCTTAAATCAGGAGTCCCAGAACCAGGTCCTGTCAGGATTGGTTCAGCAGGGGACCTCTGGCTCTGTTGAAGGCTCTCTTCGTGCTCAGATGGCATCTTCTAGGAGTCTTTTCTCCAAATGCCCCCTTGTACCAGTACACGGGATGTTTTGGGTGGCATCCATTCCCATTCGAACTTGAAGACTCTAAGGAACATCACAGTCTGAAGTGCCAGGGGGGAGCGACATGGTGTCAGCCTTTTGACACAGCATTGTCACCCAGAAAGTTCACATTCAAGAACCAGACAGTTGAGATTAAAAAAAAAAAAAAAAAAAAAAAAAAAGCCAGAAAGGAAATCTGATGTTTGAAGTGTGTTTAGAGTTTGTGTTGGGCTGGTTTGCAGCATTCCTCATCTACGTGCATGTTAGGTGGGCTGCAGGTGGGTGTGCCCTTTAGGCTTAAGACATCAGCATGGAAAGCAGGAGGGCACCGCCTAGCTTATGACACACCTGTGACCCGTGCAGCCGCGGGTCTAGCCTGCCTGGTGAGATGCTGGGTGCTGGACCGCAGCTTGCCCCATGTTCACTCGCCTCCTTCTGAACATGAGGCCTCAGGAGCCGTGCCCATACCCGTAGGGTTGGGAAGGCCTGGGCCTGGGCTGCACACTGAAACTTAGGGTGGCATGACCTTGTCTGTGACAACCACCAGTGGGGGCCAGACAAGGTCTCTCCCCTCCTCTTCAGCGAAGTGGCCATAGGCCAGGCCGTGGGTGGGGATCTTATTTCCTTGTGGGGCTGAAAAGTGGCTGAGTCCTCACTGAGCAGACCAATGGAAGGCTGGAGGAGGTAGCCACAGGGACCATCAGTGACTTCCTACAACACCCTTGGAGCTACTGTTCCACCGGAGGAGCATCTGCCACTGGTGCTGTGACTTGTCTGGGCTGGCCGGTCTCTGGATTTCACATGTGGCTCCTGTAAATAATCCATCTTGACAGTGTCTCTGCTGAGAGGCCTCATTAGGTGCCATTGGTTACATTTACAGTTGAACACACCGTTGATACTTTTTGCCTTGTCCCACTTTAGAGTTTGGGGTTGGCTGACTGGGTTTGGTTTTTGTTTCCTCCTTTCCTCTCATTTTAGATTGGTTGTATTGGCGTGTTGTTATTGTTGTTAATTTTTTTCATACTCATTCCGCTTCTCCCAATTTTATTCTTCCAAAGGACTAGAAGGAGAAACATTTGAATTTCACAATCCTATTTGGAAGATTTTGGTATTCTTTTCTCAACTTGATAAGACCAATTAGGAAGGAAGCCAAATCTTGCTAAGCTGATTAACAAAATTGGCCCAGTTGATGAGTGTAAACACAGTGCACCACAGGACTGCTGTTTGCACATATACACAGACCAGTACGGAAATGACCTAGTTGAGTGAGCCCTAGAGCAAGTTCAAACAAATTTAAAACGTTGAAATTACATGGAGTGTGTTTTCTGACCACACTTTACTTTCTAGACTAAATAGCAAATCCCAGACATTTTTATATATTCAAAAAGGAATGATTATTCTACATGTAGAAGATGACAACCATCTATAACCCCGGTTCCAGGGGGGGGGGTGTCCCACACCCTCTTCTAGCCCCCATGGGCATAAGATGTCCATATAATGTACAGACATGCATACAGGCAAACACTCAAGCACATAAAACATTGAGAAAAAGAAAAGCTGGGCATGATGACACATACTGTAAACCCAGCACTTCTAAGATGAGACGAGAGCATCAAGAGTTCAAGGCTAAGCTTGAGTACATGGAAAGTTCAAGGATATCCTAGGCTATGAGACCTCATGTCAAAAAGAAAAGGAAGAAAAAAGCAAAAAGGGTGCACTACCACAGAGCCCTTAAGAATCAAGGATCTGGAGCAGAAGCCAGCCGGGAAACCAGGTATATGAATTAGACATAGACTATTCTGAGCGTGGAGGGGAGAGTGGCTTATGAAACCTGTGACTCTTGATAAAGACACGTTTATTAAATCTTGACAAGGATGCAAACTGAAACTGTAGTTGTCCAACCTCTCCAGGAGTCCTTTGCTCTCCTGCAGCCTTGGTGACCCAAAGATGATGCTGGGTACCCGGGGTGAACTTACAGGAGGCCTCTGCGGGGAATCTCACACAAGCAAAGTGTCCCAGCTCTGAGGTGCTGTCATCAGAAGATTGTTCTACCCACTCATTTCCACCCTGTCGCACTCATTTTAGAACTGTTTCATTGGGGTTCCTGAAAGCCTCTCCCTTCCAGCCACCAACCCTAGGTGGGAGAGACGTTAGTGGGGGGAGGGGCGCAGACCCTTTTACTTCTGCTGCTGTTTAGGGTCAGCGGCTTCTTTTGGGCTTAGACCAACCTTCATCAACAGCAGACTCAGCAAGCAGTCTCCTTCAAGCCGCTGCGCTGAAACCTTTCCGTCCGGTCTCTGGTCTCTTCACACTGCCCCTCTCACCACATGCCATGCCATACTTTCTCTCTCTCTGGGATCTCATATTTATGTCCTCAGAGACCTAGGCCACAGCCCTCTCCGTGCCACACTAGGCCGGCAATGACCTGGCAAAGGCCACGCCCCGCACCAGACAACCGTCAGCTGTGGACAAACTAAAGCCCAAACTAAAATCCCACACTTGGGACTAAAACAAAAACATACGTACATAACATTGAGTTTTTAAAGAAACCAAACCTTCCATTACACTCCCCCCCCCCAAAAAAAAAAAAAAACAAAAAACAGAGGAAATAAATTTTAAATAGAAGTCTTTTTTTTTTTTTTTTCATGAAAAGTGAGACTCAAAACTTTTTATCTTCAGACAGGGGAGTCTCAGTATATGGCTTCAATTGGCCTTAAACTTTCTATTCTTCTGCCTTCCTGATGCCAGGATTACAGGCAGGCAGTGTTACACAGGGGTGTAACTTAGATTTTTAATGTTCTTACAGCATCTCAGGAGTCCTTTAGCCCGGCATTATTGGACCTAGCTCGGCTAGGAGCAATGCCAGCAGCTCTCTGGGTAAATGGAAGGTCCTATATGTGGTATACACCTATACCAAGATGGCTTTCACAATCCTGAGCTGGCTCCCCTGAGTCTTGAGGCTCCCAAGGTGGGGTCTTGGTGGCACTTTCCCATGGATCTCTTCTCCCAGGGTCCTCATCCTCTGTGGTGACTGCCCTCCTGTCAGTCAGCCTTCCTTTCTGACAGCTGACTGAGAGCTTCGCCAGCTTGATTACATCTGACACAGTTAAAAGTGGGTCTCCTTTGGGAGTCAGGCTCCATGCTCTTGCTGTGTCCTGTGAACAGAGACGGGCCTAATCAGAGTTCCATTTCCAATGCCTAAGCCACTCCAAAACAGGGAACTCTCCACCAGGCTGCTCTCCGTAAGCACCTTTCAAAAGTGAAGTCACCGACAGCTGGGCTTGCTTCTAACAGCAACTTTCCTCCTCAGCCTTTCCAGTACCTCTTTGTTCTACCTCTTGATTCTCCCAGCACCATGCTTCCTTGGTGGGGCCTAGCCATCTCTGCAATGATTTTTTTAAAGTAAGATATTCTGTGGCCCTGGCTGGCCTGGAAGTCGCTATGGAAACCAGATGGCCTCAAACCACAGAGATGTCCTACCTTTGTCTCCTGGGATTAGATGCCTGTGCCACCATGCCCAGCTGCAGTGACCTTTTTATAGTCAGAAGTCCCAATAGGTACAAGAGAATGTTCTGGAATGATCATAGGGAAAGCATTTCCTCTGTTCTGCTCAACAGTGTTCAAGGAGATGCCTGTGAACTAGTATGTAAGACAGACGGGGAGACTGATGCTGAAGTGCACACACAGGTTAGTTCTGCATCCAGCTGGTCTTTGGTTAGTTGTGTGGACATGTCCTTCACACACACACACACACACACTGATACACTCACTCATCGTGTATTAGTTACTTTTCTGTTGCTGTGATAAAACACAATTGTGAACAATATTAGTGAATATTACTGTTGTCAGGCTAAGCAGACGACTTACCTGTCTCATCTTCAATTTTCACAATGACCATGGCAACCAATAAAAGGAAGAGCTTATCTGAGCTTACAGTTCCAGAGAGGTACGACTCCATCACGGTGAGAAGGCACAGCAGGAAGTGACAGGCTAGGCAGCAGGAGCAGGAAGCTGACAGTTCACATCTTCAGCTGCAACCACAAAGCAGAGAGAGGGCAAACTGGAAGTGGCAGGAGGCTTTGAACTCTCAACATCGGCCTCCAGTGACTCCTTCCAACAAGACTGCACCTCCTGAAACTCCCCAAACAGCGCCACCAGCTGGAGATCAAGTGTACAAGCATCTGAGCTTATGAGGGACATTCTCATGCAGACCACTACCCCATGCATACACTAACTTGCGTGCATGCATGTACACACTAATATGTGTGCATGCACAGTGTTCAATAAGTTTCAGCTACCATTTTTCTGAGAACAGATTGTGGACCACTGAGTCAGTCGCTGCCCAGTCACTGCAAAGCTGAAGTGCAAATGATATGGCAAAAGTCATGTGAAAGTCAAAGAGATGCTACTGAAAAATACATAAAGTTTATTACAAGAGTCTTAGAATGTAGTATTGTCTGAAAGTCATTCTTTTCAAGTTGTGACACAGAAAGAAAAGAAAAGAAAGAAAGAAAGAAAGAAAGAAAGAAAGAAAGAAAGAAAGAAAGAAAACACAGCTAGTAGCAGCATACCTTTATGGACTTGCTGAGACATATTTAAAAAATGTAACTGTGATTGTGTTTGGATTTTTCCAGACTCACATAACATTATTTCAAATCCTAAACTCTCTTCTAGTGTGCTGACAAGGTTCTGTCTGAAAGAATGCCTCAAATTCAAAGAAGATAAAGGGCTTGTGCTCTATGTGTGTGAGTCCCAACAAGGCCCTGGCCTCTCAAAGCCTCAGTCACTTTACCAGCCAGCTGGGACAGGTAAGCTTGCAAAAGTACACTCTGCAGAGAAAGCATAGGACAAACACTCGTGAGAAGCATGCTAAGACATTTACATTTTCTTCCTTATACTTTTCTCTCCCGTATTTTGTTTCAAAGAGTTATTTTTGAGTGTGTATGTGTGTGTGTGCGCGCCTGTGTGTGTCTGTCTGTCTGAGTGAAGGCACAATTGGGGGCCAGAAGAGGGCACCAGATCTCCTGGAGCTAGAGTTACAGGCATTTAATGCAAACTGGTGATAATAGAGCAGAGGGCACAGGACATTCTGGGTGTGTTTGTTGGCAGATTTCATTTCTCAGACGCCAAGCTAGGAGAGCACTGAAGGTTCTTTGCCATAGGCTTCCGAGTACACTTGCCCATCAGGCCTGAAGAGAGAAACTCTGCTAGCAGATTAGCCCTCTGTTACATGGTGTGGTGAGAGCAGTGACCTCCATCAGCATTGCCATAACCATCGCTTAGAGGCCAAGCCACAGACTTGCTCACCCTCAAGAGGGGTGTGTGGTCTGTGTATGTGTGCGCCAGGGTGCACTGGCTTGTGTGTGCACATGTGGAAGGCCAGAGGCCAACAACAGGATGCCCATTTTTATTGTTTTCTACTTTATTTTGTTGAGGCATGGTCTCTCAGTAAATCAGAGCTAGCCATTTTGGCTAGTGCAGCTGGCCAGCAAGCTCCTCAGATCTGCGTACCTCTGGTCCCCTCCCAGCACGGGGGACACAGATGTGCTCAGCCACACACCTGGATTTTACATGGGTTCTGGGGATCTGAACTCTGATCAGGATGCTTCCACAGCAAGCACTTTGCCCACTGGGCCATCTCGCCAGCCCTATCAAGGCTTACTGTGTGCTGGCCTCAACAGGGTTGTTTTAATAATGACTCGCACTGAAGATGAGGGACTGTTCTTGATCAGCTTGATGAAATAAGATTTAATGGTTTTATTGTCTGTTAATTTTTTTAATTACATTTAGCTAAGAAATACATCCAGAATGTTCTGTGCCCTCTGTTTTCTTATCTCATCATTTTGCATTATTTTATTTAATTCTCGTGCCAACCCAATTAAGTGTTGCTTTATCGTTATTTTGCAGAGAAGGAACTTGAAGCTGCTTCACCTGGGCACAGTCAGATTTACTGATCATGAAACCATCAATTGTCCCTTCAAAGGTTGCTTCAATAGGACAGACAGAGACTGCAAGTGGTTTGGTGACAAATGGAAGTGAGGAAGTGGAGACAAGGTGTGCTGACTATTTAGGATAGAGATGCAATTTTTTATTTCTGTTTTTGAGACAAAGTACCCCTGTGTAGCCCTGTCTGGCCTGGAACTCACTATAATCAGGCTGGTCTTAAGCTCCCAAAGATTTGCCTGCCTCTGCCTCCCAAGTGCTGGGATTAGAGGCATACTTGAACTAGATACGAAATTTTTATTTGCCCAGTGGCACTCTTCTTCAGGAAGAAGCAGCTCTTTATTCTTCCTGCTTTGCCAGCCTGTATGGTCCTGCCAGGGGCATCTGCTGATTGGTCCAAAAGGGAGGATCCCCGCCTGGCGGTGGCCACACACACCTTTAATCCCAGCACTTGGGAGGCAGAGGCAGGCGGATCTTTGGGAATTCAAAGCATTGGTTTATAGAGCTAGTTCCAGGACAGCCTGGTTTACACAGAGAAACCTTGTTTCAGAAAGCCAAAAATAACCCAAACACACACACACTCACACACACGCACACACACACATACACATGGAATATCCAGCTACGCTGGATCAGCTGAAATACCTTCCTCAAAGACAGAAACTTTAGATCAGGGAATGGTGTGTTGTGCACCTCTCTCAGTTGGCAAAAGCCATAAACAGCAAATCCTGAGAGCTTTCATTGACCACATTTCTTATCACATGAGAAGGCTGGTCTTCAGTGAAAGCTGACCCAGGAGTAAAGCAGGATGAGAAGAATCTCAGGATTAAATGAACCATAGGTTCTTGGTATCCCCAAGGCTAAAGCAGAACCCCACATTCCTGTAATTAGAGAGAGGCCACCCTTGAATTTCTCATCTAAACCCAGTCTGCTCAGTTCAAGAAAGCAATGGCTGATTGTCTTCAGTCCTCACCTCAGCTCATCAGCCCAGGCCATGCTTTCCCTCGGAAGTATCCACCAAACCTGGGCATGGCAGAGTACTAGGCTTGGTTCTCCCACCCACAGTGGACACATCGGACAAACTACCTTTGTCTCAGAACTCCCTGATGAGTGGCTGAGACATGTGGAGATGTGAGGCTCTGCCTACATGCTTCTACTCCTCTAGTCTCTCTCTCCCTCTTCCTCCACCCCCCTCCCTCCCACCCCCACCCCTGTCTCCCTTGGGGGAACTACCTTTCATTCTACCCTGCCTTGCCAAACAAGCCTTCCCATGAATTTATTGAAGCAACATTTTCTTTTTTGTCTTCTCTAGATAAGTTGAGCTGCTGTGATGATCAATGTTATGTGTCAATTTAACTGGGCTAAAAGATACTCAGCCTACAGAACCTATGAACCATGAGCCAATACATTTGCATATATTATAAATTAATCAGATCCAGGCATGCTGTTATAGCGATTCAAAATGAAGAAAGTGAAAGTCATCATTTGTGGTGTCTGGCAGAAAGTGAGCGGTGGGCATCAGAAAGCATGTTTCCCCATCAGAGAACAATGGAACCTTGCGTGGTCTCATGCCAGGACAGAGAAAACTCAGCAGAGCCTCTTAGAACATAAAAAGTTAGTATTCCAAGAGCATCCAGACATGAATTGGTCCCTTGCCAGGTGACAGTGAGTGAGACAAATGAGATGTTTCTTTCTCCTTTCATAAGCCCTGTCTCATAGGGGAGTCCACAGTGTCCCCGGAGAGATGGAGTAGAAAACAAGACAGAGACCACGGAGACCTGGGCCTCTTCTCCTGGCACTTAGAAGCTTCAGTGGCATCAAAGGGAGCGTCACCAAGCTGGTGAGATAGGGAAGCTTTAGGTTAGATAAGATTGAACTTGGCAATAGCTGAAAGAGGAACCCAAGCACCCAAGCCCTGTTAGGATCCGCCTAACACATGTTCCAGTAGTGGGTACAGGCGACTGTCAACATAGCTGATAACTTGATGCGTTCAAAAGAATCTGGCAGAGGTGACATTGCATGAGTTCTGGGATAAAGGCTGCTCCTACTCTTTGTTTCAGCGCTGTCATGTTGGGAAACACAGACCAGCCTCCTGGAGAAAGAGAGAGGCCCGGCCAAGAGCTAGAACGAGTCACCCAGTGGCTTGTGGGGATATCTTGGAGTCCTGAGAGCCTCACAGTGATTATAGCTTATGAGGCATCCAAAATAAGACCAGCCAAAGCCACTCAGCAGAGCCACCCCTCACTGCTGCCCCGAGTGTGCCGATTACTGTCCACTGACTGGATTTAGAACCACCTTGCAGACACGTCTTTGGATATCTCTATGTGTTTTGAGTGACTATCAGCTGAGGAGGGGAAGGCTACCTTGAACATGGGTATCCCATGAATTGGAGTCCTGGGCTGAATATGAAGGGGAAACTCTCTGCTTCCTGACAATGTTCTCAGCTGGTTTGAGCTCCTGCTATTATGACTTGCATGCTCTGAAGGACTGTATCCTCCTTAAACCATGAGCCAAAGTAACCCTTCTTTTCTTAAGATGCTTTTGTGACAGAATGTACTTTTTGTTACAGAAAAGAAACCAATATGTCATGAAATCAAAACAAAGGAAGGCTTGTTGTTTCCCACTTGATCTGGGATTGGTGTGTGTTTCCCAGTTATAGAAAACTTGTATGGTGGAAAGAGAGATCCAGCAGCATAACTTTGAAAATGGTAGTAGGAAAATATTCACCTCCTGCATTCTACCTACATAGTAAAATTCATTTAACTAGTTATGTGATCAAAAGGCAGATAGTGCAATGAGGCTATATAGAGTGTAGATGTACCCCTCCTTCATAGTCTCTGAACCCTAAATACCTACCCAATTGTTCTGGTGACTATCCTTTGCTCCAGTCAGCAGCACTTCCCTGGGGACATCACTCCAGAACCTGTACATCTCCCAGCTGTGACCTTGGCTAGAAAGAGAAGTGGAGATGAGGATGAAAATTAAAAGGCTCGGGAATAAAACAACACTCACAAGTCTCAGGAAACTCCTGAAACTTACAAGATTTATAGGCCTCCCTTCCAAAGGTTCTATAACAGTAACAGTTGCTGGGAAGAGGAGATGGAGTGGCTGAATTATCTGCTGATCGTGTAAAGAGCCCAGGTAACACACCTTTCTTGAGTTGTCACTCCTGGGTAGGCTTTTCAGTGACACAGCTGCCTTCGAGTCACCTGTGTTCCTTGTCAGTAACCCCTCCCACATTCTCATGTCACAGTGTCAGTGTGAAGATCAGCGAACACCTCACGGTAAATGCTTCTGTCCTTCCAGCCTGAGGGGCCCAGGGATCTAACCCTGGTCATCAGGCTTGGCAGCAAACACCTTTAACCACCCACCCATCTCACTAGCCTGTAGCCCAGACCCCTGAGTTCATTTCATATCCTACCTTCCCCTGCCTCCTGAGGAGCAAGGGGGATACAGGGGCAAGGCTGTGTCTTGTGTACACCCGCCCGCTCTGGAATTTCTTTTAGGCTCTGCTGTGGTAGGCATAGACCACACTGGGAGCCAGAAATGCATGGAAGCAGGACCTGCCCTACCACACCACAGGCCCGTCATTCCCTCCCTCCCACCTGCAGCTCCGTGGAATTATTTCTCCATCACCAGGCCCAAATTGTCTTGTATGTAGGATGAGAATAGAGATTCTTTTGGCAGCCCAGAGAACCCATGAGGGCCCATGCATAGGCTTAAGAGTAGATCATGGACTCTGAATTTATATGCAAACCTATTTCAACAGACATTATTTTGAGAGAAGCATCAGTGTTTATCATGGCACCATTTATAATGTGCCTAAGAGCCATTGACAGAATAATAGACAAGGAAAATGCAGTCTATGTGCACAGAAAATATTATTCAGCCCGAAGGAGGAGCAGAGTACTGCCATTTGGAACTGGAAGGCTCTGAGCGAAACGGAGACACAGAAAGGCGATACTGCGTGTTGTCTCTCACATGAGGAAGCTGAGCTAGATGGGTCTGAATGCAGAGCAGGGAACAACAAAGCTTGGAAAGAGCACAGGTGTGTGTAGATAGGTGTCCACTGTACTCACGTGTGAAAGTCTCACACCAACACCAACAATATGTACAACTAATACGTGATTTAAAAAACACTTAAAATATTTAGTGGTCCACAGAAGTTTAGAGACCCATGTTTGAGAACAGTCCCAGGCCCCTCTAACACAAGCCTGACTGAGCTGACAGCACTGGGAGGACATGTGTAGGGGAAGAGGCATCTGAATAGGCCTGCGGGTTGTTCTGCTGAGGAAAGATCCCAGGGATTCCCCAGGATGGAGTTGGCCTCATCTGTCTAAAATCCAGATCCTATGGGAAGGCCCTGAAGATCACAGGGAGGGAAGCTCTTGAGTCCTGGAAAGAAATCCTGGTAGGGAAAGAGGGCTCTGACCCCCAGGAGCTGTCTTGCAGGGTTGGAAGGGAGCCCTGGTCTGGTTTCTGCAGAGCCTCAAGTAGGATCCAGTTTGTGATGACTCTAATGACATTACATAACAGTATTACATAAACCCATTACATAAATCAGCGGCGTGTCGTTGACCAGGAAGGTCCCCTGCCCTAAGGCTGACCTAATCCCCTAATCCCCAACCTGAAGGCTCCGTCTTCGCTTGGGCAGTTGGTGTAATCTGCTCCGTCTGTCTCCCAAGCAGCCTGTACAGATCTAGCATGTACTGATCCTATCTTCAGCATCTTGGGACCGCCACGTCCTTCGTGAGGCCGCTCTTCCACTCTCCAGCTGTTGCCATGCACCCCCACCTCTCCCCAAGGACAGTCTCACAGCCCTTTCCCAGAGACACTCCTCCAGCCCCTACCACAACGGCTGCCCCAGAAAGCACTGGGTGCTGCTCATCTACAGGAGAGCGTGAGTGGTCTCCAGCTAAGTCCCAAGGCAAGGGTCAATAAGCAAGTAAACTGTGAGTTCCCCTAAAGAACAGAGGGAGAGTCTATCTGAGGCCCGTGGAATTCACGAAGAAGGAAGAGAAGGAGGAGGGGGAGGTGGAGGAGGAGGAGGAGGAGGAGGAGGAGGAGGAGGAGGAGGAGGAGGAAGGCAGCAAAAGCTAGACATGGTGGCACACAGCTTTAGTTCCACCCAGCAACTGGGAGGCAGAGGCAGGTGGATCTTCCCGAGACGGATGATAGCCTGGTTTACACAGTGAGCTCTGGCCAAGACAGGGCTACATAGTGAGACCCTGTCTCCAAAACAAAACCACCAAAATGAGTTGTACAGGCGAAATTGTTATTCCGTCCTGCAGCAGCTGTTTCAAATGATAGGACCTCAGAGAAAGCTCCCAGCCTCCAAGCACCAGAGATTTCATTTCAGGCTCTCCTACAGCTCCCAGGCCATGTATCTGGAAACAGTGTCTTTGCAAAGGTAATCAAATTAAGATGGAGTCATTAGATTGGGTCTAATCCAATAGGACCTGTGTCCTTAAGAAGAGAAGACACAGATGCCCACAGAGCGATGGCTTGGGAAGTCGTATGAGGTCAGAAGGGGAGATGGAGAAGCAACCATCAGTAAAGGGGCAAATAGGATAGAGGCAGAGACCAGAGTCCCCCCGTTCTCCCCCACAAGCAGAGGGTGAGGTCCTGCTAGCACCTGGGTCTCAGTTTTGCAGTCTCTAATCCAACAGGACAGGAGCTGTTTTGTCAATTGGAGCCTCCCAGGCCCTGGTACTCTGCTAAGAAGGCTCCAGAAAAAGGACTATGGCGCCTTTGGTGAAGGGGTATTGGACACAGACTGCCCCCCTTTCTGTGTGAGAAGTGGGTGTGGAGGTAGGGGATGGATGGGTGTGTGAAGATGGTAAGGGAGGAAGAAGGCAATGTTAAGAGACAGGGAACCCCCAGGCAGTTCTCCCAGGCTGGGCCTGGACGCTGTCCCTGTCTCTGATGCCCGGCATCTTTTCCTGAGGGTCTCCACCACCCGTTCTGGGAGCTCATTTCAAGATCCTGCAACCCTCCTGTCCCCCACCCTCATGTGTTAGGGGCCTCCCTAACAGCTGGCCTCCCCTTCGCATCACCTGCTGGGACAACTGTTCCCATCCCAAGTGCCTTTACTCCGCATGTTGCAGAACACACTTTCCATGAAAACTGGGCTCTCCAGCCTGCTCATTTCTAGGTGTTTTAAATTGTATCTTTCACACCTTGTCATAGACTGCAGGCCTGCATCTTAGTGTGTCTCTGAAGCTGTCAGTTCATCACTGAGACCAGATGCTTCACGCTTTCCGTGCTATGTATGATGCTGCCGTCATAGTCTTGGGCATGGGGGAGAATGTTCTCCTCTTTCCCAGGAGATAGACAGGGAATACCCTGGATGTGTGGAACCATGCTGCCTGGATGGCCGGGGGCCCAGCCTCACACCCAACACTGACGTTCCTGCCAGTTTGATTCATCTTCTCTGAGATGCCTCCTGAGCATTCAGGCAGATTCTGTCTCTTTTTATTCTTTTCTCAGACACCATGCATGTGCACTTGTCTTACATCTTAACCTGCTGGGTCCATCTCTGAATCCGAGTTCACAGAACCCAGGAATGTGAGGGTGCTCTCGGCAAGAGGTACAACACCATTCATGACAGCCATTGGTTAGAAACAACCAGTACCATTAAGGAGAAACAAAAAATTACAGGCACACGGCGGGATATTATTCAGCCTTTAAAAGAAAGAAAACTGGGTTTAAATGTATATTAAAAGACTAAAATTTAAAAATAAGGGAATGCTATGTCTGTAGGATGGCCCAGTGGGTTCAGGAACTTGCTATGTGATACCCAAGGTCACATGGCAGAAGACGACAACAGACTCCCTCAAGTTGCCCTCTAATCTCCACATGCATAGTGTGGTGTACACATACACACACACACACAGTATTTACTTTTTGAAGAAAAGGAATTTATAAAGGAAATTCTAGTATGTGCTGCCACATGGATGGGCCTTAAAGATTTTTTACTAAGTGAAATAAACCAGACAAATATTATACAATACAACTTATGGGAGAGTCCTAATGGTAAAATTCATACAGGAAGTAGAATGTTGGTTGTCGGAGGCTGCCAAGGGGAGACTGGGGAATCATTGTTACGTGGGCAGAGTTTCAGTTTTCTCAACTGACACTCGTGACTGAATGTATGTGGGGTATGGCATATATGGTTTATATAATGATGAACGGTTAGTAGTTATTAACCGTACTGTCTAGTTTTATGTCACAAGCTAGAGTCATTAGAAAGGAGTGATCCTCAATTGAGGAAATGTCTCTATAAGTTCCAACTGTCAGGCATTTTCTTAATTAGTGATCAATAGGGGAGGGTCTGGCACATTGTGGGTGCCTGGAAAGGTGGTCCTGGGTTAAAAAAGCAGGTTGAGCAAGCCAGTAAGCAGCACCCCTCCATGGCCTCTGCATCAGCTCCTGCTTCCAGGTTCCTGCCCTGTTTGAGTTCCTGTCCTGACTTCCTGTGATGATGAACTTTAGTAATATGGAAACATAAGCTAAATAAACCTTTCCTCCCCCAACTTGCTGTGGTCGTGGTGTTTCATCACAGCAATATAATCCCTAATTAAGACAACATCTATCAGCTTGAACATCAATCATTTCAGCTGAGGTGGGATTTCTCTGGACTCACCCTGAGACAGATAACCAGTTCTCATCAGGGCCCAGAGTTACATAAAGCTGGTTTCCTTACAATGCCTTGAGGTTGATCCTAAGACCTGTGCCTCCTGCTTCAGCCCTAGCCATCTTCTTGACCCAGGACACACTGCCCTGCAGAAATACCCCTGGCTTCTCCAGACTGCACCCTGCCCTTTCTCTGCACTTTCGTCTTGAACAGGATGCAATCCCTGTACCTGCCCAGCCACACAGGACAGCATGTGAAGCTCCAGCTTCCTCCTTTGGTTCGGGCTCAAGTCTTCGAGTCTGGGACCATAACTCTTATTTCTTTACCATGCCCCAGAGCACTCAGCCTGCATTAAGGGCCATCCACAGAACATAGCTTGTCTTATACCAGAAAAATCAAATCAGAAGATCAAGGGCTTGGGCTCTGTTTCCTACAATGTTTGCACAGGGCTGGGTGGATTTGCAAGTTCAGAGGATTAAAATGCCAGTCTCTCTACCTGCTTGTCTGAGCTGGTCAGAGACACACCTAGACTCTCTCTGACTTGAGATACGCAGACATGTTTGGCAGCCCCTTCTGACCAGCAGCAATCAGCGTCCACCTCTGCAGACAGTGAGAAGACACCAAGAGGCTCAGCCACAAGCCAGATTCCTGGGTCTACTGGGTCACTTGATTGGCAGATTTCACTAGAGCCTGGATTAGCTGTTGCTGAAGTCCACTCACTTTGCCCTGCCCTTGCCAAACAGTCTCTTGATCACTGATTGGTTCCCCAAGCATGCTGACCGTAGAAGAGAATGAGAAAAGAATGAGAAACAGCATTCTGGGCATCTGAGCAGCTGCCAAAGCAAGGAAATGCAAGGGCTGCATGTTCTGTTGAAAACACAACACACCAGCTCCTCCCCTGACTCCTCCTCCTGCAAATGAAAAGGCAACAGCAAGAGCACACAGAGCCTTACTCTTCTGTGGACACTGGTGTTTCATCTCCAGCCAGACTGCAAGTTCCACGCAGGCAGGTGGCATGACCGATGCATGTCTGAATTACTTGCTAGGACTGCAGACTGCCTGCTTCATACCTGTTTACTACAGACGATCTTTCTGTGGAACAAGAAATGGAGGATCATTTTGGCTGGTTAGGGAAACATTTCATCACAGAGGAATTCATACATAAATACATACATAGAGTTTGCGTTTTACTTCTTAGAGTATTTTTTGAGTACCAGTACTGGGGATGGCTCACGTCTGGGGTCTCACCTGGAGAAACACAGGAGTGTGTATTCATTTAGTCAGGACCCCTGTGAATGGCCTAGAGCTCCTCCTTGCAGCAGTGTTCAGAAGTTCCAGCCTTCCACTCAGGCCTTGAGCAGAGGAGGGATGGGAAGTGAACACAGAACTTCACATGTGCCAGACAAGTGCCCTGCCACCAAGCTCCAACCCAGAACTTTCCCTTTCAAACTTTTTATTTATTCAGTGTATGCACACACATACACATACCGCAACATACGTGAAGGCCAGAGGACAACTTATAGCAGTCAGTTCACTCCTTCCACATAGGTCCCTGGGTTCACATGTAGGCTTGCAGCAGGCATCTGTACCTGCTACGGCATCCTGGCAGTCCCTTTTCTCCCCCCACCCCTCATGTCTTACTAGGTTCTCTAGGCTGGCCTTGAACTCACGCCGTAGAGGTTAGCTTTGCTCGTCTGATCCTGCCTGAGCCGTGGCTGGGATGACAGCTCTGCACCGTCAGTCTTACCTGGCTTTTGAGCACCTGTCATTTGTTTTGACCACCAAGCTTGACCCTAAACGACTTTCAACTATTTGCAAACAGGTTCAGAAAGACAACGATTTGCTGGGCGGCGAATCTTCACGAGAATGTGAAATCCCAGAAATGGGTGGCCCGTGGTAGTACTCCTCCAACATGCTGGCCACTGGCACCCTGCTGTCTCCTCTCAGGGTCCTCCTGTCTATCCTCTGGTTTCCTGTCTTTGCAGCTTCCTCTCCGTGTCCTGCCCTCATTGTTGGTGCTCCACACCAGTGTCTGGTCTATGGCCTCCTTTTTTTCACTCCACACTCATTCTTTGGAGGATTGGCATCTAATACCTAATAGCTTCTCGGACCACCTGTCTCCAGCTCACCTATCCTAAGCTCTGGACCAACAAGTCACAGTCAGCAGGTAGAATGTTTTCCCAGTATAAATCTGCTTCCCCACCCGGAGCACCCTTCTCAGGGGAAGGCTGCTGATTGGAGAAGCAGATGTCAGACCCCAGTGGTTCCGCCATCCTTCTTAGTGAGTCCTGACTCATATGCCTAGCGGTTCTTGAAATCAACATTTCTCCATCTCCTCTAATCTGTCTATAGTCCAAAGTCCCCACCACGTGGCAGATGGGCGACTGAGACACAAGTCTCCAGCCAGTCTTTCCAGAGAGCAGGAATGTGAGCATGGCCCCGCCTCCACCCTGCCCAAACCATGCCGTCACCGCAGCTCTCTGGACCTGAGGTTGGACCTAATTTGGGTCCTCTACCTCCATCCACCTCCCGCCCATGCTTCCCACCTTTCTTCAGGTATGGCTTCCTCAGCTTCCCTTGACTATTCCTGGGCTTTGGGTCCCTATTCTGCCCTCAGGGAGCCGCTGTGCTGCGCAGGTTTAGGCTGTTTTGTTGTCAACAGAACACAAGCCAGAGTCATCTGGGAAGAAACTTCGACTGACAAAGCCCATTCAACTGGCCCGTGTGTGAGCCTGTGGGGCATGTTCTTCATTAATGGCAACGTGGGAAGGCCTCCTCTGTGGGCAGTGCCAGCCCCAGGCAAGTGGTCCTGAATTTTTTTTTAAAAGAAACCAAATTGATCAAGTCATAAGAACAAGCCAAGAAGCAGTATGCCTCCGTGGTCTCTGTTTTAGTTCCTTTCCTCACTTCCCGGAATAACTGACTACGACTTGGAAGTATAAAACGAACAACCGTATCCTGCCCAAGGTGCTTTTTGGTCAACGTTTTATCACAACAGTAATGAAAACCAGGAAGCCCACTTGAGCTGTGACCTTTGCTACACCGGCTCCCTACCCTTCCCAGTGCTGAGCGCCCAGGAGACAGTTGCCTGGGATCTCTTTGTTGTTAGTCATCTGCTAATAGGATAGAAAGGGGCCTCAGCGCTTGTCAACACCAACCCATTTTAATGAGAAACTGAGAGTAATGGATTCCCTCCAAGTTCCCCACCAGGCAGAGGAGAGGTCAAATCCAAAATAGTTCTCTCCAAACTCATGCCCCTCCCCCATTCCTCTCTCTGCCAGCCCCTCCCCCCCATCTGACCCAGCCAGGTGTGCAGTCGAAGTGCCCCCATGCTCACGCACTCCTCACCAGAACAACCGGTGGAAACTGTGAAACAAACAACCTTCATGGCCTGCTCAAGCGCTGCTTCCCTCCATTCCTCCCAGGCAAGGGCAGGTAAGGATGCTTCTGGGAAGCTTCCTGACGGGCTGAGAACAGCTGGTTCAAAGCCCAGCACTTACAGTAGCAATGCTGGTCCCTTGGGAATAGCCAGAATAAAAAAAAGCCGCGCGCACACAAACACGCGCCCGCGCGCGCACACACACACACCCACACACACGCAGGGTAGTTGTTTGGCATCTGTGCATCTCACACGGATTAGCTGGTTTGGGAAGAACCAACCAGCTAAGCTTCACCTCCCCGGACCGTGTCTGGGGTAGCAGTGAGTAGGAATGATGAGTCAGGCTTTCCTCTCCTGGCTCAGTTAACAGCCCCAGAACTTCAGATCTGAACTTTAATGAACTTCAAGTACATAAATAACTATTGTTTCCCTCTATTTTGTGGTTTCCCGCTCAGTCTCCCTTCAACCTGGCTGATCTTCAAAAAAAAAAGCCTGGTGTTCAATGTGGCATCTGCGTGTTCTTCGTCACAACTGTCAAGAGCAGAGTACGCTTTCCGGACTCCTCAACTAGCATCATGGAAATGACAAGGACTCGGGTGTCCTGGCAGCAACCTAGGTGCGAGGCTTGAAAAACCGCTTAGTCTCCAGGCACATGTCTCCCAAATCAGTCAGGAAAGGGTCAGAACTCCGCTTAGAAGAAGATTGGAGGCGGAACCACCTCGGCGGGATTGGGCCAGGCTGGAGCAGAGAGGTTCGCGGCTGAGGCTGGGAGGGTGGCCTCGCCGTGGATGCGCTGATGCCGCACCAGGTGGGTCTTGCGGCTGAAGCTCTTGGCGCACTGCGGGCAGGAGAAGGGGCGGGAGCCCGTGTGGATGGCCTGGTGGCGGACCAGATTGGTTTTGGAGCTGAAGCAGCGGGCGCAGACGGCGCAGGCGTGGGGGCGGCTGCCCGTGTGCACAGCCTGGTGGCGGCCCAGGTGAGACTTGCGACTGAATCGGCGGCCACACTGCGCGCAGGCGAAAGGTCTGGCGCCACTGTGGGCCCGGGAGTGGGCGACCAGATTGGGCCTCGAGCCGAAGCGACGGCCGCACTGCGCGCAGGCGAAGGGCCTTTCGCCCGTGTGCACGCGCCGGTGCCGGGCCAGGTGCTGCCCGTGGGTGAAGCCGCGCCCGCAGTCGGGGCAGAAGAAGGAGCGCTCGCTGGAGGTGGTGCGCTGGGGCGCCCCGGGCCCCGAACCCGGGCCACAGTCAGGCGCGTGGGGAGCGCAGACCGAGGGCTCGGCGGCGGCGGGGTCCGCGTTGGCGCCCAGCGCACACTCATCGCACCCAAAAGCACGACCCTCGGTGAGATGCAGACTCTGGTGCGAAGCGAGGTTCTTTTTCCAGCCGAAGCTCAAACCGCAGTGGGAACAAGCGAAAGGCTTGGGCCCAGGGGCGGACGGGTTAAGGGACGCCGTCGGGGAGTGGGGAGAGGGGGGAGCGTCAGGGGAGGAGCGGGTGCGGCTGGCGGCATCGTGCACCCGCTGGTGCCGCACCAGGTGCTGCTTGTGCGTGAAGCTGCGCGCGCACTGGGCGCACTGGTAGGGCCTCTCGCCCGTGTGGATGCGCTGGTGGCGGATGAGGTGTGTCTTCTTCCGGAAGCGCTTCTCGCATTCCGTGCAAGGGAAGGGCCGCTCCCCGGTATGGGTCTTCTGGTGCGAGCCCAGGTGGATCTTCTGGCTGAAGCGCTTGCCGCACTCGGCGCATGGGTAGGGCCGCTCGCCGGTGTGAGTGCGCAGGTGGCGGGTCAGGTGGGCCTTCTTGCTGAAGCGCTTATCGCACTCGGAGCACGGGAAAGGGCGCTCTCCGCGGTGGCTGCGCTGGTGCAGCAGCATGTGGGCGCGCTGCGTGAAGCTGCGGCCGCAGTCCGGGCAGGCGCAGGGACCCTCGCCCCGGTGCAGCCTCTGGTGGAGCCGCAGGGTTAGCTGGTCCCGAAAACGACGCTCACATTCCTCGCAGCCATAAGGCTTCTCCGGAATCGGGGCCCACCCCGACAGCGCAAGCCCACCTAGTGCCCCCGGAGTCCCTGGCTCCAGTTTGTACGCCACAGCCAGGTGACCCAAGTCAGGTGTGGGGAAAGGACTGGGAAGGAAGGAGAGATGCTGGGGCCATTCCACCTCCTCCTCTGCCTCCTGGTCCTCATCCTCTACCTTCACCTTCCGAATCATCCACTCCTCCCCTGAATAGCGAAAAAGAGAAAAAGAACCGTGAAAGCCCATCCATGGGCACACGTATCTGCCAATGTGCTCCTCACTTCCAGTCTCACTGTAGTCTGGCTCCCTTCTGTACCTGCCTCAAAGCTTCCTGGTGAACCCTAAAGTCCTTCCATCCTCTTCCTGTTCCCTCTGCAAACAAAACTGCTGGCAAGCAGTTAACCCCTCCTGGGGCTCTTCTCCCAGGGTGGCCAGCGCCCCAAGCCAGGGGCCTTTCCTTGGATCCTTAGTAGACCCTTCCCCCTGCTTGCTTCCTCCAGAATTGCTGCCCACTTCTGTCCTCAGGCTTCCTCTGAGCTTCCAATCCTTCTGGAGGCTGTCCCTTACCGTCCCCGCCCTTCAAACTGGCTTGGGCCCAGGTGTCAACAAACAGCTGACCTTCGAACTTCCCAGCTAACTTTAACCATAGGAGGCAGGATGACCTTGGAACCTCGGTACCTCGCCCTTTGCTTCCCACTAAACACAGAGCACCCTGTTCGCCATCCTGCCTTCTCAAAAGCTCCCTCTGCTGCTCCACTGTTCAGCATCCTTCCTCCTGCTCTAACAGACTGGGAAGTCCCATTAAGAAAGAAGGTGGAGTTGCAGGACCAAGGGAAGGAAAAGAAGGCAGACCAGAGTTTACAGGCTGGGAGGGCTGGTTCAGCTGCTGGGAGAAGCGGGGAGAGGCCTCAAGGGAGCCTCAGCCCAAGTGTGGATTCAGGTTCTAGGGAACGCTCAGAGACTGCATCCACACATGCAGAGAAATCTGTTCTCTTCCTTTAAAGCACCCTCTCCACCCCATCATGTCTGAGACCAGTTGAGCCACATGATCTGAGTGCTGCCTGGCCCTGAAAGCCTGTCACGGCCTGAGCCTCGATCATATTACACACATATTATATTTACTCCCAGTTTCTAACTCACTGGTTCCAAATCACTGTCTGCTCGGCCTCCAATGTGATGTCACTTCTCCACACTACTCCAGAATCAGCAATAGCACCCAGCAGCACTGAGCTTCCACACTCCTCTTCCAGCTTCCCTCACTGAGGTGTGAAGCTTTGTCTTTCAGTATGGGCTCTTCAACCTGTCACATGTCACCTTTCCTGCTTCCTGCCTGGAAGTCCTTTCTCCGCCAAGAATGTCTTCCCCTCCTCCACCCCACTTGGAACAGCTGAAATCTATGCTTCTCTAACAATGCAGAACACAAAGCAACATCTTGACACGTCCAGCGCATAAAGACCCTTTACCATAAACTCCTACAGCAATTACTGTTAATACTCGCTTCTGGGCTTAATTAAAGACCTGCGTTCATTTAATTATCTGTCCTGCCTCATAGTAACAGCAGCCCATCTATGGTTTAGCTTCTGGATGGGAGATACCTTGGATTCTAAAATCAGCCCTATGACCATTTATTTGAAGCCAACTACAGATGAGGTAATGCTCATACAGGGTCACAAAGCTTCTTATCAGCCATGGTGTTACTGTCACCCTGATGACAGGTGAACCCAACACCCCCACCCAAGAGCACTTGGTCAGTGCAGAAAAAGGGTGCAGCCCAGGTCTACGAAGCTGGATGCTCCGTTTTGTCCTGCTACTCAACACCTCTGTGCAGCAGGCACTAAATACATCCTTGAGTGAGTGTTGCCATTCAAGCAAGCGGTGATGAATGAGAGAAGTGATGAGTGGGGCCATGGAGTGATTGCCTGGGGAATGGGAGAGATGAGCTGATGACTACAGCCTGGGCCAGGGGGGTGGGGGTGGGGGTGCTACAGCCTGGGGGCTTTCGGTACCATGAAAATCGGCAGAGATTTGGGGAAAGTAACATGCAGGGTAGAGGCAGTGAACAATCCGATGAACACCCTGTAGCTTTCGTAGTCGACTATAATCCAAAAGAGTAACAGCATGTGTGAATGGGGGGTGTGGGGTGGTGAGGGATGGACTTCTCTGTGGTACCTTCCTCTCCCATTTCAGTGTCCACAGATGTGAAACTCCTTTGGAGCTCTGAAGGTCTACAGAGGAAAGGGGATGGGGTCTGGGTTCATCTTGGCTGGAGCATAACTATCTTCTCAGAGAGAAGGCCCAGAATTTGCTTGGTCCCTGTTCCCTTTGCCTGATCCTACAGCATCAAGAGGACTCACCTGGGACAGAGGCCGCAGGCTCAGCCTTCTGTGGGGTACAGGCCTGGCTGCCCATGCAAGGTGCTTCAGCCTGTTCTGTGTGGATGCCTTCTTTCTGGCCAGGGGTATCATGCCCTGAAAAAGAGGATGCTCCCAAGGACTCTGGAAACAACACAGATGGAAGACAGTCCCCATTTGGTACTAGGAATCAAGCCTAAACTCCCCAAAGAGCTCCATCCAATATCATACTTGCCAAGGCAGTTTCCCTGTAGCCAGAGCAGGTGCTCAGGGAAGACAGAAGTCACAGCTTTGAGGAATTGCTGGACTATGTATTTTATGAGGAGGTGAAAGTAAGGAAAGACCTTTGACCTGAGCATTAGGCCTTTTGGTTCCAAGGAAACACACATAAGGAAGATAATGGTGAGGAGCCAGGCTAGATCTTGCCCTAGGCATTCCTGCCCCATCCCACCTGAAGCCATCTAGGCCCCTCTCACTATGTTTTATCCCTTCTAGGTCCCTTCTACAGCACTTTCCACCCTCTAAGGTGCTTTACAACCTTTACCATGTCTGCATTTCTTGTTGGCTGTCTGCTGTTCACGCTAAGATTAGGTTCCATGAAGGGGGGAACCGAGTCTGGTTAGTCCCTAAGGCATTCCAAATGTCCAGAACTCACTCAGCACCCTTCATGGTCCTCACTTACCTGAGCAAGAACGCAGTGTGCTCTCTTCTCTAGACGCTGGCATCTTCTCGTCGACATTCTGGAGCCCATCCCTGGGCTCGCTTTGGGGAGCCATCTCTGGCTGTCCCACTGAGAATCCTGTTACAGGCAGAGGGATGAGTTCAGATGATGCTTCTAATATTGACCTGGTCTCAGAGATGGGGCATTTTCCCAGCCGGCTTGGGAAGCAGGTATCTCTTGTCTGCATGGACAAAGGACTGCCCAAGCACCCCAGCAATCTGGCCAGTTATTAAGCTTAGCCCTTTTAATCGAGGGGGAAAAGAAAGAAGAAAGAAAGGAAGAAAAAAAAGGAAGGAAGGAAGGAAGGAAAGAAAGGAAGAAAGACTGAATAGTTTGAAATAGAAAAAAATTAAATTCCACTGCTGGGCGGAGACAATGGCTCGGTGGGTAAAGGTACTTGCCACCAAGCCTAATGATCTGCATTTGGTTTCCAAAACCCACATGGTAAGAGATAACTCAGAAAGTCGTCCCCTCACCTCCACACGTGTGTACATATAATAAAGATGAACACAGTGACTAAATGTGTAAGTGTAATAAGCATTTTGTTGTTTTTCGCTTCCGGTTCTCTGTGACGCCTATGCACACACCGTCTAGTCTGGTCACTGAGGCACATGATGGTGACCTGAAAGGATGCTGCCTCTCCAGGCCTCCATGGGCTCAGGACTCAGGGCTGTTAAACTCCTGAGGCCTGCACTGCTACACCACAGCTACCTGGGAACCCCCACCCTCCTGGTTCCTTTGTCCCCACTCACCCAAGGAGTTCAGGGCCTCCAGGGTCTCTCTCATGGCCACCAGGAGTGGCTCTCCTAGGTGATCACGCCACAGACCCTAAAAAGACAGCCCTGTTCAGATTCTTCCTGTCAACCTCCACCTAGGTCTTGTTCTTCCCAAAAGCACCAAGGTGATGTCCCTGGCATAGGTGAGGGAACTCTGGGGAAACTGGAGATGAGCAGAGACCTCTGAAGGTGAGTAACCAATCACACGGAGTCTTCTGCAAACTGGTTGGCTATAGACATCAACCCCACCTGTCCAGCCTTTAACCCCCACCCCCCCCCACCAAGGCTGTCAGCAGTCACTCAACACCCACTGTGTCTTTGCCTGGGGAAGTACAGGGACCACTTAATTCTCTGGATAGAGGGTGGCAGACCAAGACGGGGAGTGGAAAACTTCGTGTGGACCCTCCAGGCTCCAGGGTAGGAGCTAGTGAAATAGGAGCTGGCCCTGGGGAAGTAGAGACACTTCAGAGATACTGGGAGGGAGGGGTTGAACAAGGGCTCTCGCAGAGGTAGTAAATGACTGACTTCCTCCCCCTAAACCCCTACCTCAAAGCCACACAACCCCCACAGGACTAACCTCGCGAGGAAACCCACACACACCAGGCCAGGACACTCCCCGATTTTTGCACTTCCCAGCTCCTCCAACTGGTTCTCTGCCCCTCCTTTAGCAGACTCCCCTCCCCCTTCCCTGGCAGCCTTCCTCTGCCCCTCCCCTCTCTTTTAGCCTTCCGCCCTCTCTCCCCACCAAATCTGGCAGCCTTTTGGGGCTCCTCCTACTGCCCCGCCCCTTTGGCTCCTCCCCTGCGCGCACCCGCCGGGTCAACCCCCAGGGGCCCCCTTTGAGTCCAGCCCCGGCAGCTACTGCCTCTCCTGACCCTCCTCTCCCGGCAGTCTTGGGCAGCGCTCCCCTCCCCCTTCCTCTCGTGCCCGCCCGCCTAGTTCTCCGCGCGCCACCCCCTTCCCCGGCTGTACTCTCTCTCCTTTCCTTCCCCCTCCTCTTTTCCTTCCTCCCCCAACTCCCGCCCTCCCCTTCTCAGCTGCTCTCCCTTACCCGCTTGCCCCTCCCCTCTCCTCCCCCACTCGGGTTTCTTTTCCTTCTTTCCTCTCCTCGGTTCCCTCCCCCTCCCCCACACCATCCTCCCCTCGGCTTCCCTCCCTCCTGGAGCTCTCCTTCCCCTCAGCGGCCCCCGCCTCCCTTCCCCCTCTGCCTACCCTGCAAGCTCGGGCTCCGCTTCCCTCCCCTCCCGGCCCCCAGTCTTGCTCTTCCCCTCCCCCTTCCTGGTCCGCTCCCTAGCTTCCAGGTCTCACGCCCCCCACCCCAGGGGGATCCAAGCTAACCCGGCAGGCTCTGGACCGACTCCCTGGCGCTGCCCCCTCCCCTCCCCCTTTCTTCCCAACACACCCCCCTCGCAGCGGGCCCCGTGCCCGTTTCTGCTCCCCGCTGACTTCACACCCTCTCCGGAGTTTTCCTCCTGACCAGACTCTCCCCATCCCCCAGTCCCCGCCCCAGTTAGAGCGCCCGTGTCACGCGGGTCCCGGACCCCTGCCCTGCTCTAGGCTCACCTGTCAGCGTCCTTCGCTCCGGAGCAGCCCCATTCCGGTCGCCCGTCCCTGCCCCTTTGCGCCGGACCCTTCCCACACTCTTCCCCAAAGAACCCTACTCCTCCTTGGGATCCACCCCGCAGGCCCCTCCCGCCCTTCCCACCTGCTCCCACAGGGCCTTCTCCCCGCCCTCCACCCCCCCCCCCACCGTTTTCCAGTCTCTCCCTCTGCGCCTGGACCCTCCCTCCTCCCTCCCTCCCCTCCCTCTCTGACCCCTGCCCCTCCCCCACACTCGAGCCGGCGCGCCCCTTCCCTCGGGGTTGTCACCTGCTGAGAGCCCGCGGTGCCTGTAAAGCTCCTTTTGGGTGGCGGGCGGAGGTACCTACCCTGGAGCCTCCTCACCTGGCGGGCTCCCCAGGCTTACTTACCGTGGTCCGCCTCGGGGACCCAGGCGCTCCCGGGCGGCCGTTTGCACAATGGCGCCTGCTGCCTGCAGCTTGGGTGCCGGCTGCCCGAAAGACTCCGGGACTGACAGCCCTGAAACTTCGTGGGGAGGGGAAGGAAAGGCTCGGAGGGAGAGGGTGCGGGGCAGCGTTGCGGGTGATGGGGGAGGAACCCGAGAAGCGGGAGCACTGCTCTGGGCACCGGGCTAAGGAGGAGGGTCTTTGAAAGACCCGTCGCGGGAGGGTGCACTCGTGGGCTGGAGTGCAGGTGACGGTCTGTAGGGAGGGTACCCGGAGTGGGGAGATGGAAAGTGGGAGCTTAAGACCGAGGAAGGGAAGAAGGGACTGGAAGGAGAAGAGGAGACTAGGGAGGAAGGGCACTCCGGCTAGGAGGGAGGGTGCTCACAGCCGAGGAGGGAGGAGCTGGGGAAAGGTGGAGCGCGGAACCGGGTGGTGGTGGTGATGGTGAAGAGTTGGGGGAAGCAGGGAGATGAGGGGGCATGTTTGGAGAGGACAGCAGTGTGTGCATCCACCGCTGTCTTTAAAATTGCTGGTGCCCGCCGAGCGTGTGGCAGCGCCGAGGTCCCTCGGGAGACTGTCTGGCTAGCAGATATTGGGAGAATCTGTCAGGGAAACTCCACCAGAATTCACCCAGACCAGCGATCCGAGACCCGCTGTGGGGGTTGGAGGAGTGGGGGTGAGGACTCGGGACCAAGCCGAGAGCGCAGGGTGAGGGCTCTCAAAGCAAAACACCCGAGAAGTTGAAACAAGTCCGCTACAGAGAGGGCTGGGCAGGTGTGGAGGCGGGGCGGGGCTGGGCGGAGGCTTGGGGGTCTGTTGGTGGTCAAGAAAATCCCCCGTTGTTAGGTAGATTTCTCTCCAGACTTCTTCCACCGTTTCTGCTCAGGAGTGCACACACTCCTGGGTCTTACCCATCCACCTCTGCTCCTGAGACATCCTCTTCCAGTCCTGGAGCTAAGCTCTAGGCTTCCAATTCCATGCCCTGTGATTTTTCTGCAAACTCCCATGGGCTTGCATTTCTGCCTGTCTGTCTGTGTAGGGGAAAGGGCAAATCCAAGTTACATTTCTCCCCAATCCAAGCTTCCAGCCAAGTTGCAGAACAGAGCTGGAAGAGAGTCTGGGAAGAGGAGGCCAGTAAATGACCCTCATGGACAGGACAAGGTCCCTGGCTACTATGGTACCTTGACACCTGTGAAATCAGGGCACAGTAATCCAAGGCTGGCCTTACCGGATGCAGCAGGGGTGTCCTCAGCATTTTACATAGAGTGAGGCGTGGAGCAATGGAGACCTGAAGGAGCAGCAGGTCCTGTGACTCAAGATGCAAAAGGCTCTTCTAATACCAGGATACTTGGCTGTCTGCAGGTGGCCTAGGAGCAGAGTGTATAAGAAGGAGCATTGAGAACTACTGTCCTCCTGTGTAGGATATGCAGGAGCAGTGGCCAGGTGAGAGTGTGAGAAGAGTTAGAGGGACATTGTGCCCATGACAGATGCTGTCCCAGATAACTCCCACACACTAACTCTAGCTATCTGGAAGCAGCTGGAGGGACTCTTGCCGGGCCCTCTTTTGGTTCTAGGCCCAATAGTAGGCTCAGAGGGAGGAACACCCAGGGCAGCTGTGGTGTACCAAGGGGGTGATCATGCAGGGTGCCCAATGGGTCCTCATTTCATTCTGAAATGAAAGGGTTCAGAGTTTCAGGTCCAGCTGCATTCCAGCCCAGTGGCCTTGGAGGTCTACTGGTTACTAGGATGTAACCAGGATTTGCCTGTGGAGCCTGCAGCTGCCTCCTCTGAACCGGACCCTGGGATTAGTCTATCCTGCTCAGCTCAGCTCCACCCTGGGGCAGGGGGGAACAGGCTCCCAATCCTATTCCACCCCTTTCCACTTCCCATCTTCCTGGATCCTTGGAAGCCCCAGAAACTCCACAGGTGACCAACTGGCCCAAAACACCTCATACAAATAATCTCAAAACACTGACCTCACTGAGGAAAGGGTTACATTTTCAAGTTGTCTCCACATAGTTGGATGCTTCAGCCATTCTGCTGTGTCTTCTCGTGTACCTGGCCTGAGAGGGAGCAGGGAGAGAAAAGAGCACAGAGAGAACGCCATAATAAAGGCAGTGGTTTATTTTATGTATGTTTTGCCTGTGTATATGTATGTTTGCTACATGTGAGCCTGGTGCTGCTGAGGTCAGGAGATGTCTTTAGATCTCCTGGAACTAGAGTTATGGATGGTTGTGAGTCACAGTGTGAATGCTGAGAACCAAGCCTGTGTCCTCTGCAAGAGCAGCAAGCATTCTAAACCACCGAGCCATCCCTCCAGCCTGCAGTGTTCGAAGGCTGTGAAGACCCTCCCACACCTGTAAGTTTCAAAAGCTTGTGGAGTCCCATCTGCCCCTGGGAAGTCCCTGAATTTTTTTTTTTTTTCTGGTAAGGAAACAGACACCCAGAAAGGGAAGGTGTCTTTACCACAATCATACATTAATTTGTGGTAGTGCTTGAAAGTGCAGAAAAGCCAGGGGCTCAAAATGTCCAGCTGTAGTCCCATCACACGCTCTCACACACACATGAACACACACGTTGGGAGGGGTGAGATGGGCCCTGTTTCCAGGGAGAGTTGGCCTCTGAGGTTGCTGGAGGTAAGTCCAATCTGGTTCTGAGCAGCTGGTACCCGGGGGGCGAGAGGCTGGGATAAAATCTCCCCTTGTGAAGAGCCTTGGACAGACTGGTCCCTGGGTTCATTCAGACCTCAGTGTGGGGCAGTGCTATCCCCTCTGGTCTGCTCCAGCAGCCTTGCCCAAGTGCAAGCCTCAGGTCCTCCCAAAGGTGACCTGGGGCAGGGCACCATGCTGCTTCCTGCCTTTCTCTTTGGGATGCTGTGGGCTCTGGCTAAGGGGTGAGCAGCTCCTGGGAAAGCTCCCGGTCAGATCCTCCTGCCTGTCTTTGTCTCTGCACCCTCTGGGATGCTGCACTCTTCTTTCAGCACTTTTCTGCCCACCCGTAACCTCCTTCTTTCAAGTACCTCTCCCACAGTCCTTGGGGGCTTGGAGTCATAGCACAGTGCTTCTTGGTGACAGAGGGGACAGTGCTGGTAGCCTCTCCTATGCCTGGACAGGCGCTGGTGTGAGCAGACAGAGACCATCCTTGTGGAAGAGGAAGTAACTCCTCGTCAGGAGGACCTGGTACCCTGCACTAGTTTGTACCATTATAGCCGGCTAGGCTGGCGGCTGGACCTGCCCTGGAGTGGCCGTGCAGGGCTCACTGGGCCCCCAGCACCTGGGCTCTGTGCCATCTACAAGTGAGTGAGGGTCAGAACCTGGGCTGTCTGCCTGGCAGTAAAGGAAAGAGAGACAGGGCAGGATATCCGGAGAGTGGGGAAGGACTGGGGAGGAGCTGATGCAGAAGGCATTTGGGAAACAGGTTTTAGCTGGATTCAAGGAAGGGTGGAGAGAGATGGCGTGAGTGGGTGGATGAGAGGCTACCATAGTGGGCACAGGGTGGCAGGGACAGAGAGGAGAGACACTTGTCCCTTCTGCCTGAGGCTGCTTCCCAGCATTTCTTCTTACTTGGCACTTGAAGAAATTAAGCTCAGGAGGGGAGACTGACTCGATAGGACCCCTCAGGGTACTTGACCTCACTGAGGGTCCTAGGTCTTGCCTTGTGGTGGGACTTGGCTGAATATTAACATCTCTCGCTGCTTGCCCCCCCCCCCCCCCCGTGGCGAGGCAGACCCCCGGAAACTCGGCCTGCTGCTTGGAACCGGACGGTGAGGGCTTGCTGTCCAGGATGGGGGGGTGCTCACTGCACAGATGGTAAGTAACCAGGCAGGATGGGTGAGTGTACGTCCTTGGGGCAGTGTCTGTGAATGGGGACTCACCTGTGACATGCAGAAGTGACCGACTGCCTGAGAACACAGTAGGTCTAGTTGGGCTCTCGGGGCCATCCGAAAAATAACAAGCTGCGCGTGCCCCATTCTCCTCTACCACAGCCCTTGCTGAAGCCAACCCTAAAGGCCAGTGCTTTGTCACATGGCAGTGCCAACCTCTAGCAGGCTCAGCTAATTCTACGGCAGGAAGCCTGGAGGAATGCTGTGCCCAACCCTGGGGGCACAGCTGGCGGGACAGCAACTCCCAGATGTGTCTCAGCTGTTCTGGTCGGCACCTTCCAGGTAGGTCGGTACTCTCCAGTACTGGAGACATACCAGGCCCTCACCTTCACCCTCACCCTCAAGAGTTCTAGGCCTTTTCACCAGGTTCTGCCTACCCTATGGTCCTTCCAGAGGGACCACACCCTGCTCTCATACCTCCTCCTATGTCAAGAACTGTGTCCTAACCTCTGTCCCTGCATTCGGAGGCTCACACATGATGTATCCTGCTCAGGCAATGCTTCCTCTGAAGCCCTCCTGCAGCCCCTGGCGGGGGCTATAGGCCAGCTCTGGAGCCAGCGCCAGCGTCCCTCAGCCACCTGTGCCACCTGGTCCGGCTTCCACTACCAAACCTTTGACGGCCGTCACTACCACTTCCTGGGCCGATGCACCTACTTGCTAGCTGGTGCTATGGATTCCACCTGGGCTGTCCACCTCAGGCCTAGGGTCCACTGTAGCCAACCTGGACACTGTTGGCTGGTGAGGGAGAGAGAGATAAGCCCAGGGAAGGTCTGGATAAGGGGGAGGGGGTTGTATAGGAGGAGAGTTACACATCTGCTCCACTGCTCTCTCTCAGGTTCAGGTGATGATGGGTCCTGAGGAGGTGTTGATTAAAAATGGAGAGGTCTCTGTGAATGGCCAGCCAGTGCCTGTTGGGGAGCCTCGGCTGCTCCACGGTGAGAGCTTTTACTCCTCTGGAGTGGTATGCCTACTCCTGCAGGCAGGATGGCAGCAGGGTAGAGCTTCTGTGTCCCCCTGAACACTGCTGGGAAGCTTGTGAAAGTGAGGGGTCAGGAAGGCAGAAGCCTGGCTCACCCGCTCCCTACTCTCTTCAGCTGTGACTTGGGCAAGCCGCTGTGTTTACCTGCCTTGAGCCTCAGTTTCCCCACCTGCCTCATGAGAGTCTAATCACAGCTGGGATAGGAGGTCGGGCTAAGTGTGCACGTGTCTGGATGGTGGGGGTGGGTGGGTGGAGTGTCTGTGCAGTGTGTAGGGGTTGTCTGTGTGGAAGCGTGGATATAGAGTGTGTTGTAGTTTACTCTTTCAAGATAGCAGCCGCTGCAGGGGAAACCACAGTGCAGAGCTTAGGAGTTGGTGTGAATTCCTTCCCCAGGCCGTTTGGGCCCTGCTGTGATGATGGGAATGTGGCCCTTGAGACTGAATGACCCTATCCTCTTCCCAGGGCTGAGCCTGCAGTGGCAGGGGGACTGGCTGGTGCTCTCCGGGGGCCTGGGGGTTGTTGTGAGACTGGACAGGTCCAGTTCCATCTCCATCTCCGTGGACTATGAATTCTGGGGACAGACGCAGGGCCTCTGTGGGCTTTACAATGGCCGGCCAGAGGGTATGCGCAGTGGGGCTTGGTGTGGCTGATGGAGGCGGTGGGGGCTGGGGGAGAGGAGGGAGGGAGAAAGGGAAGGAGGGAAGAGACATAGGACTCCAGGTCTAGCACTGGCCTCACCCTTCCTCAGATGACTTTGTGGAGCCAGGAGGGGGGCTGGCTATGCTGGCTTCTACCTTTGGGAACTCATGGAGGCTCCCTGGCTATGAGGTGAGACTGCCTCCTGACTGCCCACTATTTTCCTGGGGTCACTCAGGTAGAATGCACAGGTTCCGGGTCCCCCGGGGAGCCTGGTAACTGCTGTGCAATGGGTGACTACCCGGGTCCTTCTGATATGACCACTGAGCGTCTCTGTCTCGGCTGACTGTGGCCCTGGCTCCTCTTTCTCTGGGCTGGGCTTGTCATTTCGCTGCCATCTGCAGCCCTGAATGTGGTCTAGTGGGCATGACAGTTGGGTCTTGAGGCAACTATGAGGACAGTAATCACCTTCCTGTTTTCCTGTCTAATGTCCCTCATCACTGGCCTGGCGCTGTGTCAGCCTGGGTGTCTGGATACGGTGGAGGTGGCCCGGGGCTGTGAGGGCCTCCTGGAAGGCACACAGGCCGGCTTGGAAGCTGGCAAGCTTCAAGCTCAAGCTCAGGACGTGTGCCACCAACTCCTGGAGGATCCATTCTGGCAGTGTCACGGACAGGTATGGGTGGGATGGAGGTGAGGCGCTCCAGAGGGGAAGGATTTGTAGGGACTAGTGGATGCTTGAGAGGTGCCAGTCGGGTGACCTGATCCTGCCATTGAGTGCATTGGGTCACCAGTCAAGACATCCTTCCTCTGACTTTGGTTTTTACCTTTGAAAACAAGATAGCTGTCCTTGTGACATGGAGGCCCCTTCCAGCACTTATTATGTTTGGTTTCACGCTGAGATGTAAAGGAAGAGGAGAGAGAAGATGTTGGTGAGGAAAGGCATTTGCTGGCTGAGGATTTCCCTTCCCTACAGGTTCCCCCAGATGAGTACCATGAGACCTGCCTCTTCGCCTACTGTGTTGGAGCTGCAGCAGGCAGTGGCCCAGAGGGGCAACTGGAAGCTGTATGTGCCACCTTTGCCAACTATGCCCAGGCCTGTGCCAGGCAGGACATCTATGTGCACTGGAGGAAGCCTGGCTTCTGTGGTATGCTGGGTCTGCCTACCCCAAAACTAACTTGAGTAGCTTGAGGAGCCCCTGGCTGTCTCCCATGGCCCATTGGATTTGCAAGACCAACCTCTCATGGGCTGTTTTTTGTCCCCACAGAACACCCGTGTCCAGGGGGCCAGCTCTACTCTGATTGTGTCTCATCCTGCCCACCCAGCTGTTCAGCAGTAGCCCAGGGCGAGGAGGGGCCTTGTGGGAAAGAATGTGTGAGTGGCTGTGAGTGTCCGACAGGCCTCTTCTGGGATGGTGCCCTCTGTGTGCCTGCTGCCCACTGCCCCTGCTACCACCGGCGCCAGCGCTACGCCCCTGGTGACACTGTGAACCAGCAGTGCAACCCTTGGTGGGTCTTCGGGCTCTGCTGGGCCATGTCTTGGTACTGTTCTTTGTGCTGTTTCTGAGATCTGCCCCTCACACATAACCAAGCCCATTCTGGGGCCTCCTACCCAGTGACCTGTGACATTTTTGATGACTACCCAGTTCCAAGGGTGGTGGGTGTGCCAGGGGAGAGAAAGAACCAATAGGCTGGGAGTGGGTCATGCCCAGCTCACGTTCTGTGGTAGAGCTGATGTCACTGTCCTACCCCCTATGCCTTTAGTGTGTGTCAGGACGGCCGCTGGCACTGTGCCCAGGCCCTGTGCCCTGCTGAGTGTGCAGTGGGCGGTGATGGGCATTACATCACCTTTGATGGGCGGAGCTTCTCCTTCAGGGGCCATCCATCCTGCCACTACAGCCTGGTGCAGGTGAGCAGAAAGAGTACTTCAGGAGGGAGATTTTTGTCAGAATGGGGGCCCTCCAAGGGGGTCCAGAGAAGAGATGACTGTAAACAAGTCCTTAAAGCAGTAGATGGAACATATGGCCGCTTGCAAGAAAAGGCAGAACAATGCTGGCAGGAGAATGGCTGCCTGCATCCCCCTGATACACACACACACACACACACACACACACAAACACACACACAAACACACACACTCATCATCCTCATCCTCATCCTCATCCTCATCCTTTCTAGTCCTCACCTCTCCTAACTGGCCACCCTAGTGTAGAGCGATAGAACCAAACCCATCTTCATAGTCCCTTTTACAGATGTAACATCCTGGGCTTGTCACAGGCAGGAGAGGGGCCCATCCCCAATAAAGCTGGGGCTTCCCAGGTTCAGCACATGCCATGGTTTTTTTCCATCCTTCTGAGGACTGATGGACGATCTTTCGATTTTAGTGTTGGACCATTGTAATTCCCTGACTTGTCCCTCCTTGCCTGGGTGTCAATGGGGCGAGGAGAAAGTCAGGGGAGAATGGGGTCAACAGGTTGATGTGTTATCCAGGGCAGCTGACTCCCCAGTCACCTGGCCAAAGATGCGTGAGGTAGACACACACAGTTAGAGGCTAGATGCCAGCACACGGAACACACACACAACACATCACACACCACACTCCACATAGTCATGTGTGTGTATGTAGATCCGACAAGTGTACACATATATGTCTATATGTGTACATACAGGGAACCCCACAGGGAGGAAAGATGGGGATCTTCCCACTACAACAAGTAAACGCACACACACACACGCACACACACACACACACACACACACACACAGTTCCTCACATGCACTCACATCCATTCACCCATGTCTGTCCCTGGGAGGCTAAGCTCCTCACCTCACAGACTGTCTGGTCAGCACCTGTGTGGGGTGGGAACTGAAGTCATCCGAGGCTTCCTCGTGGATCCTCCACACACCCCTGCCACTCTGTCCACCCCAGGACTCTGGCAAAGGCCAGCTGCTGGTTGTGTTGGAACATGGGTCCTGTGACGCTGGAAGCTGCCTTCATGCCCTCTCTGTCTTCCTGGGGAACACCCACATTCAGCTCAGATCCTCAGGTAGCTTCTGCTCTGCCTCCTTGTCTAGTGCAGGGGGCCTTTATTCTCTGGGGAGTAGACAGCTCCACAGTCTATTTCTTTGGGGGGTATGAATTGAGCCTGTGGCCCACTGTCCCACAAGCTCAGTCTACCCAGTTCCTGTCCTTTGGATTCCAATAAGTAGCCCTTCTAGATTCCTGTACCTGAACTTACTGCAGTTCACTGCCTCATGCTCCCAGCCCAAGGGCAGACACTATTCAAGGATATTTTCCAAGACCTCTTCTGCTGGTCTTTGGAGCTAACTATAAGCCACACAGTTTTAAGAGTTGGAATGGCCTTGGGCATGAACAGGAGATTAACTCTCTCAAGCAAGCATCTCTCCAGCTCTGCCAGGCCTGCTGCCAACTCTCTTTACCCAGCTCCTCCCACATATTGACCGCACAAAGGGATATACAGAAATGCGTGATGATGTGGGTTCTTGAGCTGTGGAGGGGAGGGGTGGTCTCGGGTAGGACAGGCGGCCTCCAGGGAGCACTCTAGTTACTCCCACATGCCACACTGACACACACGCTTCCATCTTCTTGTCGGCCCGTGCTTCCACAGGCTCCCAGTCACACCGTCAGGCCTCTTTTGCAGGAGCAGTGCTGGTGGACGGGCGGGATGTGGACTTGCCCTGGATTGCTGCTGAGGGCTTCAATGTTTCCCACGCCTCTTCTACATTCTTGCTGTTGCGCTGGCCCGGGGCCTGGGTTCTCTGGGGAGTTGCTGACCCTGCAGCATACATCACCCTGGACCCCCGTCATGCCTACCAGGTAGGCTAGGAGGCCAGTGAGTGTCTGGGCTGGGCTAGGTAAGACTGTATTTCACATTTATGTGTCTTCCGTGGCTCAGGTGCAGGGTCTGTGTGGCACCTTCACCTGGAAGCAGCAGGATGACTTTGTGACACCCGCTGGAGACATAGAGACCCATGTCACAGCCTTTGCCAGCAAGTTCCAAGTGTCAGGTGATGGACGGTGCCCCTTGGTGGACAACACACCGCTGTCCTCCTGCAGCACCTACTCCCAGCGCCTTACTTTCGCAGAGGCAGCCTGTGCCATCCTGCACGGCCCCACTTTTCAGGTACTAGGGTGCCCTTCTCTTCTGCCCTCAAGATCAAGGATCCAAAATGCAAGAAAGAGTCCAAGGGCACAGGGAGGCAGCAATGGGCTCCCAGGGGAATGGGATTCGTGAAGAAAGAACTGCTCCTTTTCCTTTTGCCCCAAGGCATGTCATGGGCTAGTAGACAGGGAACCATTCCGACTGAGGTGTTTGGAGGCTGTGTGTGGCTGTGCCCCTGGCAGGGACTGCCTGTGCTCCGTGCTCTCTGCCTATGCACGCCGCTGCGCCCAGGAGGGCGTCCTGCTCCAATGGAGGAATGAGACCCTATGCCGTGAGTCTCCCCGCCCAGCCAACCCTACCTTGGTCACTTCAGCTCTCCCTCCCAGTGGCCCACCATCATCATTAGGAGAAGATGGCAGGGGCAGGGACTCCTTCCTTACCAGAATATTGCTAGTTTTTTTTTTCTCCTGTAGCGTTCAGGGACCTGAGGTCCAGACGGGGTGGCTAGGCTTCTGATTTGCATGTATTCCTATGTCCAGCTGTCCTGTGTCCTGGTGGCCAGGAGTACCAGGAGTGTGCCCCAGTGTGTGGCCACCGTTGTGGGGATCCAGAAGATTGTAAAGAGCTTGGCATCTGTGTGGCTGGCTGTAACTGTCCCCCAGGACTGCTGTGGGACCATGAGGGCCAGTGTGTCCCGCCCGGCCTGTGCCACTGTCAGCTTGGAGGCCATCATCACGCCTTTGGCACCACCACCACTATGAAAGGCTGCAGCCACTGGTAAGAGCTGGGCAAAGAAGAAAGCCTTCGAGACGATGGCTGGCTGTGCCGCATACTGGGTTTCTAGGGAGGGATGGCAGGGTGCTGACACTTCCTCAGTGCCGGGTGCTGTCAGCTGCAGAAGCTCTTTCACGCCCACTACTTACTGCATTGATTGTACTTCCTAACCAGAGCCTGATAAAGTGGGGGGTGGGGTGGTGAAAAACCATTCCTGCCTGGTAGATGAGGAAAGTGAGGCTCAGATGGACTGACTCTTTGTTACCGGAGAGGCAAGATGAGGTCTATACCTAAAGAAGCAGGGGCAGGCTGCGGGTCGCTTCAGTGGGTTCCCTCTGCTGCTTTGGACAAGGGGTAAACGTCTTAGTCTCTTGCTTCTGTGACTAAATACCTGACGAGAAGCCATGTAAGGGAGGAAGTGATTATTTTAGCCCACGGCGCAAGGGAATACCGTCGTCCGTCATGGTGGGCCAGTCATGGCAGCAGGAGGGAACCAGCGGCCATATTGCATCCTTAGTCAGGAGGCAGGAAGAGATGAATACCCGTGCTTTGCCTACTTGCTTCTTGTTACCCCAGGATCTCAGCCCATGGAGTGGTGCTGCCCTTCGGCGGCATGGCATGGGTCTTCACACCTCAGTTAACCCAGTATAGAAAACCCTTCATGGCTAGGCCCCGGTATTCTCCTGGGTGATTGTAGATCTCATCACGTGAAGGCCTTCTGAACAGCTTGCCCGTCTATGCTGGGGGCTGTGGTGTTGGCAGTTGAGCTGTTCAGGTCTCTAGCATGGGGGCTGGGATCCTACTAGGTATGAGGGGATCCGGATGGCTTTGGGGGTCCTCTGTATCTAGGTTCCTAAGACTTGCTGTGGCAGACTGGAGGCTCGGATAGCCAGGTGAGCCCATGCTGGGGTCGGCTCTTCCATCTCCCCTTCTACAGTGTCTGCCGGGAGAGGGGCCTCTGGAACTGCACAGCCCTCCACTGCCCCCCACAGCGGGCGCTCTGCCCCCAGGACCTCATCTATGCTCCTGGTGCGTGCCTTCTCACCTGTGACAGCCTCAGTGTCAACTATTCCTGTCTGGCTGGAAGCACTGACGGCTGTGTCTGTCCCCTGGGCACTGTGCTGCTGGTGAGGCTGGGAAGGGGACACATGGGGCAACAAAGCGGCTCTCCCTGTCCAAGGGCCCTGCCCCGCTCCCTAGCTGTCCACAACAGTGTTTCCGCCCCTCCCCAGGACAAGCGCTGCGTGCCTCCTGATCTTTGCCCCTGTCGTCACAATGGGCAATGGTACCCACCCAACACTACCATCCAGGAAGACTGCAGCGTTTGGTACGCCCAGTGCCTGTCAGCCGTTACTGCATGAGCCGAGCCTCTGACTCCTGACCCTCCAGCCATCATGCCTCTTTTCACTAAAAGGGGTTGGAATGGTAGATGGGCAGGATATCCTGAGCGGCCTGGACACTGGGAACCCTCCAGACTTCTTCACACTCAGGCAGGGTCTGTCTGTCCGGACTCTCCCTGTGGCTGATGGCTCTGTCCTGCCTCTTGCCCACAGTGTGTGCCAGGGCCAGCGGTGGCAGTGCACAGGCCAGAGGTGCAGTGGATGGTGCCAGGCATCTGGCGCCCCCCACTATGTGACATTCGATGGGCTGGCCCTCACCTTTCCTGGGGCCTGCGAGTACCTGCTGGTGAGGGAGGCTGGTGGCCGCTTCAGTGTCTCCATCCAGAACCTGCCTTGCGGGGCCAGCGGCCTCACGTGTACCAAGGCGTTGGCTGTGCGTCTGGACAGCACTGTCGTGCACATGCTTAGAGGTGGCTGTGACCTGTCGAAGATGGTTGCGATACTGCGGGGGGGGGGGGGGGAAGGGGGGGAATAGCAGCGCTGCATCACAGCTCCTCAGCATGGCCAGGTTTCCTCTCAGCCCCTTCCTAGGTTTGGTTTGTTTGGTGGGGTAGGTTGGAGTTGGCTCAGAGAAGTCCTCTAACGACCTGCCCCAAGGTCACTAAGAAAATAAGGAAAAGGGAGCTTGGGGGAGTGGCTGGGAGGACCCCCCGGGGACCCGCTAAGCTTAACACCCTCCCTTCTTCTTCAGGCCAGGCAGTAACAGTGAATGGAGTGAGCATAAAGCTCCCCAAAGTCTACACAGGCCCCGGGCTGAGCCTGCACCACGCTGGCCTCTTCCTGCTGTTGACTACGCGCCTGGGTCTCACGCTGCTCTGGGACGGAGGTCAGGCTCCGCCCTCACCCTTAGGCCACACCTCTTCTTTGCCCTGGGGGCTGGAGTCCCCCAGATCCTTCTTCCCGCTGCCAGCCAAGCTCTGAGGTTGAGGCTGACCTCTGACAGCCACCTGGGAACCAATTTCCAGTATGACAGCTGGGCCAAGATCTCCGCTCTCTTCCACCCCACCCCCACCCTCTGCTCAGTACCCCCGGCCCAGCGGCCACCCCTGTCTCACAGCCCTTGAAAGTGGATGAAGCTTTCATAGTATAATTTCATAACTGTGCTTTTCTTCATTGTACAAGTGTGACCGCGCCACCAAAGAAACATTTAGAAAACACCAAGTTTTAGGAAGAAATGAAAGTAGACCGGCTGACGTCCCAGTACCCAAACATAAGCAGTTGGCGTTTTAGAAATATAACTGTTGTTGAGGAACTGAGGGAAGCCAAACTAACCCTGGGTGGATTTGGTCCTCTCAGCCAGGCTAGACTAGAGCTTCTGGCCTCAAAAGGGCTTTCAGCTCATCCTGAAGCCAGTTCCTACCTGAATCCAGCCCGGTGCAGGGGATTTTATTGTCTCTCAACCTAGTGTTAATTAAGAAACTAGGTTCCCAGCTGGCACCTAGATGTTGGTCTTTTCAGTTATCCCCAGAAGAGGGACTCAGCACCCTGGGTTTGGGTGGGAGGGAGCACCTGTGCAGGGGACTATCATACCCACATGTTTTCCTGCCCGGCCCAGCTGAGGGCCCTGGAAGTCACATTTATTTTAATGCCACCAGGCACTCGGGTTCTGGTACAGCTGTCCCCCCACTTCCATGGTCGTGTGTCTGGGCTGTGTGGAAACTTTGATGGTGATGCCGGCAATGACCTGCGGAGCCGCCAAGGAGTCCTGGAGCCCACGGCAGAGCTGGCTGCGCACTCCTGGCGCCTCAACCCACTGTGCCCTGAGCCAGGAGATCTGCCACACCCCTGTATGGTGAGCCGGGAAGGACAGCCAGAAGGGAGTCAGGGGTGTAATAGCTGAGAGAGAGAGACAGGGGAGAGAAACAGAGAGAGAGAGAGAGAGAGAGAGAGAGAGAGAGACCCACAGAAGCAGCCTGTCTTGCAGGTGAATGCCCATCGGGCGAACTGGGCCCGGGCCCGCTGTGGGGTGATACTGCAGCCACTCTTTGCCCCATGCCACACAGAGGTGCCCCCACAGCAGCACTATGAGTGGTGTGTGTATGACGCCTGCGGGTAAGAAGGCTGAAGGGCGGGTGCGATGGGCATGCAGAGGTGGGGGGAGGGGGACGTTTGAAAGGCTGACGGCTCCACCCCACAGGTGTGACACAGGGGGTGACTGTGAATGCCTCTGCTCAGCCATTGCCGCGTATGCTGAGGAGTGTGCCCGGCACAGACATCCTGTGCGTTGGCGCAGCCAGGAACTCTGCCGTGAGTGTGTCCTACTCTCTTGATCCTGCCGTACGTTGAGCCCCTTGAAAGGTGCTTCTCCTGTCCCGCCAGCTGGCCATTTAGTCACTCAAGTTCAAAGGCGAGTTGTGTGCTCCCTCTGTTGCCAGACCCTATTCTCAATGGAGTGAACGTGAGACTGGCTGATGCACAGGGCTCGCATCCTTCACTTTCCACTGGAAGGTCTGGGTACAGGTGCTTCCCCTGGCTGTCAGCTGAAGTTGGCTTGCCTGTGCTCTTGGGCCTCAGTGAGCAGAGCCTCTCTTCTCCCCACACAGCCCTACAGTGTGAAGGAGGTCAGGTATATGAAGCCTGTGGTTCTCCATGTCCCCCCGCCTGCCATGACCATCCTTCTGAGCCCAGATGGCACTGCCAGGCTATCGCTTGTGTGGAAGGCTGCTTCTGCCCCGAGGGGACGCTGCTGCATGGTGTGTTGCTGGGGAGAGGACACTGAGACTGGGGAAAGGCCACAGGCCTTGGCTGGGCGCCTTTGTTCTGAATCCTGTGCTCTGTGCTCCCAGGAGGCGCCTGTGTGGAGCTGGCTGCCTGTCCCTGCGAGTCAGGGGGAGGTTTCTTCCCACCAGGGACTGTGCTGCAAAAGGACTGTGGAAACTGGTGAGTGGGAGAACAGGAGACACCTGTGCTCTCGGGCAGAGCAAGCTGACCTGTGGCTAATGCCAGGCCGCTGTCCCCTCCCCCCGGCCCCCGCCGTGTGCTCAGCACGTGTCAGGAAAGTCAGTGGCACTGTGAAGGTGCCGGTGCGCCGTGTGAGGAGACGGAACCTGGCTGTGCGGAAGGAGAGGCACTGTGCAGAGAGAGTGGGCACTGCGTGCCACTTGAGTGGCTTTGCGACAACCAGGACGACTGTGGTGACAGTTCAGATGAGGAGGGTGAGCCTTTTCACCTCTGTGTGGCAGTAACAGGACAGATGACTGTGTTGACTGAGGCTGCAGCATCTGTCCCCAGGACGGCATCCTAAGCCACTGCATCCCCTGCCAGGAGCTGTGACTTAGGTGATGGGTGGGAACTGAGGGACAGAGAGGGCATTCTGGTTCTCCTTGGGCCGGGGTTCTCCTTGGCAGCATAATATCCTGAACCTGCTCCCTTGTCCCATGCCAGGCTGTGCCACCTCGGGCTGTGGGGAGGGGCAGATAGCTTGCCAGTCTGGCCACTGCCTGCCCCTGTCCCTGCTCTGTGATGGGCAGGATGACTGTGGAGATGGCACAGATGAGCGGGGGTGCCTGTGTCCCCTTGGCTCTCTGGCCTGTGCTGACGGCCGCTGCCTGCCGCCGGCCCTGTTGTGTGATGGCCACCCCGACTGTCTGGATGGTGCAGATGAAGAGTCCTGTCTGGGTGAGGAGCCCCTGCCCTGCCTCCTGCCCACTAGGCACCCCCCTCTCAGGGTCCAGCTCCTGAAGGCCCCTGTGTATCTACCCCCTCCTGTGCCAGGTCTCCGCTCATGAAGGTGGTGCCTGTGAATGACTGAGTGGAGATACCATAAAAGAGATAGAATAAGGGGTAATCCCAGGGGCTGGATTGCTCAGTGGTTAAGAGTACTTGCTCTTCTAGAAGACCTGAAATCAGCTCATAGCACCCATACTGGGCCACTCACAGTCACCTATAAGTCTAGATCTACGGATTCTGACGAGGTCTTCTGGCCTCCATAGGCCTCTGCGCACATGTTGTGTGCATTCACAGACACGTGGACATGTAAATCTTTTAAGTCTCCAAAGGGGGTAGGTTCCAGGACCACCTTCTCTCCTCTGACTGCAGGGCAGGCGAGCTGCATCTCTGGAGAGGTATCTTGTGTTGACGGCACGTGCATTAGGACCATCCAGCTGTGCGATGGAGTTTGGGACTGCCCAGATGGAGCTGATGAGGGGCCTGGCTACTGCTCTCTGCCATCTCTGCCTACTCCCCCTGCTGACATTGGGCAGAACCCTTCCACCAGCTCCCTGGATATGGCACCGAGTCCTACGGGTAGTGCCAGCCCTGGTGAGTCTCTGGGAATAAACAGGGTGAGGAAGCTGGAAACCTGAGATGCCCAGGCAGGGGTGAGTAAGTATCTCAGAAAGAAGCATTTGGGCCAAACTCTGGGCCTGGGCGCTCTGGAATGAAGTGGTCACTGTTTGAAAGAGATGGAAGGTCCAGAATTATTTCCTGGGGTTCAGGAGCCTCCCTCTGAATGAGTGAAGGAGAACCTAATGGACGTTCAGGGACCAGGGCAAAGCCCGTGACAAATAGAACAGCTGCCGGATGCAAGAGAGGGTGAGATTAGGTTGGGAAGGGGTGTGCTTGTTTGAGAGTCAGGTGTGCTGGACCTAGAGGGTGTGAGGGCGAGCTGGGCCTGCAGAGCCAGGAGTCCACCCCTGCTGGTCTAACCGACACCTCCTCCGCAGCATTCCCCTGCGGCCTCTTTGAGTTCCGGTGCAGCAGTGGAGAATGCACCCCTCAGGGCTGGCGCTGTGACCAGGAGGAAGACTGCACAGATGGCAGTGATGAGCTGGACTGTGGGCCCTGCCTGCTGTCCCAGGTGCCCTGTGCCCACAGCCCACACTGCGTGTCCCCGGAACAGCTGTGTGATGGCGTAACACAGTGCCCTGATGGTTCAGATGAGGACCCCAGTGCTTGCGGTGAGAGTTACATACCTCACTTTGTACAGGTCCCTTCTGTATAGGGGTGGCCTAACAGACTAGGGCCTGGCTCTTCCCAAGTACCTGTCACCATCGCCCCTTGCTGTGGTAGGTTGGTGCAGAGCTAGAACATGACTGGGGATATCAGAGGCTGAGTTGTAGTGAGAATTCTGGAATGTTGGTTTCTTTTAAAATACAGAAATAAGCTGGGCACAGTGGCGCACGCCTATAATCCCAGCACTCTGGGAGGCAGAGGCAGGCGGATCTCTGTGAGTTTGAGGCCAGCCTGGTCTACAAAGCAAGTCCAGGACATCCAAGGCTACATGAGAAACCCTGTCTTGAAAAGCCAAGCCAAGCCAAGCCAAGCCAAACCAAACCAACCAACCAAAAAAAAAAAAAAAAAAAAAAAACCAAATAAACAGAAATATTATAATAATATAGTTTTGTTTTAATCACAGGTGTGGGGTATGGGGCCGCTTTGATCTATCTGCAGCAGCTGAGTATGCTTTGTCTCATGCTCTAGCAGAGGCATGGTTTTGCCAGATGCAGATACTGTCTGCGATTGTGTGATGTTTGGAATTCTGGGACTTTTCAGAGGGTGTATAAATGCTAGGGCCCTGAGAGGTGGTTGGTCATTTAGGGAGGTTTTGTTGCATTTGTTTCAAAGAAGAAACAAAAGGAATGAAATTAGATTCATTGATTTTCCTAATTCTTCTCCTCCCTTCTTTCCCTTGTTTCTCTCCTATCTAGTGTTTGGGGATAAAGGGAGAGAAAAGATGAACCCACAAAGTAGCAAAGATTAGCAACACTGAGCAATTGTTTTTGCTTTGTTTCTTTGATCTTTACCATACCTTAGAAGGTTTTGTGTGTGTGTGTTTTCTGTGGGCCCATGGGAAAGTAGAAAGGAGTTTCTTGTTTGTTCATATTTGGGCAAGAAGGAAGAAGAGAGTGGGTCTTGGCAGGGCCTGAGGGTGGGTCTGTTTGGAGGCTCCACCATCCACAGCTTCTCCTCACCTCAACTGAGTGGAGTCCTCTGTACCCTTACAAATCAGCGCTTCGTGTCCTGCCTACCTCACAAGACAGGGCATCAGGCTGTCCATAGGCCCTTGTTTTCCTTCAGCGCCATTCTTCAACCCCTTCTAAACATCCCTTTGATCCAGGACAGGACTATGCCTCCCACCATGTCCTTCTCTAATGCCTTGGCTTTCCCTGCTGGTCCTTCTGTGGGGGATAGGACTGGGGGGGGGGGACAGGAGCATGATAGGATACTTCTTTTTGTCTATTTGTCTGTTTTTAAAGACAGGCTTTCTCTGTGTGGCCGTGGCCATCCTGGAATTTGCTCTGTACACCAGGCAGGCCTCCAACTCAGAAATCTGCCTGCCTCTGCTGAGATTAAAGGTCTGTACCATTACTGCCCAGCTGACAGGACACTTCTTATCCACAGGTTCTACCCAGCTGCCATCATGCCATGGCCTTTTCTCCTGTGGCTTGGCTCCCTGGAGGTGCCTGAACCCCAAGCAGCTCTGTGATGGGATTCCTGACTGTCCCCAGGGCGAAGATGAGCTGGACTGTGGTATGGATACTGTTTTCTTGCTATCTAGGAAATGGCGTTTATTCCTAGCTAACTGTTCTTTCTTCCTCAGAGGAGCTGTCAGCCCCAGGAGGCCCTAACAGGACAAGAGTTCCCTGCCCAGAATTCTCCTGCCCAAATGGCACCTGCATTGATTTCTTGCTGGTGAGAGTCTCAAGCAGACATGGGTAGGCTCAGATTTTGTACACCTAACCAGAAGCCTGAGCCCTTTGCTTTCTCAGGTTTGCGATGGGAATCCAGACTGTGAGTTGGCAGATGATGCAGAGCTCTCCCTGGATGAGCAGGGTTGTGGGGCTTGGGGCTCCTGGGGTCCGTGGGAGCCATGCAGTCAGACCTGCGGGCCTGGCACACAGGGGCGGAATCGACACTGCTCCGCACCCGATCTCCCAGTGCTACAGAACTGCCCAGGCCCGCAGCACCAGTCACAGGCCTGCTTCACGGAGGCCTGCCCAGGTGAGGGAAGGCACATCTCGCAGGGGGAATAGAACAGCAGGTGCTGGAGACAGAGGGGACAATAGAGGCTGTTGAGCTCTAGCCCTGCCTCACAGCCCACACCCCAGCACACACACCATCCTGGCCATCCTTTGCAGTGGACGGTGAATGGGGCTCCTGGTCTCCCTGGTCTCTGTGTTCTGAACCCTGTGGGGGCACCATGATGCGGCATCGGCAGTGCCGCCCACCTCAGAACGGGGGCAAGGACTGTGCGCTACTGCCTGAGAGCCCTGGTAGCATCCACCAGACCAGTGAGTAGAGGGGAAGAGAGCACAAGTAAGGGCATGAGGAGGTGGGTGATGGGACACTGAGTGAGTAGCTGGTCACTAGGGGAGGGGGCCTCTGGGTGGATACTGGGAGAGCGGGGGAACACAGCAGGAGTAAAGGGTTTCTGGAGGGTACTGTGGGCATAGGAGTCACCACCTGAGACACCGAGGGCATTGGGGGCTTAGTGTAGTGGACACTGGGTTTCTGGCACAATTGCCTCTCTCTAAGCTCTGTCTTTACCCTTGCCCACTTTCAGATCCCTGTCCCCAGGAAGGCTGCCCCAATGCCACTTGCTTCAGGCAGTTGGTATTCAGGCCCTGTGCTCCCTGCCCTTTGACTTGTGATGACATTTCGGGTCAGGCTATGTGCCCACCTGACAGGGCCTGCAGCAGCCCAGGTGAGGGGGTACTGGACCGGGTCTGCGGAGGCCTTGCTTTGCGTGATGCCTAACGCTGGGTTTTACTTAGGTTGCTGGTGCCCAGAAGGCCAGGTGCTGGGCACTGAGGGGCTGTGTGTGAGACCCAGTCAATGCCCCTGCCTGGTGGATGGTACCCGTTACTGGCCTGGGCAACGCATCAAGATGGGCTGCCAGCTCTGCTTCTGCCAGGATGGCCGACCACGTCGCTGCCGGCCCAATCCAGAATGTGCTGGTAAGCCTCTGCCCAGACCCTTCCCCAGGGGGCCTGCTCCCTGCCCAGACCACAGAGCCCTGTGGTCATCTGTCATCTTCCAGTGGATTGTGGCTGGTCTTCCTGGTCCCCCTGGGCAGAGTGCCTGGGCCCCTGCAGCAGCGAGAGCCTCCAGTGGTCCTTCCGGAGCCCCAACAACCCACGCCTCTCTGGCCGAGGTCGCCAGTGCCGTGGTATCCACCGAAAAGCCCGCAGGTACAGAGCAGGGACACAATCTGTCCTCTACCACTTCTTAGGAAGGTGGCTCTGAGCCCCTCTTTGAGACAGGTGTTTCACATCTGCCAGAGACCCTCAGACTAGCAACCTGCTCTCTGACCCCTCAATTGACACCTCAGTTGTCTCCTACATCAGTTTTGTTCCTGCTAGATCTAGGAGCCAGCAGACAGAACCTACAAATAGAGCTTTCCAGTGGCAAGAATGGGTCTGTGTGTCTGTTAGGGGTTGAGGAGTGCCCCTGGTGAGGCTTGTAGAGGCACCATTATTTCAGGCTCTTCCTGGGCGGGCTGTGTGAACCTGCAGTGTTGGCCCAGAGTGCTTCCCTCCCATTCTCTTGGGCCTGTTACGGTTGGTCCTTTAGGAGCAGGGGCAGAGCGGGATTGTAGCGTGACCAAACATTTAGCCAGGACTCTCTCAGTTTTATGACTGAAAGTCACAAGTGGGGGTGGGGTAGCTCTGAGTAAGCTCCCTCCCGAAGGAGGCTGTAACGTGTCTCCCTTCCCAGGTGCCAGACGGAGTCTTGTGAGGGCTGTGAGCAGTGGGGCCTCATGCACCGTGTCGGGGAGCGCTGGCGTGGGGGCCCCTGCGTGGTGTGTGAGTGTCTGCACGGGGCTATCACACGCTGCTCCCCCTACTGCCCCCTGAGCGGCTGCCCCCAGGTGAGAGGTCTGAGATTGTGGAGAGGTGGTATGGGCCAGCCAGGCTTGGGGAAACTGAGTGTTCAGGCATGGACAGTGGCTTGACTTCTCTGTCCCACAGGGCTGGGTCCTGATGGAGGGGATGGGAGAATCGTGCTGCCACTGTGCGCTGCCTGGTGAGTGGGTCTGAGGGGCGGCAGAAGAGCCTCAAGGAGAGAGGAATCCGGTGCAGACTATGACAGGGAGTAAGGAGGCGGTTTCCTTAGCTCAAAGGTGTCCTTACAATGAAGCTGGAGCCACCCAGCACTTGCGGTTACCTAGGCTGTTCACTGCACGGGTCTCTTTCTAACGCCTGCCTAGGCTAGGAACCGCACCTCTTCTGCACTCATCCAAAAGTTGTTTTGGCCTGGGGGTTTTAATTCTGTTTTCTAAATAGTCAGTGGAGGTGAAAAGCCCCAATTCACACACGGGGTAGGAGCTGACATTTGTTCCTGAGAAGCCATGAGAGGGAATGTGTTCCAGAAGTGTGGAGGGCCTGAGTGCTGGCTTGGTGGCTGGTGGCAGCCTCCCCCACTCTTTCTCCTGACCCTTGGGTCTCTGCACAGGAAAGAACCAGACATCGGTCCCCATGGCCACTCCTGGCCCCACCCTCAGCCCGGAGCCCGGAGCCCCTCTCGTCACCCATGTTCTGCCTCCCTTGGGAGGTAAGTCATGTGCTGTTTTGGATGCTGAGAGGGGCTGCCCTAGCAATTGCCAGACCTCTAGGAAAAGGGGCTCTCTGGCACAGTCCCCTGCCTTCAACACTGAAGGCCATAAAGTCACCCATGTCAAATTGCATTCCCCAGCTCTGCCCCTTGCTCCATTTTTCTGTCCCCTGTCTCCCCAGCTCCCCTTGTGGCTCCCTAAGTGTCCATTTTGCCTTCTGTTTTGCCCTACTTGAGCCTACTCCTCTTTCTCCTGAACCCAGATGCCTGCTATTCTCCCCTGGGCCCGGTCCGACTGCCCATGAGGGCACCCTCCCAGCACCCAGAACCCACCGCCTGGGCTGCTGCCGTGGGAGCTCCCATTGAGGAGCCTGGCCCTGGAGAGGGTGCTTATGCTGAGTGGCACACCCAGCCACTCTACCTGCAGCTGGACCTGCTGCAGCCTCGGAACCTAACTGGTCAGTGAGGGGAAGGGGACAGGACGGGCATGGGGGATGGGGTGGCTGTCTCAGTGCTGACCTTTGCCTTGCCCCGGTCCCCCCCTCAGGCATCATGGTGCAGTGGGCTGGCTCCTCTGCTGCTTACGTCAGCAGCTTGTCCTTCCAGTTCAGCAGCGATGGCCTACAGTGGCATGACTATCTCCACTCTCTGCCTCGTACCCTGCGTCCACCCACGGTACTGAGCACTCCAGTGCCCTGGGGCAGGTGACCCAACAAACCCCCTCGTGGATACCACAGCCATTGTCCCCAAGGGACTTTCATTCCCCTGAGGGACAGTCTTTGCATTAGACATCTGTGGGACAGCTACCGACTAGCAGGTGGAGCTGAGAGTCCAGGGACATCTGGAAACACAAAAGTGGCTTAGAATCTGCACACCCGACAGGCACGTGACTGTAACAGCCCTCGGAAGCACAGAGCAGCCCCGGCACGGCACCATTCCTTTAGGAGTTGGCACCCTCCCCGGGAAGACAGACCCCTTGCGGCTATAGGACTCAGTTCACCCGGGTGGGCATTCTCAGCCTCTTAAAGAGCCCCTGCTTTACGTGGGAGCAACATCCAGGTTATGAGGGTCGGGAGACTCAGAAGGGCACCAAAGCAGAGTCACGGTGACATCTTGAGCAAGAGGTGGGACTTGGGCAGCGAATAATGTCTCCCACAGCTTTCCCCGGAGAGCTGGGACCATACGGCCCCTGAGGTATGGACATTCGGCCAGATGGTACAAACAAGGTACGTCCGGGTGTGGCCACACAACAGCCACCACAGCAACAGCGACGAGCGCGGTATCTTCCTGCGGGTGGAGCTGCTGGGCTGTGAGCCACGTGCGGGTGAGCTTGGGAGCCGGAGGGGCGGGAGTGGGCAGTGCCAAGTCAGGACTCCTTAGGAGCATATTCTCCACAGTGTCCCCACCGGCACCCCCGTGTCCGGGGAGTGGACACCGCTGTGCCAGCGGTGAGTGTGCCCTGCAGGGTGGACTGTGTGATGGTACTAAGGACTGTGAGGATGGCTCTGATGAGGAGGGCTGTGCGCCCCTTCATGGAGGGACCACTAGCAGGTATGGCCTGGTCTTAGGCTGAACCAGGACGGGAAAGGTGAATGGGAGGAGCCCTGACTTGCCTTTACAAACCATGACTGCTGAGGGGTCATAGCCAGGTGTCCCTGGGCCCTTCCCACCTTGACAGCCTTGGATTCGGTACATTCTCCTAACATCTAGAGGTTAACGACCCTCAAAGGTGACTCCTGAGCTAAGACCACCGTCACCACCTGGCATGATAGACGGGAGACTCTCAGTTTCTACCTGGTCCTGCAGGGCGGGCAGTGGGAGGGCTTCACCTAGTCTCCAGTGATCACAACATGATCTAACCCTGCTCAGTTTGGAACTCACCTTCATCCAGCCTTAGTGGGCAGCGCCCCTCCTGAATGCCCTACCCTGGTCCCAAATCCCTTGATTCCTTTAAGATGGTTAATCTTCAGGGCTAGGAGATTCCCTGGAGCCCTGTGGTGATTTTTCTTTCTAGAGTCCATTCCACAGCCAGGACCCAGGCCCTTTCCTCCACTCAGCCTGGAAAGTTTCCATCCCAGCCCCGGGAGGTGAGTGGGAATTTGTGACTCACGGCCTCACCAACGTGCTTCCTGCACCTGCACTGTCATCCCTCTCTACACATTCAGTGGCTTTTCCTCCACTTGTGTTTCCTGATGCGGAGCTACCTGCCAGCTTGGTGCTAGGTGGAGTGCTGAGTGCTGGGGACACAGATCAGTGCAGAGGTGGACAGGGCAGGGTACTGACGTGGTGCGGTCTGGGGTACAAGAGCTCTGTTAAGGTGACAAGGCCCCGGAGCATCTGCTTTTGCAATCTATGCCTGAGGTCCCCAGAGGCATCGGGCATGAAGCTTGAAGGATGGGGATGCCTGTGACATGAAGAGGGGCCAGTCAGGGTGCTTTCCGCTGGACTTTGGGGAAGAAGAGATGAAGTGCTTGCACGGGTAGGCCGGTGAGGGTATGAACTGGTGCCCGAGGAGGCCTAGCTCATCTGCCTTGATCATGAGTTCTGAGGGTCAGTATCTTGGGGTGTTCAGCCTACTTACCTTGCAGGACATGATCCCTGTCCACAGTTCTGGGCTTCCGGAAACAGTTACAGGTGGGAAGGAGATAGCTGTGGCCTTCTGGGAAAGGCCATGTGGACCTGCCCTGGAGGCCTGAGCAGTGACTAAGCGCTCTTCCTCTGCAGGTTCTGGCAGACACCGAGCACCAGAAGCCTGAGCAGGAGTTATCTGTACCTAGTACAGGTGTGTGCACAGACTCTAATCCCGAGGCCCCATCCTTGTCATCTCCTGCCCTTCAGAACAAAGGCGGCAGCATCCCAGAGGCTGAACTCCCCGGTTCTCCTAGTTCTCCCAAGACCAGAGAGCTACAGGGTCAAGAGACAGTGGTCACCAGGTGCATGCCAGCTCCTGGCCTGCTCAGCCTACCAGACCCAGGATGTGAGGTCTGAGGGGACGAAGACAGTTCGTAGGGCCATGCAATTGTCTTGCAGGGTGGATGCAGTCTCCTCACCCTATCCTGGGTCAGTCTCCTTGAAGAAGCTGAGAAACCACCTGGCCCCATCATTGTCTCTCTGCCCACTGAGCCGTTTGTCGGCAACAAATGTCCTAAGTGGACACGGGAGTGGGCAGGGCGCCCAGCTCAGGATTCTTCTAAGCAGAAAAAGGGACACCCTGCCTGGCATGTGCAAACTTCCCCAGGGCTACTGATCAGCCACCTGCACCATGGGCCCCAGGGGAGCTGTCTCAGTGTGGGATGGATGGGTGCGGACCGCCAGAGCAGCAGGCTTGTACTGACTAACCTGGGAGATAGTGGACAAACCGCGCTAATGCGTGCCTCAGCTCTCTCATGGATGAGAGTCGGCAGCTCTTCCCCATGAATTCCGGTGGGAGTTTCACAGTCTGGCTGCACCATGTCTTTTGTAAAGAGTCACATTTGCAACATGTAGGCTCACGGGATGAATCCTAGTCTCATTATAAGTCTGGTTCCAAAGGAGGCTGTCTTTGAAGATGGATGCTTTGGCAGAAAATGAGCATCTGCTTCTCCTTTTCATCAGAGCTGTCAGGAAGCTCAAAATCAGTTTCTTTACATCAGCAGCAATGTCCTCATCCTGAGCCTCGGTCATGCTTGCTCCTTCTGCTGTTACATTTAAATGACAGTTCTTTCTCACCTCTAAATGCCTTATTTCATGATGAACTTGTTCTGGGTAGTTGCTGTGTACAGGATTAGATCAAACCTCTTTTTTTTTTTTTTTTCCCCTCCTTGTCCTTAGCACTCATCTCGTGCTCCTTGGGTGACAGAGTGCTACTCTCTTTCTTATCTGAGTGCCCTGTGGTAGCTGTGATCACCCTGCATCGTGTGGGAAGCAGGGGTGCCCTCTTCAGGGTCTGTCTCGCCACCTCTCATAGGCCAGGGAGCAGACGCCTTCCTCCGGCCCCGGAGAAGACAGTAGGTCCCATCCGTGCTCCTGAGACTCCTCTGCCTGTTTCAGAGCAATCTATGCAGACAGTGACCACCATCTCCACCCTTCCTCCTGGCGCCGAGAGCCTACACCCAGGAATGGCTGCTGTGACAGTGCGTCCCCCATATTCAGTCACGCCAGGAACTCCAGTTGGTAAGACTCTTCTGCCTGAACGGCCTGTGTGAGCCCAGCTTCTCTGTGAGGAGCAGAAGCCACCATGGGAGGTTTGTCATGTGGATCAAGGTCACATGGCTCCAGGTCATTTTTGGTAGAATGGGCCTAGGATCCCAGCTTCCTGACCCAACTCACTCCTTTTGCATTACCCCCCCCCCAAAAAAAAGGGCAGAAAGTGGGGTATCATAGACACTTAAGAGGAGGGAAGCTGGGGACTGATAGGAAGTGACCGAGGAGGAAGGGTAAGGGTGGCTGGTTTCCAAGCCAGCTGGCGTTCTGCGCTGCTGTCCTGTTGCAGGCCGAAGTGTCACCCCCAGGCCCTTCCCACCCACGCACTGTGACCCTGGGCAGATGCCCTGTGACGTGCTAGGCTGTGTGGCACAGGAGCGGCTGTGTGACGGGACGGAGGACTGTCTTGATGGCTCCGATGAGCAGCACTGCGGTGAGCTGGAGGGGCTGTATCATGCGCTGGAGATGGCAAGAGGGTTTCAGGTCTGGGGAGCTCATACGGGAAGGGCGTGGGAGGGGCTGGGGCAGTAGGGAATGGGGAGAAATTGCAACTAGGAGCACCAGTGTCTTTGAAGGTAACGAAGAGAATGGGATAGGCGTTGGGTCCCAGCCTGTTTTGTTAAACCTATTTGGCTGTTGAAGATACTCAACTATCCATCAGTCTACCTTCCCACTAATCCATTCACACATCCATCCGTCCATCCATCCACCCACCCACCTACTTATCCATTGCTCCATCCACCTCTTTATGTATCTATCATCCACTTGTTCTTTTTTAAAAAAATATTTATTTTGATTGTTTTTATTTGTGTATGTGCGCACATGTGTGTGCTCGTGGAGACCAGATAAGGGTATTGGATCCCTTGGAATTGTAACTAAAATGGTTATGAACCACCACGTGGATGCTGGGAGTCAAACTTGGGTCCTCTGGAAGAGCAAGCAGAGCTCTTAGTTACTGAGGCCTCTCTAGCCTCACCCACGTACCCTTAAACCTACCTGTCCATACACACGCTCATTTTTTCCATCCACACATTCATGCATCTGGTCATTTAGTCAATCTGCCTATTCTTCTTTCTATCTATGTATCCATTAATCTACTGACCCATCCATCCGTCCGTCCGTCCATCCATCTCTCTCTCCATCCATCTAATCTATTTATTCATTTACCCTTCCACCTACCAACTCACCTACCTGTCTACCCATCTATTAATTCACCATCTACTTAGCTATCTCATTCACACAGTCATCTCTCAATCCATTCATCTATCGATGTGCCCCCATATTCATCCATTTATCCATATAGTCTCTGCCTATATGGATCCATCCATATCCATCCCATCCATCCATCCATCCATCCATCCATCCATCCATCCATCCATCCAAGGTAGATAATTTTGATCAAAACTTAGTCTTCCAATGTGAAGAAAAAGTGTTAACCAATCCCAGAAACTGGAACCCTAGGGAGAACCCACTCAGAAAGAGGGTACCCCAGGGGAAGGGCTGTTTTGCGTGTACTGACCTCTCTCTGGATACCTACAAGTAGAGAAACTGTGACAGCTATGTAGAACAAAGACCTTATGTGGGCTCATCCTGGGTGGGAGATTCCAGAAACACTGGGAGGAGTGGAAAGTCCAGAGCCTCTGTTCAGCAAACTATCCTGATCTTGGCCTGAATTTCAAGGGACTCGGTTTCTCATCCGGCCAGAAAACATTTATGAGGCTCCCTTCTCTCCCCTCAAATTACAAATTAGCAGCAAGTGCTTGGCCCTTCACTGTGCCCACCACTGCCCTGCCTGGGTTGCCAGCCTCAAGGCCCCTTTGCTCCTCAAGTCAGCTGAGCTGTGGCAGTGGGGAATGCCTGCCCCGTGAGCAGCGCTGTGACCTGCAACTGAACTGCCAGGATGGCTCTGATGAAGACAACTGTGGTACGCGCTGGTCTGAGGTACAGTCCCGAGGGTCCTGTCCCTGCATGAGCCTCCCTCGAAGCCCTGCTGTGTTGTCCCCTGTAGTGGACTGTGTGTTGGCACCTTGGTCTGGCTGGAGCGACTGCAGCCGCAGCTGTGGCCTGGGCCTCATCTTCCAACGTCGGGAGCTCCTGAGACCTCCCCTGCCTGGAGGCAGCTGTCTGATGGACCAGCTCCGTAGCCAGTCCTGCTTCGTACAAGCCTGCCCAGGTAGCCTGGCACCCCAGATTTTTTTGGGGGTAGAGATTGACCACTTGCTGTGGGAGATCTGGGTTGGTTCATATCAGAGACCCTCACCAAGTACCCTGATCTCTCTGGGTTCAGTCTCTTGAAACTCTAGCACAATGATACCATGTGATCGAAGCCTTCAAAAGGTTGTGAGGACACCCCTTCCTCTGCCCTCACTCCCTTCCTCGTCTGCCTAGGTAGCCGAGGGAATCCCTCCACGTAGGGCTCCCAGGCTGTAAACTGGTAATTGTCGTTCTACCTGCAGCCATGTTTCCATGTGTGAGGATGAAGGGAGACAGCATAGGACAGTGTTTTCAGGGACAGCCAGTTGTACCACTTGCTTGTCCCTGGCTCCATACCCGAAGGCCTTGTAGACCTTTTGGTTCAGTGACTCCACCAGAGTGGCTCCCAGACTGCTCTACGTGTTGCTGAGAACTCTGGGCACACACAGCAGGCTGTCCACAGCTCCTGCGTCAGGGTCCCACCCCTAGCTTTGGTACTTTCCTTGTGTCAGCTTTGGTAGCTGCCAGTTGTACCCACCGTAGGCTTCTGCCTTTGTATCCCGTCCCCTCGGAGTCATCCTGGTGGACCCTCTTCTTCCTCCACAGTGGCTGGGGCGTGGGCAGAGTGGGGACCCTGGGAGCCCTGCAGTGTCTCCTGTGGAGGTGGCCATCAGAGTCGCCAGAGGAGCTGTGTGGACCCCCCACCCAAGAATGGTGGTGACCCCTGCCCTGGGCCGTCCCATGAGAGGGTGCCCTGCAGCTTGCAGCTCTGCCCAGGTGACACAGGTAAAGGGAAGCTGGACCTCCCACAGTGGAGCCCAAGGGTTTGTCTCTGGGTCTGCTGGTTCCCACCCTACTTGTGCTCCGCTCAGACTGTGAGCCAGGCCGTGTACATGTGAGTGCTGAGCTGTGCCAGAGGGGACTCGTACCCCCATGTCCACCCTCCTGCCTGGACCCTGAAGGCAACAGGAGCTGCAGCGGGCACTGTATGGAAGGTGAGGCAGGGCCAGAAAGTGGAAGAGGTACCCTCTCGAGCCCAGCCCTGTCCCCAAGTGACTTCTTCGTGCCCTCAGGATGCCGCTGCCCTCCTGGGCTCCTCCTCCAGGACTCCCGCTGCTTGCCTCTCTCTGAATGCCCCTGCCTGGTAGGCCAGGACCTGAGGCAGCCCAGGCTGCCCTTCCTGCTGGACAACTGCAGCCAATGGTGGGCATGCTAGGCTAAGGGGTGGTGTTGGCCCAGGGTTGAGTCCTGGGGTGAGAGAGGGTGCTGGGCCAGGGAGGGCGCTGGGTCAAGAGATGGTTCGAGTGGAGAGCAGGTACTGGCCATGGCTTTCTGGTGCTGAGGGATCCTCCGTCCCTTCTGTTCTCTGCAGCACGTGTGAGAATGGGATACTGCTGTGTAAGCCAGGGGGCTGCGCCCAGTCCTGTGGCTGGTCTGCCTGGTCCCCTTGGACTCCCTGTGACCGCTCCTGTGGCTCTGGAGTGAGGGCCAGGTTCAGGTGTGGAGCTGGGGCAAGAGCGGAAGCGATAGGGAGGAAGGAGCAGAGCAGGCCACCCTGGCAGAAAGGGCAGCGAACAGATGAGGAAGGGATAAGGAAGGCAGTGCTAGGTGGTGTAGGAGCAAGACAGATGCTCAGGCAAGTCTCTCCTCAGGTCCCCCTCCAACCCTCCTGTGGCGTTTGGAGGTGCCCCATGTGACGGTGACAGGCGGGAGCTGCAGGCCTGCTTCACAGGGTGTGGGACAGGTACTGTGAGGCAGGAGACTGCCTTCCTCTCCCTAATCCCCCGTCCTGGCTGGTACCCTGGCTAGTGAGGCTGGCGTCCCCATGTCTCCTTTCCTGCCTGAACCCCAATGCCAACACAAGCTGCAGTGGGTACTGAAGCCAGAAAGTGGAAGTGAAGTGGGCCCGTCCATTTGAGCTATGGTCCTGGAACCGGTCTAGGTTAGTGGGCTTTGGAGTGGGAGAGATGGGCTTTCATGTAAGCATCCTGGGTACCTGGACAGGCCATCTTATGGGGGGCAGGTGTATGCAGAGGCTGGAAGAACGAGCCTGCTGGGCTGGCTGTGTGCTTCAGGCTCCCAGGGCAGACAGGAACTCTCTGGGGCAGGATAAAGGGGCCAGTTGCCCCTTTGCTCAGGCGATGCAGGTTTCAAGGGAGATCACGGCAGTGCTGGCTAATCCCTGTTGGCATATGAGGCAGAGTGAGTGGAGGGTGGTGGAAATGAGTGGAGGAGGCTGAGAAGTGGGTCCTGGAGTCAGTGGGGAGTGAAGGGTGATCTCACGCAGGTGGTCACAGGTCACAGGAAACTCCGAGGTTTCCCATATAGAGAAATCTAGAAGAGCTGGGCTGAGGGACTGAGGGTGGGGAATGTATTGCGAACTGTTGGCTGAACCATGGGAAGTGCAGGCGTGAGCTTGGCCAGGTTCCACGGAAGGCTCTGCCTTAGGGAAGGTCAGAGTGGAGTTGTAGGGTAGGGTCCTAAGAGCAGAGTGAGTCATGGGAGAAATTCTACCGTTCACAGCCTCTTGGTTTTTTGGACCTGACCCAGACCCTGCCCCCCCCCCCCCCCCGGCCAGCCTGTCTGGAGTCTTTATACGCTAGATCTGCAACTGTCCTTCTTTCCAGAGATACCAGGCTGGACGCCTTGGACGTTGTGGTCCTCCTGCTCCCAGAGCTGCCTTGTCCCCGGGGGAGACCCTGGCTGGAGGCAGCGTTCTCGGCTGTGCCCTAGCTCCAGGGATTTACTCTGTCCTGGAGAAGCCACCCAGGAGGAGCCCTGCAGCCTGCCTGTGTGCCTAGGTACTGCCTGACAGTCCTGGTGTGGCTGGGAACCTTAGTGAGAAAAGGAGAATGACCGCCCAGGAAGGAGGGGAGAGAGCAAACCTGGTGGCTGTCTTTAAACCACCTCCACCCCACCCCCACCCAAAGCCTCCTTTAAAAGGGGAGACTCTGATTGACATTATTGGATTGTACTAAATCCCTTCCTTTCCTGCCTACATCTTGCCGCCCCTGACTGTGGCCCCCATTCTTCCTGACAGTGCCAAGTGCCTGGGGATTGTGGGCTTCCTGGTCCACCTGCTCAGCCTCCTGCAATGGCGGCACCCAGATTCGTGGGCGCAGCTGCTCTGGCTTTGCTCCTGGGAACCTTGTGTGCCCAGGACCCCACACTCAGACCAGAGACTGCAACATGCATCCGTGCACAGGTGCCTTATCCCTTCCACACTCTCCAGGTGGCCGCATCTACCTAGGGCGTTGACCTTTCCGGCCTTCCCATCTCACTTAGCTGACCTCTGGCTTCAGAACGGCCCACAGAGAGCTAGGGAGCCTTCAGGATTCCCAGTGTCTCTCCGGGTCCCCTCTTCCTCCCATTTGCTGGAAACCAGATACTGGGCCAGACACTTTACTTGTCCCTGATAAGGGCATGTGACCTTGGAGGCAGAGCCCACTCACAGGCAAAACTCAGGAGAACAGTGTCAGCCCAGAGAGGCCTATTTCCTTTTCTCCCTGATCCTTTGGGCATGCCTCCCGGCCCAGACACTGGTGTTCTCCTGTTCTCAAGAGCATGCATATCCAGGGGAGCCAAGCTCTCTGGAAAAGGGGAGAGGATGGGAGATGTCGGGAGAGGAGGGACTTCCTCACCCCAGGCCTTTGTCAGCCTCCCTGCTGTCCTGCTCAGACGCTCTATCTTCCCATCTAGCCCAGTGCCCAGGAAACATGGTGTTCCGCTCAGCAGAGCAGTGTCACAAGGAGGGGGGTCCGTGCCCCCAGTTGTGCCTGGCGCAGGACCCCGGGGTGGAGTGCACTGGCTCCTGTGCCCCAGGCTGCAGCTGTCCTCCTGGCCTCTTCCTGCACAATGCTAGTTGCCTGCCCCGCAGCCGGTGCCCCTGCCAGCTGCATGGGCAGCTCTATGCGCCAGGAGGAGTGGCTCGCCTGGACTGCAACAACTGGTAGGCTGCCAGGCAGGGGAGGACAAGGCAGGGGAGAGGTGGCACGAAGGGAGGGGCTGTGATTCACAGTCAAGGTGACACAGACTCGCACACATACTCATCATTGTGGGTGCAGGGGTCAGAGGGCAGGGGTCAGCTGATAACACGCCAAGCTTGGTTCCTGAGCAGACTGGCTACAACACAGGTGTCCACGAGAAATGCTGCCCCAATCTGACTGGGGAGACTGGGTTTCAGATAGGTGGGTGTGCTATGCAGAATGGAACTACAGACTGAAGAGGGGCTTCCTTTTAAAGATGTAATTTCGTTCCTTGGCAAGTTCATATATACATATAGTTACTTTGATCCTATTCATCCCCACTCCTCCCCTTAACCACTTTCAGATCCACTCCAGCCCCTTCCAACTTAATGCTATTGTTATTGTTGTCTGTGGACTCCTGGGTATGGCGCCATCCACTGGAGAATGGTCCACCCAGCAGGGGTCACGTCCTTAAAGAAAATGGACTTCACTTCCCCCGTAACCCATCACTTGTCCACTTGTTGTAGCTACTCAATTGGGGAGGGGGATCATGAGCCCCTCTGGAAGGGGTTTTCTCTTTCTTGAATATAATTCTCTTCATAGAATCCCTTGGGTTCTGCTCTTTGAAATAAACAATTCTCAACCGACACCAAGTTTTGCCAGCAGAGGGCGCTCTAACATCCCCCCATCTCACCCCCTTTCCTCGGATTTCTTCTTCATTTTCCCCTTTCTTTTAATTTCTTTTAATTTCCCCCAGTTCCTTTCTTTATAGGCCCTCCCCAATTCTCTTGGTTCTTCTGCCAGATCATTTTTCTGGACTCACCAGTGTTTGACAAGCAAACAGGCACTGGAGGAAAATGGAAGGGCAAAAAATATATCCACTTCTAGAATTGTGGCTCTTTCTCAATTGCCGCTACCTAGTCCTGTCCCTTAAAGTCGTGCAAAATGTTGTTTAATATGTACGCATGAAATTAAAAGCACAAAAAGGTATTTCCTGATGGAACCGTGTGACAAAGGGACAGCACCCCACCTGGGGCATCACGGCGCCGACTGGGCGTGGACTTGGGAGGGAGTCAGGAGAGTCCAAGTCACAGCATTCACTTCATGTTGTTTATTTGCTGGCCCAGATCCCTGGTCCCTGAGGCAGGTATCCAGTGCCTCAAGGGCAAGGGCTGGGTTGGGACTCAGTGGGTCCTCTCTTGGCAGCACCTGCATCTCTGCTGAAATGGTGTGCACGTCGGAGCTCTGTCCAGGTACTTCTCCATGTGGTCAGTGCTCAGAGACGTGGGCGACTCTAAGCCCTTCAGAGATAGCCTCCTGGGGGTGCTGGGAGCGTCCCAGAAAAGCCAGGGTTCAGGACAGCCTGGCCTGGTTTCAGACATCTGCCCTCACCCTGGCAGTGGCCTGTGGCTGGAGCCCCTGGACTCCGTGGAGTCCGTGCAGCCGAAGCTGTGACGTGGGTATTCGACGGCGCTTCAGAGCAGGCTCTGCACCGCCAGCTGCCTTTGGGGGTGCCGAATGCCAAGGCCCCAACATAGACGCTGAATTCTGCAGTTTGAGGCCATGCCGCGGTGAGTGTGGGGACCCAGGGCCTGAGACTTCCTTAAAGAACCTTTCAGAGAAAAGCCAGGAATGCCCCCTCAGGCCCCCATGAGTGATATAAGGGACTTCCCTAAGGGATACTACTACTAAGAGATGGGTCCTCAGAAGCCTTGCTAGTCCCTTCTCTAAGAGAGACCCTCTCTAAAGGCCAGACGCTTCCTCTCTGAATGCACCAGGTCCCCTAAAGTGAAGGCGATCGTGCAGGTAAAGGGAGACAGGATGAGAAAGGAGATGGGATGGGGGGGGTGCTTTGGATATCTGGGCCTGGGAAAGGGGTGGGCTGGGTATTGTGACCTCTAGTGACCAGAATGCTACCCACAGGACCCGGTGCAGAGTGGGGTTCCTGGACTCCATGCTCAGTGCCCTGTGGCGGTGGCTACAGAAACCGCACTCAAGGTGGTGGCCCACATGCCCCCATCGAGTTCTCTGCCTGCAGCCTGCAGCCCTGTGCAGGTGAGGGCTGCCTCGGGGACACTCTAGTTCTCATTCCCACCAGGCTAGACACTTCTAACACCCCGACCCCTGCAGCCCTGTCCATTTAAACAATACAGCCTCCGTGGCAACATCTTCAGTGCCCAGGACTGATGCCTCCCCCGTGTTAGGATCCTGGGCTGCCCTTTTGTCATGTGTGTCTACAGGACCAGTGCCAGGAGTGTGTCCCAAAGGCCAGCAGTGGCTGGATTGTGCCCAGGACCCTGCCTCCTGTGCCCATCTCAGCACCCCTCGAGAGGCTAATCAGACCTGCCACCCTGGCTGCTACTGCCTCTCTGGAAGGCTCCTGCTGGTGAGTATCTCCACTGCCCGCCCACAGCTGGGACCACCATATGGCTTGGGTCCCTGGTTTAGCAGGGAAGAGAAAGCCAGGGGTCTGGACAAGGGCAGAGCTAAAGGTTTGGGACTGGAGACAAAGCTTCTGCTGAGTCAGACTCCCTCCATAGCTGTTCTCTTGTTCATGAAAGCGGTGGTGGACCAAAAAGAGGTTTTCTACATTTTGCTCCCTCGAATGTGTGTCCTCCCCCACTGCCAGCTGTGTGCCGAGCAGCTCCTGTGTGCTCAGTCCTAGACTCGGCTGATGGATGCGTGGAATGGATAAGCAAGATATACTCAGAGTTGCCTACCGGGTCTGGCTGGAGACACAGCTGCTTTTCCTTAGTGAACATGTTTGCGGGGCTGGAGGGTGTTTTGCTGTTGTATAAATCACGTGACTCATATGAAAAAATATGTATCATACAGTTGACTTCCTTTAACAAGTCAGTCTCGTGCCTTGCAATGGAAGGGGGCCATTTTCTTCCTGAAGGAGAGGGTCTCTGTCCCCGTGTGACCCTCAGCTAGGGGTCTTCTCTTGCCCAATGAGAGGGCGCTGCTCTTCGGAAGGTGTCTGGGTGGCATGTGGGATGGACTTGAGTGCTGGCTTTGACTGGAGCAGGCTGGAGCCTGAGTGACAGAGGGCTTTCTATTTCAGAACAGTGTGTGTGTGCCTGCCCAGGACTGCCCCTGTGTCCACAGGGGGCGGCTTCACCCCCCAGGCAGTGCCTTGGTTTATCCATGTGAGAACTGGTAAGAACCGCTAACCCCCAGCTCTGCAGTAGCCCTGCGGTCCCTGAGAACCCAGCTATCCCTGGCTGTCTCTCCTCAGCAGCAGGGATATTGGCTCCAGTCGGCCAAAGAGAAGCCCATCCCTCCAGTAGCCACAACCAACCGGTCCGTCTGCCTGCCCCCTCCAGCCACCGGTCCTTGTCTGTCTTCTCTCAGGGGCTGGAGACACACTCGGTGGCCTGGCATGTGTTAAGACTCTCAGTTGAATCTCCAGTAATGAAAAAAAAAAATCGCCTGTCTTCTTTTTTCCTACTTGTGTTAATTTCTATGATTGTTGTGACAGAAATATATCATACTTGTACTCGGGCAACATACATACACACACACACACACACACATGAACACATTCATATACATACATGCATGTGCACAAGCATACACGTGCTCAGGAGGTAGGGGTCTTACAAAGTAGCCTTTGACGGCCACACATGTCCCAGATCAAGGTGTTGGTAGACCTGGCGCTTTTTGGGCACTGAGGGAGCCTTTGTCCCAACTCTCCTTTTGGCACCGATCTGGCACTTTCTAGCTTGCAGAGAGCTATCTTCTCCCTCTTTCCCTCATCTTCCCCCTGTGTATGTCAGCATCTAAATACCCTTTCCATATAAGAACATGGGTCACACTGGATTGTCCGTGACCTCCTCTGACAACCTTACTAACTTGATTACCTCTGGGAGGCTCTTATCTCCAAACAAGATCACACTTGCAAGTCCTGGGGACCAGAGTTCGGGTACAGGCTCTGTGGGTACCATGTAGCCCTGGGGAGCACCCAAGCTCTGCTTTTCCCCCTAGCTCCTGCATCTCTGGGCTCGTCACCAACTGCAGCTCCTGGCCTTGCGAGGAAGGTGAGAAAGGCTTTTCATGCCTCATGTGCCCTTGCTTCCCATCCCAGGCAGCCATGGGTCTGGGCTGAGGCAGAAGACATGCCTCAGGAAAGCGGAGGAAGAAGGTGGGTTGACGCCTCCCCACATGACATCACTCTCTTCTCACATCCTCTGTCCCCCATACACTCCAAGGGCAGCCTGCGTGGTCACCCTGGACCCCGTGGAGTGTGTGCTCAGCCTCCTGCAGCCCTGCCCAACGCCACCGGCACCGCTTCTGTGCCAGGACCCCCAGCATGGCACCCTTCAGCCTGCCTCTGCTGGCCACAGTGGCTGTCCCCACAGCCCTCTGCCCAGGCCCTGAGTTTGAGGAAGAGCCATGCCTCCTGCCAGGATGTGATCGTAAGTGGCCCTTTTAGGCTGATGCTTGCCCTGAAGCCCTTGGTGGGGCCATCTCTGGAGTACCTCATCCTTGTACCGGCTCCCTCCAGCACCCTCACACCTTATCACACTCCTTCCTCTGCTGTTCCCTCAGAAGCAGGCGGCTGGAGTCCTTGGGGCCCCTGGTCGGGCTGTAGTCGGAGCTGTGGAGGAGGCCTGCGGAGCCGGACTCGAGCCTGTGGCCAGCCACCACCCCAAGGCCTGGGGGATTTCTGTGAGGGACCTCAGGCCCAGGGGGAGGCCTGCCAGGCTCAGCCATGCCCAGGTACCTGCAGAGGCCAGGGTGGGCCCAGGAGCAAAGAGCAAGAAGCTGGGAAGCAGCCTTGGGAGGCAGGCCATGGTCTCCACCATTCTCTCTGCCCATCCTGTCCTCCCAGTGACCAACTGCAGCACCATTGAAGGGGCACAGTACAGCCCCTGTGGCCCCCCTTGTCCCCGCTCCTGTGACGACCTTGTGGTGAGTCTGGGCCCTTTTGATACTCCCACCTGACCTTTGACTCTGACCAGAGAATCATCTTGGGGGACACTCGAATGTGGGCTTGGGCCCATGGCCTCTCGCCTGACACTGGGGACAAAGCCTGGTGGGGGTGGATGAGGCCCTGGGCTTTCATTTACAACAGTATAGGCTTGCTCCCCTCTTGCTGACAAGAGAGCCAGCCTTACACAGCAGCCCTTGGCTTCAGTACAGCCAGTGTTTTTAAATTAAAATGCCATTTCAAACACAGCGCAAACACGTGGGAGGGGAAATCATCCCACTATATCATCTTAAGTGCCATAAACATTTTGGTATACAAAACTTGTGTGTGTGTGTGTGTGTGTGTGTGTGCGTGTGTTCTCTGCGCACCTACGCAGACACTGTAGATACAGATGGAGGCAAACACAGACAAGGTCTTTGAATCTGTGACCCCACATTCTGGGGGGAGGAAGACAGCCATGAACTAAAGATTGGGCACTGTAAGAGTTCTGAAGATGAAAACAGTGCTCCAAGGCCTAAGTGTGGAGAATCCTGTACATACGGGAGGCCAGGATGGACAGGTGAGGGGAGGAAGAGGTAGAGCAAGAGAGCTCACTTGGAACGGCACGGTGAATGCAGGCCATCACAGACGAGGCCTGTTCCAGGTTCTTTCCACACTGTCTCCCTTGCCACCCAGCTTTCTGAGGCACCTGCCCTCTGAGTGCCATGGAGTATCTGGACATGCCTCTGTTCCCGGACACTCAATGCATTCCCCCAACTGAGTCTGCAAGCCCTAAGAACTGGGAATTTACATGTGCGGGCCCTAGCTTCCAGATGCATTTCTCGGGAGCAGAGGGGTTAACCTGCCTACTCCCCACCCTCCCCTTCTCAGTGCTGGGGGTGAGGGGGGGACTCAGTGGCCTGCTGGTTCCCATCCGCCCTTCATCAGTTCTTGAAAGGGAAAGTAACTGTAAAGTCACACTCTTCTCTCCCTCTGGGCATCCTTCACTGTGCTGCTTTCTCATTGCAGAGACTAACTACCTGAGGAAAGGAACTCAGAAAGGAAGGGCTTTTTCAGGCTCCTTGTTAGGAGGGGAGCTCCATCTCCTTGGGGGAGGCGATGAGGCAAGAGCCTGAGGCAGCTGGTCACATCACATCCATAGTCAGTAAGAGGAGCCATGAGGCTCTCCCCTCTTACTCAGTCCAGGACCCCAACCCTTGGAATGCTGCCACTCACATTTAGGGTGTGTATTTTGTTTCCATGGAGATTGTAAAATTAAGTCAGCAATCAAGGTTAGCCATCAGGCCCACCCACCGCCTTTCCAACTTGGTCTGGCCCTCTTCCTAACTCCTCACCTCAGGCCCCGTTTTCTGCCGACTAAAACCCCTTCTTGCTCTCCCTGCCCACCAGCACTGTGTGTGGCATTGCCAGCCGGGCTGCTACTGTCCCCCAGGCAAGGTACTGAGTGCTGATGGGACCATCTGTGTGCAGCCCAGTCACTGCAGCTGCTTAGACCTGCTGACGGGGCAGCGCCACCATCCAGGCACTCAGCTGATGAAGCCTGATGGCTGTAACCACTGGTGAGAGGCCCTGATGTGTTATTCCTGGGACACGAGGGAGCTCGCTGACAAGAGGGGCTTGCCTGCTGTCTGTGCATCTAAGCCCTGGGGGCCCAGCCAGTTGTACACAAGATGATGCAGAGCAGACCTTCTGACACCTGTCTAATAGGGGAAACAGGCAGCCAGCTCCCTGCGTCCGCTGAAGACTGAGTATTTATTCCTAGGAAGAAGCTGAGCTGCACAAGCAACAGATAGGGTGTTTGTCCCGGCTGCCCGCCCCCACTCGCCCGCAGGTTACTGTCATTACCCAGTTCCGCACACCTGCTGTGCTATCCCAGGCCAGCTGATGGGACAGGTGGGCTTCTGAAGCATAAGATAACAGGAAGGGCATAGACTACACCATGAAGGTGCAAAGCTGGAGAGGAAGGGCGCGGCAGCCAGATGAGTTTGTGGTGGCCATTCTGACCTGTCCTCTTTCCCCCTGGCTCTGCCCTGGCCCAGCACCTGCATGGAGGGGAAGCTCAACTGCACAGACCTGCCCTGCCAAGGTGTGTGCTAGCTTGCAGGGTGGGGAGGAGGAGGGGGCGTAAGGAGGCTGGTCTCGGGATTGTATCGACTACATCCAACGCCTGCCCTACGATCCGCAGTGCCTGGAGGCTGGTGCCTGTGGTCAGAGTGGACAGCATGCTCCCGGCCCTGCAGGGGCCAGACAAGAACCCGCGCCAGGGCCTGCGTCTGCCCTGCTCCCCAGCACGGGGGTGCCCCATGCCCCGAGGAGGCAGGGGGAACAGGAGTGCAGCACCAAACGGAGGCCTGCCCTAACTCCACTGTGTGCCCAGGTGTGGCGCTCTCATGAGGCCTGTGCTTCCCCCCCCCCACGTGTTCTGACCCTGATGGCCTAGGGCCTCCTGGCTCTCCCAGGACAGACGGTTCTGTCTCCTTGGTGCAGTGGATGGAGCCTGGAGCCCTTGGGGACCGTGGTCTCCCTGTGACGCGTGCCTGGGGCAGTCCCACCGGAGCCGGGCATGCAGCCATCCTCCCCCCTCTGACGGAGGCAGGCCTTGTCCTGGGGGCCACCAGCAGAGTCGCCCTTGTCGGAACAGTTCCGCCCTGTGCACAGGTGAAGGCTTTGGGGTGGGGTAAGGGTCTAGAGGAATGCTGGCTCTGGCTATCTCATGTTTATATATAGGACTGTTCAAAGGGTAGCCTCAAGCTACCTGCCCATGGTTCTGGGTGAGGTGTCAGGTCAGAGGGTCGCACCTCCTGGGATAGCTCCTTACCGCTAACTCTCTCATTTTCTTTCTAGACTGTGGAGGGGGACAGGAACTCTTACCTTGTGGGCAGCCTTGTCCTCACTCCTGCCAGGACCTGTCCCTTGGCACCACATGCCAGCCAGGCTCGGCGGGCTGTCAGTCTGGCTGTGGGTGTCCCTCAGGCCAGCTCTCCCAGGATGGGCTGTGTGTGCTCCCAGCTGATTGTCACTGTCACTTCCAGCCAAGAGCCATGGGTCAGTAGCGCCTCCCTGACGTGGGTAATGTTGGAAGGAGTTCTAGAGTGCAGGAGTGTAGGATGAGGGGCAGGGTGAGGCCACTGTGCTGAAGAGGGTCTCCACCCTTACTCCTGTGGCCTTCAGGGATCCCTGAGAACCAGAGCCGGTCAGTAGGGTCCACACTCAGCTCCTGGGAGAGCCTGGAGCCCGGACAGGTGGTGACTGGGCCCTGTGACAACTGGTAAGCGGGTCGGGGAGTGAGCTGTGGAGCCGGACAATGGTGCCCTCAGGGACACGGTCCGGGCCCTGTCACAGAAGCCTCTTTTCTTGGCCTCAGCACCTGTGTGGCAGGCGTCCTGCAGTGCCAGGAGGTGCCTAGCTGCCCTGGTCCTGGGATGTGGAGCTCCTGGGGGCCCTGGGAGAAATGCAGCGTCTCCTGTGGGGGAGGAGAGCAGCTACGTTCCAGGTACTGTGCGCAACCTCCCTGCCCCGGCCTGGCCAGACAGAGCCGAACTTGCCACACCCAGGTCTGCAGAGGTGAGCCCCGCCAGCCTCTCCCCAATCCTGTAGCCTCGAGTCCTAGCAGGTGCCTGACTCTGACTCTGAGTGCCTGTAGAATCCTCTCTTTCTGTCCCAGACATATTTTCCTCTTGTTAGTTATGATCAAACAAAAGAGGAAACAGCCAGATCATGGGGCAGAGTTGGGGGAAAGCTGCCAAGGGGGTGGGTACAATGACTTTCAGGCCATAGAAATGGTGGGCACAGAGGTAGGCAGTGAGGGGATCAAACAGGGTACTTATTCCAGGGTTGTCTCAGAGACAGGCTGCCCACTGGGCCGACTGTACCGTGAATGCCAGCCTGGCGAGGGGTGCCCCTTCTCTTGTGCTCACATCACGGGGCAGGTGGCCTGCTTCTCAGACAGCTGTGAGGAGGGATGTCACTGTCCCGAGGGCACCTTTCAGCATCGCTTGGCCTGTGTCCAGGTGAGAACTCAGCTGGCCAGGAGCCCAGGGCTGTGCCCTCCTCTGTTCCTGACATCTGGCAATTAATTTCCCCTAAGGAATCTGGGATCTTAACTAGCACTCAAACCTGAGAGGGCTTTGCTGCTGATACAGGGTGTCGGAGCAGGGGCCCAGAAAGGGAGGTGGAAGTGAGGCAGCTTCCCAGGGTGCCCCTAGTTTCCCAGGGGTCACGCGCTGGCTAGGGCCAGCACCTGGGCTTGCATTCCTTACCAGCTGATCTCCCAAATCAAGGCCAGATCAAGGCCATCTAGAAGAGTTTTGAGCCCACCATGATCACACGCTGCCCTGTGCCTCTCTGGCTATGGCATTCACTCTTCCTGGGAGTGAAGGGCAGTTCCCTACTGGGCTTCCCTAGCTGCCCATGGCACCTGGACCAGCAACCTTGCCCTCTTTGTGGGGGACTGTGGATCTTCATGACCTCTCTCTTCCCTGCCATGCTGTTGTGAGGAAAGGACCCCCACACCATTACCCTACCTAGTCCCAGATCCCCGCCTCCAGCTGTGGGGACAGATGGCAGGCATCTTCAGCTATGGGACAGATGGCAGGCAGGTGCTCCCTCTGCTCTGCTGAGCCCAACATATACATACATTCTCCGGGATTCCATCCCTAATCCTGGTGGCCTCTGCTGGCCAGAACCTGAGATGCTTCCTGGCCCTGCTTCCTCCACTAAGAGAATGATGGTAATGAACCTGAGGGAGGAAGGGTTGCTCCAAGGTCAGGAGGACTCCTGTGATTCCTGGCAGGGCGCTCTTTGTCCTCTTGGAGCTTCTGTGTCCCTCCAGCTGTTCTGTACGGGAAGATGGCTGACTTTCAGGCCGGCCTCACAGCCTACAGGCCCTCAGTCCTATGTGTACTGGGAAATGCCTCCTGAGGCCGAGGGCCTCCCTTCTGCCACCTCCCATCCCCTCCTTTTCCCCAAGTCTCGAGGTACACAGGTACCCCGGAGGAAGCTTCCTGGGAGAATGTCACTGTCTCCTTCTCTTCACCCGTCCAGGAGTGCCCCTGTGTGTTGACAGTCTTGCTGCTGCAGGAGCTGGGGGTGGCAAGCACTGCCCCTGGGGTCAATCCAATTCTTCTGGGAGATGAGGGCCAGACCCTTAGACCTGGAGATGAGCTGCACCCAGGCCAGAAGTTCCAAACAGTCTGTGGCAACTGGTAAGGGAACCCCTAAGGTGGGGAGTGGGCTAGAATGTAGGGGGAGGAGCTAAAGGAGGGATTAGAGGGTGAGGGTAGGAAACCCTGGCTCTGTCCTCTTGCCTGGCTGCACCTCCTTGGTCACTCTACCCCTCATGCTTGTGTTTTCCCCAGCTCCTGTGCTCACGGGAAGCTGTCCTGTTCTGTGGAGGAATGCTCCAGGCTCCGTGGCAGTTTCGGTCCCTGGGGCATGTGGAGCCTGTGTTCCCGCTCCTGTGGTGGGCTGGGTACCCGCTCCCGAACCCGCCAGTGTCTCCATCCCATACTTGTTCCTGGTGGACTGGGTTGCCATGGGCCCCTCCAGGACCTGGAACACTGCTTCAGCCCGGATTGCCCTGGTAAGGGAAGCAGGAAGGAGCTAGGCAGACACCTCCCTGGCCAGGCATGGCTCAGCCTGCCTTTGTCCTCCCCTGTGTCTGGGATCTCTGGATTTTCTTTCCTCTTATGCAATAGCTCTAGACTTGTTTGGGTCTCCAACCAGCACTTACCAGAGACCTTAGCAGATGCCCTCCCCTGTGTGTATGCTGCGGGTAGGGTGCATTGCAGGCCCCAAAACACTTCTGAGCCCCGTCTCCTTTTATACAGGGACTTCAGGGTCCACGGTGGAACCGGAACCAGTGACAGGCCTTGCAGGTAGCTTGAGTCTCCTGAACCTCTCCAGTATGGCCTTTCTCTGGGAAGAGCAAGCCCTGGGCCTCCTCCCTCCCCATCCCTACACCCTGGAGGGCTGGAGAGCCTTGGCTCATTGGAAAGTACACCCACTCTGCCTTCTACTCCAACTTCCCACAGGTGGCTGGGGCCCATGGTGGCCATGGTCTCCCTGTTCCCACAGCTGCACAGACCCTGCTCACCCTGCATGGCGCAGCCGCACACGTCTCTGCTTGGCCAACTGTACAGTGGGGGAGTCCTCACAAGAGCGCCCCTGCAACCTCCCTTCATGTACAGGTATGACCCTGAAGCTCAACCTTGGGGCCTAATCACTGATTGATTAAAACGGAATGAGCTAATGGCAAGATGAAGCTAGATTGTATAAATGTAGATTTATTAGGAGCAGCTCTGGAGGGGAAGGGGAAGGGAGAGGGGGAAGAAGCCCACACACAGACAAAGAGGGGAAAAGAGGAAACAGAGACACAGAGAGAGAGGGAGAAAGCAGAGACAGAGGGAGGTGGGAGAGAGGAAGAACGGAGAGAAAGAGGGAGGGGCAAGGGCGAACAAGGGCAGGAGGAAACAAAGTGGATTATACAGTGAAGGGTGTCTGTGCTTGGAAAAGCCCTGCCCCTAGGAGGAGGGCAGGGTATACCAGCCACGCCCTGCAGCAGGTAGGGACCTAACAATCACAGCCTTCAACCAATTTGTCCAAACCCACACGTAAGCTCAACATCCCATCCCCTTAGAACAACCTAATCTCACCTCATATCTCTGCCTGACTCTAGGCCTCCTGTTCACTTTAGCAGCCCCAGCAGCTGCTCTGAGCTCTGCCAGATTCTCCTTTATCCTGATGTATGTGTGGGCACAGAGCACTCTCTGTGGGGTTCAGGAAGGAGAGCCTAGGGCAGGTTCTGCTGGCTCCAAATCCTTTTCATCCTACAGCGCTGCCCCTGTGCCCTGGCCCTGGCTGTGTGTCGGGGAACTGTTCCTGGACATCCTGGGCCCCATGGGAGCCTTGCTCCCGCAGCTGTGGGGTGGGTCAGCAGCGTCGCCTACGTGCCTATCATCCCCCTGGGCCTGGTGGACACTGGTGCCCTGACATCCTGACCGCATACCAGGAGCGCCGCTTCTGCAACCTGCGTGCTTGTCCAGGTGACAAAAAATTGCACGCTTCAGGCTCTTCCCAGAAGCTCTGATGTCTTGAATTAAGCCTTCCTGATCATGCCACAGTCATCTCCTGGCTCATGGGCTACATGGGCCCTCTGCCTGAGCCAAACCCTGATGGAGTTATTCTCTTTTCAACAGTGCCTGGGGGCTGGTCCCGCTGGAGCCCCTGGTCCTGGTGTGATCGCAGCTGTGGAGGGGGCCGATCCCTGAGAAGCAGAAGCTGCTCAAGTCCACCACCCAAGAACGGGGGAGCATCCTGTGTCGGGGAGAGGCACCACATCCGGTCCTGCAATCCCATGCCTTGCGGTACTGCAGTGGTGACAGCCACTTCCTGTCTGCCGAGCTTAATTATGCAACACTCTCTCCACCCACCTCTGACTTCATTACCACTCTACCCGTGGGATGGAGGGGGAGGCAGGCTGCTACTTGGAGGGCTTCTCAGGAACACACAGATGTTAAGGGAAGGAATGACTGGATCTGGGGACCCAGTAGGGACATTCTGTGTGTATCTGAATTCTTTGTGGCTGAGGATGAGATACAAAGATCTGCCCCCTACCAAGCTCATCCCTAGGACAGCTTCCCAGCCTGTCTGCCCTCTTAACTGCTCGTCCGGACAAAGTTTCTGAGAGCCTGCACTGTGAAGCCAAGGCTGTGCATAGCGCACTGTACTGAAGCAGAGACTGTGGTTGAAACCTTCCCCCTTCCTCTTAGCTTCAGCCCTTCTTTTCAGTGCTCCCAATCCCCGAGGGTGCTGGTTGCTCCCGCACTCATCCATTGCCTCACACTTCAGACAGGGCCACACGCCACTAGGTGAGAATGTTAGCTTCTGAGATGTACAAATTGAGCCTCGCTTCAAGAACATGTGCTGGATGACCAGCTGGGTTCTGAGAACTTACTGGAAGGGAGAGGAGCTCTCTGTGCACTTAGATTAATCTAAACCCAGGATTTTGCCAAGCCCCTAATGTTTCAGTTCATACCACTATGGGGGAAAGGATGGACCCTGTAGCCTCTAGGAGTCACTGATAGGAAAGAGAGAGGAGTTGTCTTAGCTTGGGTTTTATTGCTGTGAAGAGACACCATGACAAAGGCAACACTTATAAAGGAAAACATTTAATTGGGACTGGCCAACAATTTTAGAGGTTTAATCCATTATCATCATAGTGGGGCACGTGGGAAGGGATGGTGCTGGAGGAGCCCCAAGTTCTACATTTAGATCTGAAGGCAGCAGGAGACTGGATTCCACACTGGGTGAAGCTTGAGCATAGAAGACCTCAAAGCCCATCCCCACGGGGACACATGTCCTCCAACAAGGCCGCACTTCCTAATAGTGCCACTCCCCATGGGCCAGGCGTCTAAACACATGAGTCTCTGGGGGCTAGAACTGTTTAAACCACCACAGGGGTCTTGGGGCACCCAGCTGCTCTTGACACTGGGCTCCTCCCTACCCCACAGAGGAAGGGTGCCCAGCAGGCATGGAGATGGTGAACTGTGCCAACCGCTGCCCACGCAGCTGCTCAGACCTGCAGGAGGGAGTCATGTGTCAGGACGAGGCATGCCAATTGGGCTGTCGCTGCTCTGAAGGTATACGCTAGATATTCATCTGGTACCTTGGGTAGCTCAGTGGGAACGGCAGGTGTGGTCCAGATACCAGCATCGATCTGCTGCCTCCCCACAGGGCTTCTGGAGCAGGATGGTGGCTGTGTGCCAGCTGGGCACTGTGAATGCACAGATGCCCAGGGCCGCAGCTGGGCCCCAGGGAGCCAGCACCAGGACGCCTGCAACAACTGTTCTTGTCAGGCTGGGCAACTCTCCTGCACTGCTCAGCCCTGCCCACCTCCTGCCCACTGTGCCTGGAGCCACTGGTCTGCCTGGAGTCCCTGCAGTCACTCGTGTGGCGCTCAAGGGCAACAGAGTCGCTTTCGGTAGGGGCCTGGGTGACAAGGGCCTTCTGCATGTCCTCTCTGACACAGTTCCTGGGTGCTTCCTGCATTCATCAGTGCTTTTGCTCCATCCTGTGTCCTGGCCCAGTTTGTGCTGGTCACCTAGGCCTTTTCTTAACCACCCTCCTGCTTACCTTGGGCTTTCCCCCTTGAAGCCAGAAGGATTATGTAGACCATGGATTGTCTGTCCCCCATCCTTTGTCCCTGACCCTGCCCAGGTCCTCCGCATCAGGCTCGTGGGCCCTGGAGTGTCAGAAGGAGCAGTCACAGACCCGACCTTGCCCCGAGGACCCCTGTCCACCCCTGTGCCTACATGAAGCCCGCCTTCGTGCCCTGGGGGACACCTGGCTACAGGGAGAGTGCCAGCAATGGTAAGCACAGTCCAGGAAAGGGTGACCCACTGTCCTACTGGACAGCAAGGCCCTGAATCCAGGCTCTTTTCTAGTTCCTGCACCCCAGAAGGAGTGATCTGCAAAGACACTGAGTGTGCAGGTTTGGTTTCCATCCTGTGCCCCACCTCAGAACCCCCTTACTGACCTTGTCTTATAGACTGTCTCTTCTATGTCCTCTGCCCCCCCAACACAATGCCCCCCTATGTGCCAGTAGGATCCCAACCTACCCTCTGGGTCTTCACCACCCCCCACTCACTACTCTAACTCACCCTTCCCTCCTGCAGTGCCTGGAGGCTGGACGTTGTGGTCCGCCTGGTCCCACTGCTCTGTCTCCTGTGGAGGTGGAAGCCAGGTTCGCACACGCTCCTGCATGGTGTCAGCCCCTCAGCATGGGAGCCTCCCTTGCCAGGGCCCAGACACCCAGACCCAGCATTGTGGGCAGAAGCTGTGCCTGCAGCCACAGGACACCTGCTCCTGGGGACCGTGGGGACCCTGTTCCCGCAGCTGTGGCACAGGCCTGGCCGCCCGCTCTGGGTCCTGTCCCTGTCTACTGACCAAAGAGGACTCCACCTGTAATGGCACATTCTCACACCTGGACACCCAGGCCTGCTACCCAGGGCCATGCCAGGGTGCGTTGTTCCCCTGCGTTTCTTCCTTGGAAAATTCAGGGAACGGGTGTTTGCCCATGCTAGGTTATCTCTCTGAAATGTCCCTATATCTACCACACAACATCTGACAAAGAGCCCTTTGTCGTGGGCTCTCTTTGCCTGTTTTGAGAGAATCCACCCAGTCAGGTCTTTTGGAACCCATGGCTTCCACTTTTCCTTTTCGAGCTAGGGCAGGGATGGGTGTGGGCACAGGGACGATGTGGGAGGTCCCACTAGGGCAGGGATGGGTGTGGGCACAGGGAGGTCCCAGCCTACATCCCCTCCCATCTCTAGAGGACTGTATGTGGAGTGACTGGAGCCGCTGGACACGCTGCTCCTGTAAGGTCCTAGTACAGCAGCGGTACCGGCACCAGGTGCCAGCACCTGGCCGGCCTGGAGAGGGCGCCCCTTGCACACGTCTGGATGGCCACTTCCGGCCATGCGCCATTGGCAACTGCTCCGGTAAGGTCCAGGAATGAGAGGTCAAGGAGCTGAGCGGGAAGAGCTGCAGGTACCCTCATGCGGACCACAGTACCAATGCGGAGGGGTTGCACCGACCCTTGCCCGGAGAACGCAGTCATGCTTGCTCTGTCCCACTCACCAGCTGTACTCCTCACTGCGACTTCCCATCTGACAGCTGCTGGCTCCACTGTGTTTTTTCCTCTTGTAGCTGCCTCAGAGGCAGAGTATCTTGCCTAGCTTCTTTTGAAGCTGTCCCTCATCTTGTCCCTTTGTGCCCTATCTGCCAGTCCTTGGAACACCCACTGTAATTCTGATTTCCACTGTCCCTCCTCCATGCAGCTTCCAGATCTTGGGGCCCAACCATCATAATCCTTCGTGGGAGCACATGAGCTGAGCTGGAACCAGGAGGAAGGCGGGGTGGGAGCGGGGGCGGGGAACACTGGTCTTTCTTGACAGGCAGCAGAAGGACAGTCTTCTACTATCTATCACCAAGTGACCTCTTAAAGGCGTCACTGGGACCGTGTAGTATGTGCTTTGTTTCATGGGGAGAAGGTGTCCAGCATTTCCTTCCTCTCCGCTCAGAGGACAGCTGCCCACCTCCCTTTGAGTTCCAGTCTTGTGGCTCCCCCTGTGCTGGGCTCTGCGCCACACATCTGAGCCGTCGGCTTTGCCAGGACCTGCCGCCTTGCCAGCCTGGCTGCTACTGCCCTAAGGTGCGACACTCGGGAAGGGGAGCAACACACATGTGCACCTGCTAGAAGCCAGCACGGTGCAGGACGTGTAGGAGACAGTGGTCCTTGCACGGTTCTAGCCTGTCCTGGTTTTTCCCTCTGCGCAGGGCCTGCTGGAGCAGGCTGGGGGCTGCATCCCCCCAGAGCAGTGTAACTGCTGGCTCACCTCAGGAGAGGGAGCTAGGGTGACCCTGGCCCCTGGGGACCGCCTGCAGTTAGGCTGTAAGGAATGGTGAGTAATAGGGGAAGGAGGGCAGAAGGCCAGAAGTGGGGTGGGCAAGGGCATCCTGACTCAGCAGATGCCAAGCTGAGCCCATTTGGACCAGTCCAATCTGAGAACAAGTGACCCAAGATGCCCAACCTTATAGCTCTGTCGGCTTGCACCAGAGCACCCAGCCCTCGGGCTGATGAGCCATACATACTCAGCAGATTCCTATTTCCCAAAACCCACCCTGATGTTCCCCTCCCACAGTGAATGCCAGAGTGGAGAGCTGCAGTGTTCCAGCAGAGGGTGTGAAGGTAATCCTGAACTGTCCCTGTTAGCCTAGGCCTGGGAGCCTGCAGGACTTGGCGCTTGCACTGCTAAAGCCAAGACAGTCCTAGACATTTAGTACCCTGCCCTGCCCTACGCTGACACCTTTCTTAGTCTTTCCTATTTACTGCTCCTTTTGGTCATGGCTCTTCCTGCCCGCCCGCTGGGCTCTCTGAATTAAAAAGTCCCTGAGATCACCAGCACAGACCCATTGCCCTTCTAGGTCTTCTGCCTTTGACTGGATGGTCAGAGTGGTCACCTTGTGGGCCCTGCCTGCCCGGAAGTGCCCTGGCTCCGGCCTCCAGGACTGCCCTGGAGGGGTACTGGCCTCTGAACACGGCAGGCCTCCCTTCAGCCTCAGTCACCCTGCTGGCTTCAGAGCAGTACAGGCACCGCCTCTGCTTGGACCCTGAGACAGGGAGGCCCTGGGCTGGAGATCCTGCCCTTTGCACTGTGCCCCTCAGCCAGCAGCGCCTCTGCCTTGACCCTGGAGCCTGCAACGGTAAAGAAGGACTGCAGGCCAGCAGGCAGGATGGGTCTGGCATGCTGGCAAGCAGGGGTTTGTCCAGAGGAGGCTAGCCACAGGCTCATGCCAGTTGTTAGGAGTGAGGCAAATACTGCTAATACTTCTGCTTGCCTCTGGGACCTGCTGGATTTGAGACATGGTGGAGCATGTTAGTAGCGGTAGCAGTTAGGAAAAAAGATAATAGAAAAAAATGAAGAAAGAAAGAGAGAAAGAAAGAGAAGAGAAAAGAAAGAAAAAAGAATGAGAAAGGCTTCAGGGTATTTTTCCAGGGTAGGAGGAGACAAGACCTGAGGTAAATGGGCCTGAGTCATTGATTTCTGCTTTTATTTTTCTGTCCCCAGACACATGCCAGTGGGATCCCTGGGGACCTTGGAGCCCCTGCCAAGTGCCCTGCAGTGGAGGATTCAAGCTGCGCTGGAGAGAGGCCAGAAACAGCTCTGGAGGAGAGTGCCGAGGACCGTGGGCTCAAACAGAAAGCTGCAATGTGGGGTCTTGCCCAGGTGACCAGTATCCCAGCATCCCAGGGGTATAGAGACTGGAACATTGGAATGGGCCCTGATGGGAATTATTGCCTCTGCTCCGGTGGCAAGAGAGGCTCTGCTGAGGGCTGGGGTGGGATGGTCAAGAGTGCCCTGGTATGGACTTTTACTTCCGGACCTCAGGAGAAAGCTGTGCGACTCAGGACGCCGTGTTTACCCTGGACTGTGCCAACCAATGCCCTCGCAGTTGTGCTGACCTCTGGGATGGTGTTCAGTGTCTACAGGGACCCTGCAGCCCAGGTACCTGGCCGCAGCACAGCCTGGCCTGGGGGATCTGGTTGCCCAGGCCCTCTTCACTGCATGGGCAGGGCTAGGGTAGGGAAGATGTTATTGATCATGACAGGGCAAGAAAGTAAGTTCTTGGGTCACTTCCAGTAACCACTCTAAGTCCCTTCTAGCAGCTCCGTCAGAACCTGCTGCTGTGGTGGCACACATCTGCAAATCCCAGCATTTGAGAGCCCGAGGCATGAGGATTGCCATGAGTTTGAGGCTAGCCTGGGATACAGTGTGAGTTCAAGGCCAGCTGAGGTTATACAGCAAGATCCTATCTTAAAACAATCTGCTGTATAGAAGAGCCCAGAGGTATCTCCCATGCATGGCCAGAGCCTGAGATCAGGCTTTGGACCTAGTCTAGCTGCTGGAGGGACCCATTGCTAAACCTTGCCCCAGACACTGAATTTCATAACCTTTTTATTAGCATGTATTAATTGCACAAGATAAAGGGTCACATTTTCATACATGTGTATAATGTACTTTTACCATTTTCTCCTCATTCCTTTTCTTCATTCTCCCTGCTTTCCCCCATCCCCTTTCCTCCTCAACAGTAAATCACCCTTTTGCTTTCCAGTCTTTAAAGCATTGAATCGTGCTTGCCCCTCGCAGGTTGCCGATGTCCCCCTGGTCAGCTGGTGCAGGATGGACGCTGTGTCCCTATCTCCTCGTGCCGCTGTGGCCTGCCCCCCAATGCCTCATGGGAGCTGGCCCCCACACAGGTGGTCCAGCTGGACTGCCATAACTGGTATGCTGCCATGCTGCCAAACCAGGACAAGGGCTTTGGGCAGGTGACATGGGGCAGGTCAAGGCCATGGGCGCTGCTGGAGAATGAAAGCTGTTTGTCACGACTTGGGGCCTAAGCCCTTGGCTGCACATCTCGTCCACAGCACATGCATAAATGGGTCCCTGGTGTGTCCATACGTTGAGTGTCCAGTCCTGGGACCTTGGTCAGCCTGGAGCGAGTGCTCAGCTGTCTGTGGCAGGGGCACCATGGTACGCCACAGAAACTGTGAGGAGCGTCCCGAGGGTGTGCCATGCCAGGTCCTGGACGTGCAGCAATGGCAAGAGTGTAACCTGCAGGCCTGCCCTGGTGAGTGTCCTGGGGTCGCACAGCCCTCCATCTCTGCTGGCCCCTGCAGTGGGTAGGAGAGGCCCCCTGTAACCTGTAAGTACCCCTCTCACTGTATATGTGCATTTCCCAGAGTGCCCACCCGGGCAGGTGATCAGTACCTGCGCCACTTTGTGCCCGAGCCTCTGCTCCCACTTGCAGCCTGGCACTGTCTGTGTGCGGGAACCCTGCCAGCTTGGCTGTGGCTGCCCTGGGGGACAGGTGAGTCTGACCAGTGGGTTCTATTTTCTGGGGGCGGGACAGAGCGGCAACTGGGGAGTCATGAGGCCGGATCCAAGAGTAACTCAACATATCTGCCTCAGCTGCTCCACAATGGCGCATGCATTCCCCCTGCTGCCTGCCCCTGCACCCAGCTTTCCCTGCCCTGGCACCTCACCCTACCCTTGGAAGAGCAGGCCCGGGAGCTGCCCCCAGGAACTGTGCTCACCGGGAACTGCACACACTGGTAGGGCCGGAGCCTGGGCGGAGGGCAGGGGTGTTGAGAATGGGATGGGGCGGAGGGCCACGGGGCCTCTGATGGGTTGCTGCTGTCTTCTTAGCACCTGTGAAGGTGGAGCCTTCGTTTGTGCTGTCACCGACTGTCAGGGTGAGACGTGGCTGTCCCTGCCCCTGCCCTGAGGCCCAGAACTCCCCACACTGCAATCCCTAAGTGCCCATGGTGGTATTCACCAGCACTGTATGTGTGTGCATTGAGCAAGGCCCAGAAGTAAAAGGGTGCTGCCTTCCTGCTGAGGTTCAGGGGTGTGGGTGGAAAGGAGGAGTCTGGCTTGAGGAACCCCAGACCTTTAGGTGTTGTCCACCTTTACCACGGATCTGTGGATTCAGACACGGGCTTGGGAAGTTCCAAAGCCCTGAGCCGAGCTGCTGAATGAGGGTGCCACCAGAACAAGTAAAGGCAAGCAGGAAACGCCCTTAGGGTGTGCCAGGGTACTGGAAATACAGAGGTAAGGTGGACAGAATTGGTTATAGGGTGAGATCTGTCTGGGCCCAGTGTTTGGTGAATGATGAGAGGGAGATGGCTGCTGGAGCCAGGAGGCAGCATAGGAAGGGGACAGTGAAGTACCTGAGGAGTGCCTCGTGGGGCGGGCCATCTGGGCGGGATCCAGAGCTGGCAGAGGCCACAAGTGGATGGTCTTCCTGCAGAGTGCCCTCCTGGGGAAATATGGCAGCATGTTGCCCCTGGGGAGCTGGGGCCTTGCGAGCAGACATGCCCGGAAACGAACATGACACTGGCTTGGAGAAACTGCACCAAACAGGCTCCAGGCTGTGTGTGTCAGCGGGGGCACTTCCGCAGCCAGACAGGTCTCTGCGTTCCCGAAGACCGCTGTGAATGCTGGCACCATGGGAGTCTCCACTTGGTGAGACTCCAGCCCCTTTCTTGTTCAAGGACTCCCTACCTACTGACCTAGAGCTGTACCTCCTTTGGCTCCCTACTCCCAGTCTCACAGTGGCTGGGGACCCTGTCCTCTCAGGACCCAACTGGCCCTAGGTTGAAAACCCCTGGTATTTTGTATTGAGCTCTCCCAGCTAGACTCTACATCTAGGCCATTTCTGTGGCTGGAACTCCCGGGCTGGATTTAGAACTGAGGTGCTATCATGAAAATCTGGGGGTGGGATGCTGAGATGGGGTGAGAGACAGCTCAAAGATTAAGGGCAGGTATTGCTCTGACAGGGGATCTGAGTTTAGTTCCCACAGCCACCAGGGGATCCGATGCCCTTCTCTGGCCTCCACATGTGCGCGCGCGCGCGCGCGCACGCACACACACACACACACACACACACACATACACACACACACACACACACACACACACACACACACACACACACACACGAGTTTACTCTTAAAAAAAGAAAAGAAGGGCTGGAGAGACAGAGCAGTGGTTAAGAGCACTGTCTGCTCTTCCAGAGGTCCTGAGTTCAATTCCTAGCAACCACATGGAGGCTCACACCATCTCTATTGGGATCTGATGCCCTCTTCTGGCATGCAGGTGCACATGCAGTCAGAGTACTTATATACATCGAATGAATAAATAAATCTTTAAAAAAAGAAAGAAAGAAAAGAAAATCCAGAGAGACCAAGTAGAGCTTTCCCCCTCCTGCAGCCTGGATCTGAATGGCAGGAGGCCTGTGAGAGCTGCCGCTGCCTTCGTGGGAGGAGTGTCTGCACTCGACACTGCCCAGGCCTCACCTGTGCTCAGGTACTCTGTGTCCCTGTAGCCTTCTTGGCAGCCCCCTACTGCCTTCTTTCCACGGCTGGAGTTGGGGTCTCTGGGCAGGCAGTATGGGATGATAGCATGTCCTCCTGTGTGAATCCTGGATGGCTCTCTGTAGGGCGAAGTGATGGCGCAGGAGCCGGAGAGCTGTTGTCCCATTTGTCAACAGGACCCTCGGGGTATGGAGAGTTCGGGCACCTGTGTAATGCCTTTTCCTGGCCTGCACTTCTGCCTCACAGCCTCACGCCCAGCTTGCTATGTTCCCACCTTCCCAGGCTTGCCTGTGTGGGGATCGCAGGGGTTCCCTCATCCCAGGCTCTTCCCTACCATGTCCTTACTTAGGGTCTCCCCTAGTCATAGCCTCACCCTCTGTCTTGGTGCTACCCCCTCAACCCCAGAGGAGGAGCCAGCCTCCTGCAGGTACCTCACAGAGCTCAGAAACCTCACCAAGGGTCCCTGCCACCTGGATCAGGTAGAAGTGAGCTACTGCAGTGGATACTGCAGGTCCAGCACCAACGTCATGACTGAGGTGAGCAGGGGTGGATGGGGGGATGGGAACTGCCTTAAAGGTCCACGGGGCAGGTCAGCCAGTGTCCCTGGGGGTTTGACGCCAGCTGAGGACCTGGGCAAAACTCAGAGAGCACGAGGAACACAACCCATTCTCACTGAGCTGACAGAACCGGGGCTATGGGGCGTCAGAGCCCTTCTCCAAGGTGGCAGTATACACACATCCCCGGAGTATGGCTCTCAGACACCTGTGTCCCTCTAAGCCAGTAAGTGGAGATGCCCACGAAGAAAGGCTTGGGGATAGAAAGTGGCTGAGGCTAGATCCATCATGTTTGCAGCAGGAAGGTACCCAGAGTTAGCCTTTTACATACAAGCCCTCCTGGGCTTTTCCTGTAATGTCTAGACCTGAGCAAGCCTAGACTCAAGTTCTCTCTGCTTGCTCTCCTTGGACCCTGCGTCACCCCCTGACTTCCTTAGCTTTCAACGTGGAAAGTTGTACCATGGCATTCCCTTTGAATGGAGACCCAGATCCAGCACCTCACATCTCCTCTTGAGTCCATTCCCTTCTGCTTTCACCAGGCTGGGTTAGCTAGTGCTGGAAGACAGGGGTGCTTCCTCGGCGGGTCCCAAAGATGCTGCTGCGCAATCCTGTGCTGTGCTGCTGCTGGCTCAAGTGCTCCTGCCCTCCTGGGGATGCTTCCCCAAACACACTTGGAACTTTTAAAATGGAGTACAGAAAGAGAATAGGAATGGTTGGGAGATGACAACCTTTGCTGTCTTTGACCTCGATGCCATATGAATGTGTGAAGGAGTTATAAGCCATACAAAGATTATAAGAAAAATCAAGTCACCGTTGGGTGCGGCAGGAGGGTCTGCTCTGGAAGGACCACCCAGTGTGCTTAGGATCCCAACTGTGTACTTAGGGTTTGTTAGCCGTTCATGTAGGACTAGCCCATTTCCATCTAGACCCCTTAGGGTGCAAGCCACATCCTTACCCTAATGCATCCATTCCCTGAATGTTCAGATTTTGGCCTTTTCCTCTAGGACGATTGGATTTTGGCCCTTTCCCTGGAAAGGAAAGGCTGGGGGTTGGTGGGGAGAACTCCCAGAACTCCGTTTGGCTCCCTCCCCACTCAGCCAGCCTCTCTCGCCCAGGAACCCTACCTGCAGAGCCAGTGTGACTGCTGCAGCTACCGTCTGGATCCCGACAGCCCCGTGCGGATCCTGCATCTCCATTGCCCAGACGGCCACACAGAGCCAGCGGTGTTGCCAGTGATTCACAGCTGCCAGTGTAGTGCCTGCCAGGGTGGGTCTACCTGGGGAGGAGAGGGCAGGGCTCCTGGTGGGCAGGAATCCTTAGGAACATGCACAGCACAGGGATCCATTCTTTCTTGGGTTTTACCAATCTGCTCTGATCCTTTCCGCTCTCATCATTCTCCTTCCCAATTATACTTAGGCTTGGGTGTTTGCAGTAAGTTGTACCTGGTTCAAATCTCAGTCTTCCGCTCGGGTCAGTACCCATGATGCCATCCCTTAAATGGGCCTGACATCTACACAGGCTTGCAGGGAGGACTCTGCAAGGGCGAGCATCTGAAGTTCCGGGCAGGTTAAGTTACATACTCCATGTGTGGGGAAGACGCAGAGGAAGGACAACAACCCAAATTAGGTGGAAGGCTTAGAGGAGCTGGCTTCGCCCTGCACTTCCTTCAGGCAGCTCTCCCTCGTCTTTCACCTGCCTGCCCCAGCTTGTCTCATTTGACCATGCTGCCTCTCAGCCCTCCTGAAAATTCTGTCCGCAGGTGGTGATTTCTCAAAGCACTGACATGCTCTGTTGGATGCATCCACTGTTGTCTCTCCTGCAACACTCTGTGGCACTCCCTGCTTCCTTCGGCGCCCACTTACCCATCTCTGACCTGTGAACCATGGTCTGGTGTTAGCATATTCCAAATAAAGGCATGCTGGCAACTAATGCTGAGAAACTCTTGTGTGCTCTCTTTTCCTGGTCCCAGTTGGAGGGAGAGTTCAGCCTGGACCTGAGCAGCAGCTCTGGTGGGCCCACTATGCATTCATCATGGCACTCGCTGTGGCTTGAATAAGTCGCCCCCATCACTGCCCCAGTCTCCTCAGCTGTCGTAGGAAAGGGATGAATCTAGAGCCTGAAGAGCTCCTGTATTAGGCGTGAGTGTCCCCGGTCATATCCTTCAACCCCATGTGATCCCATCACAATACAGACTTCTGGGGCATTCAGGCTACCCTCCTCTTGACAACAGTATTATTGAACTGTGATTTATATGGTAAGAAACTAACTTGTTGTCTCTGTGTGTGTGTCTGTGTGTGTGTGCACGCAATTTTTAAAACATGGTTTCCCTGTAGCCCTGGCTGGCCTGATCCTCACGGTATAGACCAGGATGGCCTTACACTCAACGGAAATCCACCTCCGCTGCCTCCTGAGTGCTGGGATTACTGGTGTGAAGTGCCACATCAGACTGAAATCCATGCATTTTAACTTTAACACTTTAGTAGGAAGTAAATTAAGTTGTGTGAACATCACCTCCATTCATAGAACGTTTCTGTTGTTTCCTGGGCACTGACCATCAACTTCTCCTGCTTCTAACACCAGGCAAACACTAACTTGCTCCTACAGAATTGCCCTTCATGGACGTGGATTATCTGCAAAATGCCTACCATTTGCCAGTTGATGGATTTTCCTTATGTTTTGCCTATCTATTTACCAGCTGATAGACATTCCTGTTGCTGCTGCTTTTTCTATTATGCATAAAATTATTTTATACAAGTCTTTGTGTCTCATATCTTTTTATATTCCCAACACCCGCATAGGTGGGCAGTGCTCACCTATCACCCCAGTTCTGGTGGTATAGAGATGGTGAGGTCTTGGGAGCTTGTTGGCCAGCCAGTCTTTCCAAAAAGTCAGCTCCAGGTTCAGTGAGAGACCGTGTCTCAAAATCCAAGGTATAGAGTGTGTAGAATGACAAAGGGAGGCACCTGAACAGATATGTAACACACATAGACACACACACACACACACACACACACACACACACACACACACACGAGTAAACCCAGCATGATGGTCCAACCTATAATCAACAGCGTTCAAGAGGCTAAGCAGGAAAATCAGGAGTTTGAGGCAAGCTTGGGCTATTGTTTTTACGAAACAAAGAAATGTATGAAAAAGTATTACCCCTTCTTGATCAGCCTTGTTGACCTGTGTGTGAGTCTGCCGGAGTTGACCTAAGCAAGAGGAGTGGTCCAATCAGGACTCTCCAGGCTGGACTACATTTCCCGTGAGCCTCTCTGCCCCGTGAAGCGGCAGCTGTAAAATGCTGAGCTAGTAAGACCCAAGTCCAGCTCACCACCACCTGAGCCAGCAACAGCGCTACTGCCTCCTGCTGTGGGAGTGATTAAGTTTGCTGCCACGTGTCCCGCTCCCCTCCGGGAGCTCAAGACCCGAGTGGGCAGCGGTGGAGTCGGAACAGGCCTTTAGGGAGGGGGTCTGCACGGCCGCCGGAGGCGGGCCATGGAGCCTGGGGAGTCGGGGAAGGTAGGACTGGAACGCACGGGACTGCTCTCCCTCCTGTCGCGCATCCTGTCTGGACTAGCGGGTGAGCTAGCTTTTCAGGGACGCGCTCTCCCTCTTGCTCATCTAGGAGGCACTTACTTCTGTCCTGAGCATCCCGCCCCAGTCCCCTTCCAAGGGTCAGCCCACCTCCTTGATTGTGGCTGCTCTGCCGGTGGTCCCAGGGTGGGGGAATCACCAAGCATAGGCATGCCAAGGTGCTTGTGGTTTCCCTTCTTCGCTTTCGGCGTTTTGAGGAGGCCTTACTTATAAGACATGGAGGCTGGAGATAGATAGTATGCCAGTGGGAACCAAAAAGTGGGCAGCTGAGAAGTGGAGTGAGGGCTGATGCTGCTTGCTTCTCCTTCCAGGAAAGGACTGAGTAGGGAAAAAAGGCTTCAGGCATTTGCTTGCTTGCAAATGTTTGTCTGCTTTATGAAGAATGTGCGCACGGCTTAGAAACACACTCCTCAAACTTGCTGCAAGACTTTGGACAGAAGAGGCTTTGAGCTGGGAGATGAGGTAGGGTGGAAAGTGGTCAGGAGCAGAGGAGTGTTGACAGGATTGTGGGCACAGTGGCCCGGAGAAAGACAGCCTCTTAGGATTAAGGTCTTTCTTTGCAGCTACACCCTCAGTTCTTGCAGCCCTTCTTAAAGTTTTTTTTTGGGGGGTGGGGTGGGGTGGGGGGTAAGGTGGTAAGTTGGAAAGGAAGTTTTTCAACAAACGTTTTCAAGTGCTGTGAATCTCTCTCTCCCTCTGTCCCTCTCCATCCCCTCGATGTCTACTTATTAAATATTTATACTCTGAGATTTGCAATCAATAAGAAGTTGGAAGTACAGGAATACACAGGAAGGAACCTTATTTCACAGAGAAATCTCCTGTAGTTTCCGCTTGAGTAAATTGGATGAGCCTGGAAAGGTTGGCCCACAAGAGAGGAAAGATGAGGAGGGTGTTTGGTGTTGTAATTTTATCTGGAAAGGTTTCTGCCTTAGAACCCGTTCTATCTGCAAGCATCTCTTCACCCCTCCTCCCTTTTCTTCAGCCCATTAGCTACAGAGATTTTCCAGATCCAGCAAGTCCACAGATTATCTGGGTGAAGGCAAGCTCAACTGGACCCTTAAGGAATGGAAGCTGTTTGGCCAGCTGTATTTACACACATGAAAAGGAATGGGCTTGGGTAATAGCCTCAGACTGGTGTAGATTGAACCTGAATTCAGATGAGGGAATGGAGCAGAAAGTATTTAAAATGGCATCAAGATTAGAGTTAGTGATTTAAGGTTAATTCCCAAGATCTTCTGCTAGGTAGTATCCTTCCTTAACCTTTAACAAGAAAAGAGAGAAGTCTTAAAAGATTTGATTTTCTTTTTCAGGTCCAACCACTAATTGAAAATCTCAAAGCTCAGATATTTCTTTCTTGATTTCTACTCTGGATTGCAGGGTACCTCCAAAAGGCTTAGCCTCTGCAAGTGTATATGTTTTCTACCCTGAGAGATGAGAACATTATAAAAAAATCAGACTGTCTTCGTTAGGGTTTCTACTGCTGTGAAGAGACACTATGACCACAGCAACTGTTTAACTGTTTTTGTTTGTTTGTTTGTTTTTGTTCTTGTATTTTATTTTGTTTTTTTGGAGACAGGATTTCTCTGTGTAGCCTTGGCTGTTCTGGATTCACTTTATACACCAGGCCAACCTTGAACTCACAGAGATCCACCTGCCTCTGCCTCCCCAAGTGCTGGGATTAAAGGTCTGTGCCACCACCGCCCAGCAGATTATGGCAACTCTTACAAAAGAAAACATTTAACGGGGCTGGCTTACATGCCCAGAGGTTTATGCTATAATCATCAGGGCAAGATGATTGGTGCACAGACAGACATGGTGCCGGAGAAGGAGCCGAGAGCTCTGCATCTGGATCAGCAGGAAGAGAGAGACGCTGGGCCTGGCTTGACCATCTCAGACCTCAAAGACCACCCCCCAGTGCCACACTTCCTTCAACAAGACCACACCTCCTAATAGTGCCACTCCCTATTAGCCTATGGGGGGCATTTTCACTCAGACTACCCGAGAGAGGGGCATTGTGAAAGCAACTGGCAGTGAAGGTACATTGCAAACGAGTGAAAAGACAAAGGCCTGTATAGAATATGACCTCAGGCTGCTTCAAGGAAAGTTGGGTGATGGCAGGAAGAACGACTCCTGTAGGGGAAGGTAGAGCAGGAAGGGCTGAGGCTCGGGAGGGTTTTGGTGCTGGATGGAGGGCCCTGCTAGAATAGACTATTCAGATCAGATACACTTGCATCCTTCATAGGTAAGGAATTTCTCTTATTCAAGCAGATTTGAGGTTTTATGCTACAGAGGCAGAAGGTGTTTGCCATAATGTAGCTTAAAAGAGGGGTGCCAGGTGTTCAGATCTCTCTGGGTGACAGGACACTTCATTCCATATTCAGTTTCCACCTCAATATTCTGCTAAGGAGACAGGACCATCAGCCTTCGTTTTGACACCTTCTCAAGCTGAGGAAGCAGCATGAAAAGGAAGCTTCAAGTCCCTGGTCACAGAGCTGTGTTTTTCATTGGCTTGGTTGGTTTGTTTTGAGAGATACCGTCTCACCCGTATATGCCAGGCTGACCTTGAATTCTTCCATCTGGTGGCAGCCTCCTTGCTGCTGGCCAGGTGTGCTCATACCAGATCTTCTGGTCACAGATTCCTACACTGAGAGGAATAGACTCCCCTCTGGCCCTGGAGGGCAGTATCTATCCTGGGCTCTGCCTCCCATGGGATCAGAGTCCCATGTCTCCACACTAAGCCTCCGAGGCTGTCTTTTCATGTGCCTCCTTGTCTGGCTTCTTCCTTTTAGTCTACTCCACTTTGCAGTAGCATTTGAAAGACTCTGTAAGCACAAATGCTTATTTTAAGTGACTGTTTAGTGATATCATTCCACTACTGGGTTTTTCTTTTTCCTTATTAGTATGTTGTGTACATGAATGTGGGTAAATCAGAGAACAGCTAGCAGGAGTCAGTACTCTTCTACCATGTGGCTTCTGGAGACTTAACTCAGGTCATCAGGCTTGGCTCCGAGTGCCTTTGCCTGCTAAGCCACGTTTTGTTGGACCCTACTACTGCTTTTTAAAACTGCTCAGTTTTTTATATATTCGTAGACAAAACTTTGGGAGGTCATATGCCAAACAATAGTAATTATACTTCAAAGATGAGAATGAACATAAAAACTTTCCCTCCCTAGGGCTTGAGAGATAGATGGTTCTGCAGTTAAGGACACTTGTTGCTTTTGAAGAAGATTCAAGTTCTGGTTCCGGCACCTATATGGTGGATCACAGCCATCTGTAACTCCAGTTCCAGGGGATCTGACACCCTCTTCTGACTTTCCCAGGCATCAGGCATGTGTGTGCTACATGGACGTACATACAGGCAAAACATTTATACACATAAATATTGTAAGAACTTTTTATTTTTTAAATGAGAAGCAATTGAGAAAGACACGACATTGATCTCTAGTCTACACATTCACATATGTATGTGGGTGCACGTGTGCGCGTGTGTGTGTGTGTGTGCGCGCGCGTGCACACACACACACACACACACACACACACACACACACACACACAGTGTAAAATGTAGACAGACTTCCTAGACCAGCCTCATAAAGAAGGCTCTGGTTGAGCTCGGAGGCTGGGATATCCTAATTTTCTTGTGCTGTGATGTTTACTCAGCATTTTTACTCCTATAGGTTGGTTGCAGGTTGTGTCCGTACATTGATAATGTTTTCCACCCCGGCCCACACACTGATAAATTCCTAGAGTAAGAGCTCTGACTGCCTGTGTGGAAGATGTGTCTCATAGAAAACTGATATTTAGCAGAGATCATTTTCCTTTCAGGTTCCTGTGACCTTTGATGACATCACACTGTTCTTGCTGCAGGATGCTGCTCAGACAGCCACAGAAGGACAAGCTGACAGCACCTCTAGGTTTGGATTCCTGTGTGTCATCCATGTCCCCTGCCTCAGCTGGGTCAGGACATACTGGAGAGGGGTTTTTGTTGTTGTTTTTTTGTTTTTGTTTTTGTTTTTTTTTTCAATTCTTTGGTTTCTCTAGGTATCAGTTACTCATCTACTCAATCCCAGTTCTATTCTTTTTTTAAATTGGCTAGGAATAGGGAATGCCTGGCTGTCTAGTACTTTGGGCTGTTTCCACAGTGAAGGGCAGGAAACAACCTGTGGCTCTGTGGGGCTGCCAGGGCCTGGAGGGAGTCCATAGTGGAGACCAGAGCGTTGGTTTAGCAAATCTCATCTCTCTCCAGGTCCACACATTGATACTTGTGCCTTCAACCTCTTAGGACTTGATTTGCTTAAGGTGACTTAGTAAGATTAAATGAACCAGAAACTTTCTACAAATGTAGGGTGTTTTTTATCTCTTCTGTCTTAGTTTTAAAATGCTCTTTTCTCTGCTTTTGAGTTCCCTTCTGTGCCAAGGACAGAAGTAATCGTGTTCAAATGTTTGTGCACACATATGTTCTATTCTAGATTGAGTATCTGTAATCCAAAAATCTACAATCTGAAATACTCCAAACTCTGAAACTTCCAGAAAGTCATCTGTACTCATAGGCTTTTGATTTTTGGAGTATTTTAGATTAGGGCACTCTACTAGAAAGTACAAATGCTTACAAATCTGAAAAATTCCAAAATCACATAGCTCAGGCTGGCCTCAAATTCCCTATATATCCAAGAATGACCTTGAATTTCTGCTCTTCCTGTATCTACCTCCCCGTGTGCTGAGATGGAGCCTGGAACTTCCTAGGCAAGCACTTTGTCAACTGAACTACATCCTTAGTCCCCACGGCCCTGAGCCTTTGGGATGAGGGTCATTACCTTGTGTTTGCTGAATGCAATGTGATGACTCCACGACTTTCTCATTCCACATTGGATGGAGGACGGTGTGGGAGCCGTGACCTCAGAGTCTGTGGATTGTAGCTGATCTGGGTCCTGTCTCCATGTCTGCTGAATAAGGTTGAAAAGCACCTAGTTCCTGAAGCTTCAAGTTGCAAAGCACTATCTCACAGGCCAGCTTTGGCGCACAGTGGGAGTTCTATTCCGCTTTGCTTCCTCATTTTGGCTTTCACTAGTTGAGTTTGGCTTCTTCAACATGTTCAAGTTGACAACATTTTGGGCCACTGCTGGATCCATGTCCCACATAGTTGCCTTTATTTTCATTTACTATATGTGCATAGGAATGTTTTGTCTACATGTATGTCTGTATAACAAGTGTGCCAGCTGCCCACAGAGGCCAGAAGAGGGTGTTTGATTCCCTGGAGTTAAGGATGGTTGTGAACTGCCATGTGGGAACTAGGAGCTAAACCCGGGTACTCTGGCTCAGCCAGTGATCTTAACCACTGAGCCATCTCTCCAGCCCAGTGAACTGACAATTTAATGTCATTTTAACTTTGCCTGCACCCCTTCTTGGTTTTGCCTATTCCCCCACTCTCATAGGGGTCTCATAGATAGCAGAGTTTCTAAACCACGAAGCCAGATCACCTAGTTCTCACTTTCTTAAGCCACCCTCAGTCTCACAACACTGAGGATGTCCGAGGCAGAGCCTGGTGTTAGGACCTGGAGCCAAGCCCTCATGGCTTTTCTGTGTTTCCAACTCAGGACCAACTACTGCCTATCCTGAGCTGTTTCCTGGCTTCCGGCAAGGGACTGAGCCATGGCTAGGCAACATCCGTGGCCAGAGGAGTCTCCTGAACCATCATCCTGGTGAGTGTGGTTTATGTGTGTGTGTGTCGGGGGGGGGGGTTACTTACTGACAAGGAGCAGAGTGGAGATGCTAGAAGCCAACCTTACCCAGTGCCTGCTTGTTCTCCCCCATGCTCAAGAGGAACACTGTCCTTCCCACAGATATTACCTTGTCTGAATGTTACCCCCGAACCCCCTTGTACTCTGCCCTCTCAGCCCCTTCCTGTGATCTCTTCCCTATATCACATGTTTGTTTAACTGAAAATTCCAAAGAGGTGTGACTGTCTTACCTCCTGCTGTATTTTCAGTGCCCATAGCAGTGCCTGGAATACAGCAGTAGAAAAACTGTAACCAAATGAGTGAAGAAATGAATGTGCGGCTGTTTGCTGAGTCCTAGAGTTGGTGTTGGCATTTGCGTTTTGGGAGAGGACAGAGTTAACCCAGTTCCTCCTGTGAGAACACAGGGAGTGGGGCTCACGCTCCCTGTGAGTCATATCCACAGAGATTGCTGTCTCTTGTGGTTTCCTCAGATAGACCACAGGCATCTCTGGACTGCTGTGATTGCAGAGAAACACAGAGGCCCATTTTGAGCCCTTGGCCACTGGCCACTGAAATTTAGGTCGGTGCCTAAGAAGTGATTTCAGTTCCATTTCCTGTAAAGAAAGGGACTTCTAGTTTAGTTTCAAGAAGAAAAGTCTCCATGAGGGCATGAGAGTTTTGTGCTCTGAAAGGTTATGGTGTCATAGAGGGAAGCTGAGCCTGATACCATCCACATCACTGCAGTAGCCCCATTTATCCGCTGTGTGTACCCTCTTTTATTCATGCTGTCTCACCATAGTGTCAGATAACCGACCGTCAACCATAGCTAATGTAATATAGTAGGTTATTTTGAAGAAGAGAGACGATATTTTCATCACTTTAATTATAGTATTATTATGTCTAATTTATAAATGAAATTTTTATGTCTCCTTATGTCTAATTTATAAATGAGATGTTATCATTTTTCTGTATAGATGGGAAAAGCACAGTATGTAGAGAATCTGAGCCCTCCCCCCCCCCCATGGCCCAGGCATCTGTCAGGGCCCGGAGCACAGTCCCTGAAGACAAGGAGGACTGTCGCACTCAGAGAGTTCACCAGATGCTGTCCATCCTGAGACTGCAGCTATGGCCAGGGTTAGGTGGCTGTCTTGCTTTGAGGTGCTTAAGCAGGATGCAGAGGCCGCTCTGCCAGCCCCCACCCCCCAAGAAGGAGGTTCCTACAAAGTCAGAGTTGCAGTCTGCTTCTTTGGGCTCTCTAAGCCCCATGTTTCCGTGCCTTCGGCGTTTATCCGAAGCTCTGAACCTAGGCCAGGGCCAGTGCCCGAGGCGGCCTTGCTCGAAGTGCAGCAGTGGCCATTGGATCCGGTGTTTCTACCTGTTAAGTCTTTGATAGGAAACATTTGCTTAAAGCACATGCGTTTGGTTTCTTTCTGGGTTAAGCAAGATGTGTATGAGGAGTCTGAGACGAGTGAGAGTCGAGAACTCGATTACAGCGTTCTTCAGGGTAAGCCGAGAGGAAGGGCTGTCATTTTGGACCCATGTGTCCTCCCACCTTTTGTATACTTGTTGGCTTTTAGACCAGAGGATTTCAAATTTCACTTTGTCTTTCCTCGAAAGGGAAAACCCACACGAGCTACATGGAAGAAGTAAATATGCAGGATTCTGCCAGAGAGGAAGGACGGTACCTGTCACCACGAAAGAAAGCCTGCCTTGCCCACGTTAGTGCAGAGAGAGGCGCCGTCAAGGGAGACTGGACAGGAGAAAACAGGGAGCCCCCAAAGCTCCGCTCTGTTCAGGAGTCGTGGCTTACGTGGTTTCTGTGGTTGACCATGAACGAGGAACAGACAGCTCTGTTCTGTGCTGTCTGCTGAGAATACCCAGTCATCAGGGACAAACAGTCACCATTCGTAGAAGGCTGCACAGGACCATTCAAGGTGGAGACTCTCAAATACCACGCCAAGAGCAAGGCCCACATATTCTGTGTCCGTTCACTGGCCACCAGAGACCCTATCTGGGCAGCTCACCTTCAGAGTCTGAGGGAGAGTTTGGAAGGTATCCCGGCCAGCCCCCAGCACCTCTTCAGTACAGTCTATCCCACGTTCTACCCCGCAGGGCCTCTGGGAGACGTTGATGGCATAGCTGAGCTCCTGACCAGCCCAAGAGCTGAACTAGAGGACCCTACAGGGAGTGGAGCCTTCCCTGCGTTGTATCTAGACTGCATGGCAGATTTGAGGCAAAAAAAAAAAAAAAAAAAAAAAAAACTGGCAGTGACATCCTCAGTCCCTCAAATTGCAACATGCTGTGTAAAGATGCTATTGAATTCTGCAGCCAGGTAATGTGTTTATTGATTGTTGTGCCTTAGAGAGGGTTCCAGAGTGAAAGTGACATAAATTGCAAGATGATGACGGAAAAGAGAATTGTAGCAGTACTCAGCCCTGACATCATAGGGTCGCCGGAGCACATGTGCTTTTATACTTTTTTTATTAGTATTTTTGCTTTTATACTTTTTGATATTTTATTTATTTTATGTATATGAGTGTCTGCCTGTGTATGTTAGTGCGTCACATGTGTGCAGTACCTGTGGAAGCCAGAAGGGGGTATCAGATGCCCTGGAGCTGGAGTCCTAAATATTGGGAGCTGCCACATGGGTGCTGGGAGCTGAACTAGGGTCCTCTGGAAGAGCAGCCAGTGCCCTTAACCACTGAGCCATCTCTGCAGCCCTGGCTCACAATTTTTAAATCACTGGGTACTGCTTTAAATGCTTTAGAAGTATTAAGTCATTCAACTGGGGCAAAGCGTGACTTGTGGTACAGAGCATCCTGACTTACCGAAGAAACAATGATCTTTAGTTGAATTCAGAGCAGCCACTAAACTCCAGAAACAGCCCACCATCACAAACTGTGTAGACCATGCTGTGCTCTCCAGTATCTCTAACTTTTAGTGTCACGGACTTTTCATAGGTGATGAGCTGTCTGAGGTTACCCAGAGTTAGTAGAGCGGGGGTTGTTTGGTTCACCATGTAGAAAGAAAACCGTGACTCGGGAAGAAGTGGCTTCCTGGAGTCCAGAATCCACAAGCTGCTGTGGCCGGTGCTGATCTCTGCCCAGAGTCCTGGTCACCAGCCTGGCACTTTCTTTCCACTTGGTCTGCTGGGCCCCAGTAGAAGATAATGCTCACCTTGTGTTTATTCCATGTTTGCCTAATTTCCTGGAGAGTTGGTAGCTAAGGAAACGGCTCATTGGAATCTTTGACTCCAGTTTTCTTCACCTCACAACTAGCAAGTAAATGACTGGTGGTCGGGGTCAGTGGCTAACTCAGATGTTCCTAAGGAAAACATCGTAGGGAGCCTTCCACTAGTGCTCGAGTTTTTTTAAGATCCAGAGGAAGAGCAAAGCTTCTCTTCATGTTCTGCTTATAGTTTTTAGTGGGAGGAGGTAATAACAGGTTTGACCTTCAGCACCTCAGGAGTGTGGCATGGTAAAGCCCTCCCTCGTCATGAGCATCTTTAGTTCTTTTTAACTGCTATTTCCTTCACATCCTGTTGGGGGATCCTGGTGGCAGGCAGTCTCCTCTATAGCCACGGTGGGTGTAGGGTGACTGTGGGACTCCAGGTGACAGCGTACCATCAGAGGTGCTGTTCTCCCTGTGAGTTTTTCTCTTTCTTGAAGGTCCATGGATCTGACTGAACCAGTTTTACTTACCCACTATCTGGGGCTCATAGATTTGATGAGTTTCAGTGGTGAATTAATTCCTGAACCTCTTGGTTGGCTTCCCAGGAGAAAGATGTCCTCAGAAGGCTGTACACAGCTTTGTGTCTCACTCTAGCAGTGGGCTGAGTAGGCTACTCTGTGTTGCAGCTTCCTGACAAGGCACAGATGAAGGATTCCAGAATGTCCGGGGAGCTCCCTGCTCTGTTTGAGGATGTGGCAGTGTATTTCACTCGAGAGGAATGGGGCCTGCTGGACAAGGAGCAGAAGGAGCTCTACAGAGACGTGATGCAGATGAACTATGAGCTGCTGACCTCCCTGGGTAAAGCTTCCCGTGGGCTTTTATACTTCACCGTCATGGGCTCTGGGACCTCAGAGCAGCTGTGGCCTTCTCCCGCTTTTGTCCTTTCCTTATGGGCAGAGATTGAGCTTGTCTTCTGTCCCCAAGAACACTGCCTGCTTTGGGTCAGTGCACTGTATCACCTCTTCATTCATTTTTCTGTCCATCCATCCATCCATCCATCCATCCATCCATCCATCCATCCATCCATCCTTTGCTCCCATTCATCGAAGGTGCGCTATATGCTGTATGCTCAGGGCCTTTTAGGGACTTGTGGACTCGTGGCATCAGCAGGCCTTTGAATGAAGCTGCAAAACATCTGAGTTCCATAAGAGGGTTCTGGTAGAGAGTACTATGGGGCTACTGAAGTAGGGCAGAGAAGTCAGGGTGTGGGAGAGAGGAGTCAAGAAGTCTTCAGAGGATTGTTACAAGGGACACAAATCCAGGTTCCTCGAAATGGAGGAAGAGCAGGACAGAGGATGGGAACATCATGAGCAGAGCCTGAAGACAAATGGGCCTCTCTGGGTTCCCACCCTATCCAAATAGCCTGAGGCTATTCCTTCTTTCCAGGTGCTAACACAGTGGCATGAAAGCCAGCAGGCCTAGGCCTTGGAGAGGTTTGCAGAAGCAGAGCTACTATACAGACCTGTCCTGTATCTGTTTCTCCTTCTTCACTTTGTGTCTTTGTTGCAGACACCGCAGCCTGCTCTGCAACATCAGACAGGGAAACAGCTGTTGTATTCTAAAGCTGGGGTTTGATGTTTTCACTAGTTGGCAGAGGGGGCCACTGTGTACACACAGGAACTGCAACAGCACCTCTCCTAACTTCTGCTTGTGGAATAACCTCTCTAGAATGGAAAATATAGAACCTTATGGCTCTGTTGATCGCCATGGCCCTTTGTTTACACTACAACTATACTCTGGATTACTTTCTGACATTCCCCCCTCCTCTTTTCTTTTTTTCTTTTTAAAGTGTGTATGAGTGTTTTGTCTACATGTGTGTCTGTGACCATGTGCTTGCAGTACTGGTGGAGACCAGAAGACGCTACCACACCCCCTGGAGCTGAAGTTACAGAGGGTTGTGAGTGCTGGGAATCAAACCTGGGTTCTCTGGAACATCAGACTGTACTCTTAACCACTGAGCTGTCTCTCCAGCTCCACTTTCTAATATTCTTCTCCTGTATACTTGTTTCTGTTATTATTCATAACTCCTTGATTATTCGTGTGTGTGTGGTACTGAGGTTTGAATCCAGAACCCTGTGTGTGCTAGGTAAATGCTTTGCCATTGCAGTGCACCCATCCATTTGTTTGTAGTGCTTAAATGGCATTTCAGAAGTTACGTGAGTAATCAGTATCTTTTTTTTAATTTAAATTTAATTTTACTTTTAATCACACTTTATTTACTTTGTATCCCCCCTGTGGTTCCCCCCCTCCTCCCCTCCCAATCCCCCCTTCTCCACGAATGCCTCTCCCCAAGTCCACTGATAGGGGAGGGTTTCTTCATTCTGATCCTAGTTTGTTAGGTCTCATCAGGAGTGGCTGCATTATCTTCCTCTGTGGCCTGGTAAGGCTGCTTCCCCCTCGGGGAGGTGATCAAAGAGCAGGCCAATCAGTTCATGTCAGAAGCAGTCCCTGTTCCCATTACTATGTAACCCACTTGGACACTGAACTGCCATGGACTACATCTGTGCAGGGGTTCTAGGTTATCTCCATGCATGGTACTTGGTTGGAGTATGAGTCTCAGGAAAGACCCCTGTGTTCAAATTTTTTGGTTCTGTTGCTCTCCTTGTGGAGTTCCTATCCTCTCCAGATCTTACTATTTTCCCCTTCTTTCATAAGATTCCCTGCACTCTGCCCAAAGTTTGGCCATAAGTCTCAGCATCTGCTTTGATAGTCTGCAGGGCAGAGCCTTTCAGAGGCCCTCTGTGGGAGGCTCCTAACTTGTTTCCTGTTTTTTTCTTCTTCTAATGTCCATCCTCTTTGCCTTTCAGGATGGGGATTGAACATTTTAGCCAGAGTCCTCCGTCTAGATTAGTTTCTTTAGATGGACAGATTTTAGTAGGTTTATCCTATATTACATGTCTATATGAGTGAGTATATACCGTGTGTGTCTTTCAGCTTCTGGGATAGCTCACTCAGGATGATCCTTTCCAGTTCCCACCGTTTACCTGCAAATTTCATGATTTCCTTGTTCATTGCTGAGTAGTATTCCATTGTGTAGATGTACCATAATTTCTGTATCCATTTTTCAGTTGAGGGGCATCTGGGTTGTTTCCAGCTTCTGGCTATTACAAATAAAGCTGCTACAAACATGGTTGAGCAAATGTCCTGAGAAAGAAATTAGGGAAACAACACCCTTCACAATAGCCACAAATGACATAATGTACCTTGGTGTAACCCTAACCAAGCAAGTCAAAAACTTGTATGAAAAAAATGTCAAGTCTCTGAAGAAAGAATTAGAAGAAGCTATCAGAAGATGGAAAGATCTCCCATGCTCATTGCTTGGCAGGATTAACATAGTAAAAATGGCCATCTTACCAAAAGCAATCTACAGATTCAATGCAATTCCCATCAAATTACCAACACAATTCTTTGCAGACCTTGAAAGAAAAATTCTCAACTTCATATGGAATAACAAGAAACCCAGAATTGCTAAAACAATCCTCTACAATAAGAGTAATCAGTATCTTATGGAGACGGAGGACTTGTGCTTGTCCCCAGGTCTGAGCGCCTGTGAATGTGCTATGCTTTCCAAACATTAGCACCACAACTATACAGCTAGGCAGCAAGACCCAGGAGAGATTCATGTGTCAAAGTTGTGTGTAAGCTGGACAGGAAGCTGAGGCAGGAGGCTCACTGTGAGTCTGAGGCCATGCTGCATACAGAGTTTCAGACCAGCCAGGGTTACAGAGTAAGACCTTATATCAGACAAACAAAATAATTACACACATTAAACAGTTGGCTTTTCTTCTCTTTAAAGTAGCCTGCAGTATCAAAACAGTTTGCTTTCAGATTTTTGCATTATCTTTTAATTTTTTAAGCCTGTTCCTTATATCTTAATCTCAAAGTAGTATGATCTGCATACATAAGAGTGCTTCATGCTTCATGGTTTGGTTTTGGTAAGATTTTTTTTTCTCAATTCTCTTTTGTTGTTGTTGTTGTTTGCTTGTTTTTGAGACAGGGTTTCTTTGTATAGCCTTGGCTGCCCTGGACTCGCTTTGTAGACCCTGGGCCTCAAAGTCAGTGATCCCCTTGCCTCTGCCTCTGAGTGCTGGGATTACAGGCATGTGCCACTGTGCCCAGCTCAATTCTTGTATCTGGAAGTAACAGCGTTTGCTTTTGCTGTGGTCTGAATGTCTGCCAGGCACTGTCCTATGTTGAGAGTCTTCTGTGTGTTTGATATGATATTCTGCAAATAGGCAGTAATATTTTCCATATGAGAACAGCCCCCAGATTGTAGTAATTTATATGGGAAATGTCCAAAGTGAATCCTACTGTTTTGTCTACTGAGTGTACTTTGGACTCAGATAAAATCCTGATTTTGTATGTTTGTTACTGGTTGGACTCTCTTTTTTTGAGCTGACACATTTGTGTTCATCATGATGGTATTAAAATAATGGCGCCATGCATGAGAGAAGGTCATTTAAAAGTTCAAGCAGTGTAAGATTCCAGTCTTTAAATCTTTGTACTCTTCCCCGCCCCCCAGCAGGTAGCTGATAGTTGGTTTGTCGCTTTCACACCTTCCCTGTTGTTCACTGTTCACCCCCATACACACTGCTTCTTCTCAGAGTTTATAATGGGAAAGATAATTATAGAGTTAAAATGGGGAAATATTATTTCAGGATTTGTTATTCCTGAATCTGGCTTTAATTTTGGTTTGTACTGCTAAGGCTAGAAATGAAGGCCCCACTCATTCTAGGCAGTTGCTTTATCACAGCGGTGGTTTGGCTGAAAATAGCCCCCATGGGCTCAGAGGGAGTGGAGCTATGAGGAGGTGTCACTTTGTTGAGATAGTTGTGGCCATGTTGGAAGAAGTGTGTCACTGAGTGTAGGCTTTGAGGTTTCACATGCTCAAGCCAGGGCCAGTGTCACTCTCTTCCCGCTGCCAGTTGGTCCAGCTGTAGAACTTTCAGACACCTCTTTGGAACCGTGTCTGCCTGCATGCCACCATGCTTCCCACCACGACGGTAGTGGACTAACCCTCTGAACTGTGAGCCAGCCCTAATGAAATGTTTGCTTTTGTAAGGGTTGGGGTGATCATGGTATCTCATCACAGCAGCAGTGACCCTAACTAAGACTGTGGTGGCCTTAGGGTTTCTCATGCTGTGATGAGATGCTGTGACCAAAGCAGCTTGGCAAGAAGGAGTTTATTTGGCTTATGCTTCCATATCACAGTTCATTATCAAATGAAGTCAGGACAGGAGCTCAAACAGAGCAGGAACCTGGAGGCAGGAGCCGATGCAGAGGCCATGGAGGGGTGCTGCTTACTGGCTTGCTCAGCCTGCTTTCTTTGCAGACTGCAAGACCACTAGCCTGGGAAAGGCACCACCCACAATGTGATGCCCTCCCCCTCCATGAAACATTAGTTAGGAAAATGCCTACAGGCTTGCCTGTGGCTTCTCAGCCAAGGCTCTCTCTCATCTCTGATACCTCTAGCTTGTGTCAAGATGACATAAAAGTAGCCAGCACAACCACTGAGCTACATCCTTGACCTGTTTTCAAACAGGCATCTCGGTTTGATGCAATCAAGTTAAATATTAATTTCCATCCATTTAGCAGCTGGAGAGCTCAGAGCTTTACAGCAGGTGTGGACTTCTGGTTGTAGCTGCTCACCTGTCACACGCTCTTACCTGTCACGCGCACTCACCTGTCACAAGCAGTCCCCTGTCACATGTACTCGCCTGTCATGCGCACCTGGCTGTGCCAACAGTGCTGAGACTACAGAGGAACGCTCATCTTCTCACAGAGAAGAGGGCTTGATG